CGAAGTGGCAGAGATTTTAGTACTATTATAGAGATTAATATATATTAGTAAGAATCTATAACGATTTAAGAAAAACGATATTACCTAGTAATCGCGGTAATAATAGCTATAGTAGATTCCGATAAACCCTTATGGATCTTATTAGAATCGTACTCCTAGGCGTAACCCTTACCTTAGGTATATAGCTCGTAGAAAGCCTTCTCTAAGGCGTTGCGATCGGTGGTACCACGCTCCTTATTAGTAGGGGTTACTAGAGGCCTAGTAGTAATCTATACTAATATAAGTAAATCTACGTAAAGTTCTTCGAACTTACTTAAATACCTATAAGTAATAACGCTTCTTGGTTATGTAAGTACCGTATATTATAGATTTAGTACTACCGTGAGTAATGTACGACGGAAAGCGACAACCATAATAATATATAGCTAGATTATTAGAGCCCGGCCTAGGTTGGGGTAGATTAATGGCTTTCGACATGTCGGTAACGTATATAAGATAGGGATTATTCGAAGGCGCCTGTTTCCGCGCTAATTACTTTAGAGCGTCGAGATTTCGGGAAACCATATTATAATTATTATTAATTTATACGGATTATTGCGAATTATGTTATTTCTAGCTAAGGACGGTACGAAAATTAGTAAATTACGTAAATCGCACTAAATAGTAGTAAATCTATATAAATCTATGTCTATAAGGATCGGGTAATATACCTAATAATCTAAAAAACTCTATAAAGAGTTAAGAAGTTTTTTAAAGAAAGGAATATTTCTAAGAAAAGATTTTAATATAGGTAGCACCCGGGCTTACCTAATCATATCACGTGATACGCTAGGCCTAATTAGGCAATCTCACCTATATAAGAAGTTAAGATGGATAAAATCTAGTTTATTAGGAAAACGCTTATATGAATCTTAGATCGGCGAATATTAGTAAGTATCTAAGATAAAGCGTGGAGAACGACTAAGGTCTTACGAGACTTAGGATAGAGATATAGGGATAGGTAACGATCTAGGTCGCTAAGGGTAGCTTTCTAGAGGGGAGGGATAATTATTAGGACTTAGCCTTAGGTAGGACCCGACCTACACGTACCTTAGCTAATAGGGTTAGGAGGTAACGTGAAGGGCGGTAAATAGTTACGTGCTAGATAGATCGGCGTCCCTTTATATATATACTCTCGGATTCCTACCAAAAGGGTTCGGTAGTAATTCGTTCTATAATAGAATACACCCCATTGTTCCATCTAGCTATACTACTATCTAATAACCCTATTCTTATACCTACTGTCTCATGGGCTTAGTGGAATAGAACTCTTAGACTAGACGATACTATCTTTAGCGGCCCTTCGGTAGGCACCTCTAGGATATTAGTAAGTATAAGGACATCCATACCTTGGAAGTACTTAATGAATTTTATACGTTCTAGCCATGGATTAACTTCGTCGATAGCGCCGGTTTATACTATACGACCTTCGTCTTTAAGGACGTTCTACTAATTTAACTAGAGCTAATCGAGTATAGTGTTAATTGGTGTACGAGTGTATGTAGTGGTACGTATTACAATCGGGATAAGGCGGTTCAACCGGCCTATATTATATAGGCATTAGTATGGTACATTATCTCTATATCCACGTGTCTTATCGTCCGCTCTAGGTGGAGCCCCTCTACGCCCATTAAAGAACGCTATATGTTCGTTTTTAATATATGATTTAAGATTCTTTAAAAGGCCAAGAACTAATCCGTAGTTCTTAATAATGTATTAGAACCCTCTCTTAACCGGAATATACCTTATAGGCCGTGATAGGGCAGCGGGTATTTAAAGGTCGTCGATTATAGTAGCGGTATAACTAAGTGAGTAAATATAGCTTTTAATAATCTTACGATACTTCGGTCTTATTCCTCGGTATTCTTAAAGGAGGTGGCGGTCTAGTGCGGATAGGAGGATGGCGCGCTTATAATCTCGATAGATAATTACTCCGGTGTTAAGGTCGACGACTAGTGGTAAATCTACGGACATCTATATATATTTATATAGTGTTAGTAGGTTGGCGTCGGGAGTAGACTATAATACATATAATTATATTCCTATAGATGGGTGTAGAAACGGCGATTCTAGACGGCTCTAGAGTAAGGAGTTTTTAGGTCCTTTGGTTTTCGACGGCCGTGCCGTAGGAAATCAATAGCTACTACTAGCCCCGATCTTCGGCTAAGGTATTCTACTATTAGTATAGTCGCTACTAAATTAGTGTATTTTATTCTCTAATCTACCTTATTATTATCTATAGTGCGCATGTCCTATGGTGTACTTAGCCCTAGGCTATGGTCTTATAGGTTAATTAGATTTATAAACTACTCTAGCGCTATATTCGTAATATTTTCTAAGGTTATTCTCTCGATCGGGAACTGCCTAGGTAGCGTAATGTCTCCATTTAAAATCTAATGTAAATATGGCTTAATACTATAATAAAGTCGTCTAAGCCATGGATAACATCGGTCTACGAGGCCTAGGAAGTCCTCTAGTATACTAACCCTTATCTTCTAGAAGAAAGAGTCCGTAATTTCGGGTGGTAGTAGAACGAATAACCCGTCGCTAAACCTCTCGCGGATTAACGCCTAGTGCGCGCTATAACTTAACTAATCGTTTATTTATTTCCACTGTCTTATCCGCTTAAAGGCCTCCTCTTACTATATACATATATCGATATCTAGGTTCTACGGTTGTTCTAGACTTGGCGCATGATCTCCTATAAGTTAATTAATACGGGCATATAGGCGAGCCTTCATAATTAACCGGATGCCTTGCCTAGTGCTAAGGGTAAATGTACGGTCTGTTTTTAGTGCCTTCTTAGTAGCGTTTATAGCTTTATATATATCCGCGAGTGCTAGGCGACGTCTAATCCCGATAAGACGCGATGTATGTACTAGCTTAACGATCTTAAAGTAGAGTATACTAGCCTAGTCTATAAATGTATATACTAAGCGTTCCCTAGTTAACGTCGTATCCCTAATAATAATCTATAGGGGATTAAGGCTATGAGGCGCTATGTCTACCGTCTTACCGTCTCGCTATTCTTATAGTAGTAATCTAAAGTAAAGTAGCGTTAACGGTGAACCGATCTCTAATACGCGATTAAGAAGTTATCTAACCATATTTATATCTTTAGGGAAGTGTTATAATATGCCTATCTAACGAAGATAACTTACATTTACACGGAGCTATGCTTTATATTCGTTCCGTGATGACGGGCTATCGGGGTTAGTAAATGGCTCCATAACCTCCCTAAGCATAGCCTCATGCTTTACTCTTAACTTAGCCCGGATTTTATTACTTACCCTCGTGGTCGTTAGCGGAGTTCTCGTAGTTAACTATTCGTTCTAGTTAGATATATCGTTACGGCGCCGCTTTCTAGGGGGATATATAGACTAACGCTCTTCTTCGTTATCCTCTTCTCGCTCTTAATTAGTATTATAGACTATTATCTCTAGTTACGCTAGTACTATACGAAGAGCTACCGTGGTGCTAGAAGTTATATAAGATTATTAAGAGGGTAGGGGAGATATCGGAGGCGGTAGGCATGTGTTAGGAACGAAATCGTCTTCTTTATCGTTATTAGGCGAGTTATTATTCGTATTAGTAACGTGTAAATAGGCTAGAATCTATTACTCGTTCAGCTAACGAGCCGCTGCCTCTAGTAATCGTACGATAAATAGTGGCGGGCTAGGAAACGATAACGGTCGGAAGAAGACGGCTTAAGCTCTATCGCTCCCGCCGATAGGGAAAAGTTTAAATATAATGTCCCATGCTTAACGTATACCATCTATATTAGGAAGCGGTACTAAGGGGGGTGCTATAGCTTATAAAGTTCGTGAGTAGTAGAATGGATTAGAATTAGCGATCCTAGAGGTGTCTTAGAGTACGCGATTCTATAAGGATTACTAAGGTCCTTAGACGTATACGTAGGTTGGCGTGTAGTATACCTAGGTACCGATCGTGCACGGTTGGGAAAATCAAAGTAAAAATCGCGAAAAATGTGTAGTTTTCATGTATATTCTTCGCCACCCCCTCCGTGAAAATAATAATTATAAGTTAGCTAGACATAACTTTCGACCATGCGATTTCTTAATATATAAAAATTATTCGGATATAGGCGTGGGAAGGGCTGCCTTTCGACTCTGCCTTACGGTGTCTTTCGACTACCTAGTTTTTCTACTAAGAGTCGTGCATGGTTACCGCCTAGGCCCGTGTAACGTTCTTTCGTATATCGAAAGAACGGCTCCTAATTGTTAGGTAATAATCTAGGTCGCTAAGGGTAGCTTCCTAGAGGGAAGGGATAATTATTAGAACTTAGCCTTAGGTAGGACCCGACCTATATATACCTTAGCTAATAGGGTTAGGACGTAACGTGAAGGGCGGTAAATAGTCACGTGCTAGATAGATCGGCGTCCCTTTATATATATACTCTTAGATTCCTACTAAAAGGGTTCGGTAGTAATTTGTTCTGTAATAGAATACACCCTATTATTCTATCTAACTATACTACTATCTAATAACTCTATTCTTACAAATAGAGTCTAGTTAGAGAGATAATTATAAAGAATTTCTTATAAAGTAAAATAGCTTTAACTAGAGAAGATATATATCTATAGAGTATAACTTTATCTACTTAAAAAATAATATTATTATTCTTATACTTATTATATATAATAGTATAGACTTAGACTAGTATAGATCTTATGTTATTAGAATATAAACTAAGTAGAAAATAGAGGTACTATATATACCCTTCATAGTAAGATATATATATACCTTCTCTAGATCTAGCTAGAAGCTAACATAGAGCACGGACCTCTAGTGTATCTACCCAAAGTGGTTACAGATGCTTGTTGGCCGTTCGTTCATGACTAAAGATAACACATGCTTCCTGCGACATTTGTCTGACGCTCGAATGACCAAGTTGTATCACTTTGTCAGTTAGACTCTCGCATCATATGACACATTTAAACATGGATCCCAGAATTCAACGTAGAGTTCTCCTCTTTCTCGATCTTGGCATTTCTCGACATGTGGACCTTAGTCCCAAAGACGAATCTGTATGTAAACAGACGTATCTTCTCTCACTACTCTCCTTGATATAATCACGAATCTTCCAGATAGTCTGGTCATGGACACTTCCAATCGATACATTTACTTCACCCAAATGAGTCCTCCGGGAAGCCAACGTGGACAGATATCAAGACTTGATCTCACGAAGCACGAAACAAGCGTTTTGGTGTCCCAAGGAGTCACTCGGAGTCCGAAGCAAATTGCTATAGATGATTCGGCTAGAAGACTATATTGGGCGGACAGAGAAGGCGGCAAGATATGGAGCTGCAGACTTGAAGGCGAAAATGTTCGAATCGAGATATAGGTGGTGCCGGCGCTGATATGGCGAAGTGGTGTGTAGAGTTGCCGTTGACCCTCGGCGACGAAAGCTATACTGGACACGAAAAGGTGCTCCGAAAAGTGGTACGGGCTCATTATGGTGTGCGGATCTAGATATGCCTACAGGAGAAGTCGCCGAGTCTCGGAACGACAAAGTTACTCTTCTCGAGGACCTTCCAGAGTCTATCGACTTAGACGTTGACATTGAGACTAACATTCTCTATATGAGTGGCCGAGGCGAAATGCCTTTCGGTAACACCATTAGTCGACTCGATCTCAATCGAGTACAAGAAGGGTTGGAAACAGAGATCATTGTAGAAAGGTTACATGAAGGTGTGGGCATTGCTCATGATCGAAAGGAGAATCGTATTTACATCACGGATCTTATAGGTTCATTGTACGCTGCGAATGAGGATGGCAGTGATAAGCAAGTTCTGCACCGCGATGTTAGTGAGTCAGCTGGAATCATCGTATGTGAAGATTGCAACAAATATAGTACCCACATAAATGTCTACCATATATTTCCAATCCTGTGCAGTGAACTGAAATCTATAGCTAATATGCTGTCCCTAGCCGTGATGACTAGCAGCACGGCAAGGATGCTAGAGTATATTAGAGCTGAGCTCACTGTGGAGATCATTTTCGACAATCAATTGCTCACGCTACATGGATCATCAGTGAGGATCACTTTCCTTATCAATTGCCCTTAAGACAGCGAGTGCAATGTTGTTTGAGACTTGGTTGGTAGTAGAATAAGCCTATCACAATCGTGTAGTTTGTGCCTTATCCTTTGATCACGATAGCGTTTCTTTGCCATTGTAGCAAGCTAAAAAGTACTGTTGCCACAGAAAACCCAATCATGATCGTTATCTGCAAATTATAAGATTTACCACTGATCTCACGTAACGCGGCTTGCTTCTGAGGCGCTAGTTCATACAAGGTTGAAGGACGATCAAGGAAGTCTTTGATTTCCTCGGTGGACAAAATCCCCTGTAAGTTTCTAGATAGATAGGGGTTCGATACACACGTCACGAGGGCCAATCCGATCGCAGAGCCAAGCAGTCTGAACTGAGTAACAGCCCCAGAAGTCACCGCTAAGACTTGGGTCAGCCGGGTGTGATCATTGACTCAAAGGACACTCACCTATATATTTTCTCTCTACAACGTACGGAGGTAAGATTCCTAGAACGACAACCATTATGCCGACACCAGAACCGGTAAGGATTTGGAAACCATATTGATGGGCTTGAAGTTGTCCTGACGTTGACGACTTGGACAGACCTACCGTGCCAGCCACCATGAGAAGTCCGCTTGAGATGAGCATGTTGACAGCAGGTATCTTAGCTCTTGTCATGATGACTGTCGCAAGTATCGAAGAGACAGCCATCACAGCAGCGAACGGGAGCAGTCTCACGCCCGCGTCTAAAATCGAATAGCCATTGACCACTGCGAACCTCTGAGGTATCTGAACAATGCTGACAGCAACGATGGCACCGACAAGCCAAGAATCACTACGAATGTCAAGATATCATACAGCATGACAGCATTTGGGAACGCGTACACAAGCATACCCAAGAATATCCGGTTTGTCAAAATTTCCCACGAGAGCAACGGCGAGACAGTCCTGCTATTGGACGATAGAAGCCATTGCCAGAGCACGAATGCTAAGGAAAGTAGCCCTCCGACGACTATCAAAGCGATCACCTGAGCTGACCTGAAAGGTATTCCTTTGGCGGCCTGCTGCAAGGCAGCTGTGATTAGTATCGAACTTCCAAGAACAGTGACGACTCCTATTACGTCAAGCGTACGAAGAGCACTCGTTCGCCCTTTCGAATGTCCATCAGGTATATCAGAGCGCCTTCTGGAGGCGGGTTCCTGTGTGAGTTTGCTAGGTGCGGCGAAAGATAGCATGAGAAAGGTTACGACGCCTAACGGAACACTGAAATTTTTAGCGGATTTCTTAATTGACATTATGTTCGAGGAGGAAAAGTATTTACTTCAGCAGGAATACCCACCGCCATTGACCGACGTTCGATAGGGCTGCCCCGATTACTGGCGCAATGGCAAACGATATTGTCACCACAGATATGACAGCTGCGGAGTATTGAGCCCATTTTTCAGGAGGGCGTAAATCGAAACCATAGAGGCTGGCAATGGAAAGGACTCCGCTTGCACCAATGCCTGTTATCCAACGGAACATGATGCTAACCGATGTCAGCTCACCAAAGAGGGTTGTTCGATTATGGATGAGTTACAGTTGAAATAGCGTTTGTGATGCTCCACATGCGCCGGTGAATATGATGAAGAGAACCAGGCAACTGAGCCAGACAACTTTGCGGCCCAAAATGTCGGAAAGCCGGGTAAGAATAATTGGAAAGCCTGCGATAATGTCAAGTTGTGTTAACTTTAATACTGGTATTTTCAGATTCTCACCTCCGTAGGCGAGTAGGTAAGCTGTAAAAACCCATGAGCTGATCGCAAAGTTCCCAAGATCATTCGTGATAGATATTATTGCTGTTCCTGTGATGCTTAATTCTGTCTGGACCATGAACAAGCAGAGACCTTGCCTAGCGATGCCTCAGCAGATATAGTCGCTTGGAATTTTGCCAGACTTACCCAATACCAATGATCCACAGTCTCCATCCTGTAATCCACTGTACGTGATCCAGAGAATCTTCGAAGTGTTTCGAAGAGCCATTCTGAACCACAGCAGGTTGAGAGATGTCGTCTCTCACAGCCTCGTTCTTGATATTCGACATGGTATGCAGAAGATGAAAGAGTTGGACTCGGATAGTCTCATCTGAAAAACTGCTTTGCCTACCTCAGGGCTCGCACACGTGCGTTGTAGGTGCTATGTAGCCGTCCACTGCTGAGGCAGATGAGCCGGGCCGTAATTGCTCCGTCGGGATAGGGTTTTATGCTTAGAGCAGACGGCGCATACAATCCGAATCCATGCACGCTCAATCTTATTAAATAACGTAATACAGAGTACAAGCTTAATCTACGCCTTAAGAAAGATTGCGAAGATGGTATAGTCTAAATCTAATTGGTTAGATTACTTGTGTAAGTTCAAATACATGGTTCCGGAGAGGGCGGATATGTTTTAACCGATGCAAGGGAGGTTATTTACTCTGAGACGTGTACCTTGTTTACTTAAAGACGTGTAGCTTAAGACCATTTATACTATACTAGTTAAATATAGTTAACGTTAATAATAATAATTCGAAGACGGCTATAATAATTATATTAGTTTTATATAAGCTAGTCTTCTAGATATTAATTAGCTATCTCTATATTAGATCTATAGAAATCTTATAGATTACTAATTATATAGTACCTTTCTCTAGACTCTACTAATATCTATTCTATTTCTATTCTATAACTTAATATAGTAATAGATAGAAATAGAATATAAGAAAGTAAGAAAAAAAGAATAAATAAGTAAGTTATTCTAATAAAAAACTATATTTAAGTTTCTTTTTCTTATCTCTTCTTAAAATAACTATTATTTAAAGAATTTTTAAAATAACTTATTTATTTACTTTATTATTATTATATATATATAAGATAAGAGTCTATATAAAAGTAGTATATTTAAATATAATTAGAAACTTTCTAAAATCTTAATTTTAAAGCTATTAAAGAAAACGTAATTTTATATAAAAGATAATTTTAGATAAAATATATATATATTATATAATATATACTAAGAGGTCTAAAGAATCTTTATTACTATCTAGATCTTACTATATCTATTTATTTCTTATCTACTATATCTATTTCTATAAAGAGACTTAATATACTACTAGTACTAGAACTTAAAGTATCTATATATCTCTATAGTATTTCTATTATTAAGCTCTATTATCTAAATCTTAGTTAGTTTTAATCTTATATATAGATAATAGATAGACTACTATTAGCTAGATATATTAATTAATTTTATTTTATTAAATCTACTAAAATTTCTATATCTCTAGTTACTTAAAGTTATATATTAGTAAATATATATAATATTCTAAGATATAGATATAATATACTTATAATCTATCTCTTAGTCTTTCTATCTCCCTTCTACTTTTTAATTAGATAATTATTATATACTTAATTTATTCTAATATAAGTATTTCTAGTAATTCTATAGTATAGATTCTAATCTTAAGCTAAACTTTTAGATTAACTAACTATATAATTCTAATCTAGGCCCTCGGGTTATATCCGACTGTATATGCATGCCGGAGTCTAGATAAGTAATAGTAATGTACATGGAATAGGGCTCTAGGTAGAAATAGAGAGGCTGGCTAACCGGTAGTAAACAGGGTCGGTACCTACTATCGGCGCTGCCAAGAGTACTCGAGCGAGCGCTTAAGACATCCGTCGTTTTTCTAGAGCCTAAGTCGCTTAGCATTTTTCAATTACACGCGTATATTTACACACCCCTATTGGATAGTTATTTTACCTCTCTACCTCTATATAAGGGTCTATATACTAACATACCTACATAGACTCATAGAGTAGACTAAGGAGATTAAGTCTACATGTTATTAAGCTCTATACTCTCTATTCTATTCTATAATAAGAGGGTCTAGTTTCTTAGAGAAGAGGAAGAAGGAGAATAGACGTTAAAGTAGAACAGAGCTCTAGATGGATAGAGAGATGGGGGAGAGAACACGCGTGCACTATTAGTGCTAGCGACTTAGGTTCTAGCAAAACGACGGATCCATCCATGTATGCAGCTCATCCCTCCTAACATTGTTGTGGTCGCTATATCGAATGACACGCCACTTTAAAAATGGCTATTAACTTACGGCTTTTAAATAGAGTTGCATCGAAGATGCAGACGCTCGCCTTAAGCATAAAGTTACCCACTTCTTGAAAACCGAAGCTTGTCTAATCGCTCATCGCACAAATTTCTGCTAGGTGTGCCGTATACAAGTGTCGATAATCTAGCAAGAACCTCCACTGGACTACATACCATCAGAACAGGGCATACTATACCCCGTATTGAAGAAGATGCCGAGTGTTCCGGGATACCACAATCAGCAGTCTGACCACCACATGGCCGCAGAGACAGAGCCAATTGCCATTATCGGCATGAGTTTCAAGTTTCCAAAAGACATAGAGTCCTCCGATGCTTTTCTAAAGGCTCTACTGGTCGGAGAGAACCTGGCCACAGAATACCCCGAGGACCGTCTCAATATAGACAGTTTCTGGCATCCTTCAGGGAAACGGAATACCGTAAGCCTCAAAGCTCTCCTAAATGATATTTTCAGCTAAAGTGACCCTTGAAGATTGCCGCAAGGAAAGCACACTTTCTAGGCTCAGACATCCGCAACTTTGATGCTGGCTTCTTCGCTATGGCCCCTCACGAGGTCATCGCCATGGACCCACAACAGCGAGCATTGATGGAGGCCACTTACCATGCTATAGAGAATGCTGGGCTTTCTCTGAAAGACGTCAGTGGGACAAAAACGTCAGTCCATGTGGGCTCATTCGCCCACGACTTCGCTCAAATGCAGTCACGTGACACACAGAGCATGCCCAAATACAACGCAATTGGTACTGCTAGCTCTATCCTAGCAAACAGGATTAGTTATTTCTTCAATCTAAAAGGGGAAAGCATCTTCGTGGACACCGCTTGTTCAAGTAGTCTGGTTGCCACGGCTCTAGGTTGCCAGGCCATCTACTCTGGCTCGGATATGGCCATCGTTGCAGCCGCCAACATCATTCTTGGACCTGAATTTGGGATTTCTTTGAGTAATCTCAACTTCCTCTCTCCAAGTGGGACTTCTCGAAGCTTTGATGCAAAAGGCGATGGGTACGGGCGCGGTGAAGGTTTCGCTTCACTACTTCTCAAGCCAGTTTCCAAAGCAATCAGGGACGGCAACCCGGTTCGCGCAGTCATCAGGTCGATCGGCATGAATCAAGACGGCTTCACCCCCGGAGGTCTTACCCAGCCAAGCAAAGACATGCAGTTGCAACTTATTAGAGAAACATACAAGAAGGCTGAATTAGACATGGCATACACCCGCTTTTTCGAAAGTCACGGTACTGGCACGTTCATTGGAGATCCGATTGAAGCCTCAGCAATTGGTGAAGCGTTCCAAGAATACCGCTCCGCCTCGTCGCCAATGTACGTCGGCGCGCTGAAGTCAATGATTGGCCATCTGGAAGGTGCAAGCGGGCTTGCAGCAATTGTCAAGACTGTCATTTGCTTAGAAGAGGGCATCATACCCCCAAATGCTAACTTCGATGAGCTTAATCCGCGAATCGATGCGGTTGGATTGAAGCTCCATTTTCCCACGCAAAGTATACCTTGGCCCAAGGATGAGACTCGAAGGGCCTCGGTGAATTCGTTTGGATTTGGTGAGCCAAGTGGAAACTATTATTTACCGCGCTAATCTATTCCAGGTGGAACAAATGTACACGTTGTTCTAGACTCTGCCATGGACTATCTCCAAGCCGCTGGGTATAACTATGGATCCAAGACTCTCCGCCTCAGTTGCATGGTGAAGTCAAATGGTATCGCGTCGGTTGACGGCCATAGAGACAAAGTTGCAAATAGTGGCGATTTGGTACCCGTGAACGTGGCTCCTAGCTGCACCTCTAGAATTCTAGCTATATGTTCATCAGACGAAGAAGGAGTCGCACGAATCACCCAGTCGATATCTGCATACCTTTCGCATCGCCGAACCCATCTCAACGCTGAAGCCCTGGAGGATGTTCTGTACACTCTTAACTTACGGCAGCTCCCACAATCATGGCGTGCATACTCCATAATTGAATCTAGCCAAGATTTGATTGAGCTCGGTAGTAGATCACTCACCTCCCGGCGCTCTATAAATATTTCAACTCCTCGGTTAGGCTTCGTATTCACCGGTCAGGGTGCACAGTACCCAAATATGGCGCTCGAGATTTTGACATGGCCGAAAGTGATAGAAAGCCTGGCCCGTTCTCAGAGCTTCCTTGAAGATCTTGGCTGTCGATGGAACATCATGGAAGAGCTCTCTGCTTCTCCCGCGCAAAGCCGTATCAACAAGCCTGAGTTCAGCCAGACTTTGACTACGATTGTCCAGATAGCGCTGATTGAAGTGACCCGAGTTTGTCACATTCAGCCGCAGGTTGTCGTCGGCCATTCTTCAGGAGAGATTGCTGCTGCTTACTGTGCCGGATACCTTTCTCATGAGTCTGCGGTCAGGGTCGCCTACTTCAGAGGAGTTCTGGCCGACAGGGTCTCGTGTAGCTCATCTGAGAAACAAGGCATGATCGCTGTTCAAATTTCAAGCAACGCGGTTACTGAAGAATTAACGAAGTTCAGTGAGACTTCGATAGACTTCTTTGACACATCCAAAATTACAATCAGTTGCATCAATAGCCCCAACAATGTCACACTATCGGGTCCCAGTGTGCAGCTGGATCAACTACTTAGCCACTTTTCGAAAAACGGCAGATTTACACGGAGGTTGAACGTAGATCTAGCCTACCATTCGCCACAAATGGAAAAGATATCTCACGAATATGCTTCGCATCTGATAAATCTGACTCCCGACACCAATTTTGGCTTGACTATGATGGTTTCCTCCGTCACCGCGCATCCAATAAAGCCGCAAGATGTTTGCACACCTATGTATTGGGTGAAGAACATGATCTCACCAGTCAAGTTTGAACAAGCAGTTAGGCTCGCGGCTACTCTCGACTGCAGCTCATCGGTTGCTCCTAAGTCAGATTCTACTGGAAAGATATTCACAGGCAACTGGCTGGAGGTAGGACCTCACTCGGCGCTCCGGGGTCCGATCCGCGAGGTATTCGAGAGTAACGACGCGACAGACTTCTTTTACGCCCCTCTCCTGGCGAGAAATGTGGCCGCAGATAAAACCCTCTTGGAGGCTGCGGGTGAGCTTTACTGTCGGGACATTCAGATTGACCTACAAGCAATCAACTCCTTGAGCACTTCTCCAACACGAGTCCCAAGGTTTGCCCTGGACCTTCCGCCCTACCCGTTCAATCATTCTGTGATACACTGGCAAGAATCAAGCAGGTCCCGGTCTTATCGCTTTAGACCTTTTGGTCATAACGCTCTCCTTGGTGAGCCAAGTCTCGATTGGAATGAGAATAATGCATTATGGAGACTTCAAATTAAAGAAGAAACGATGCCATGGATAGCTGAACACCAAATCGATGGTCAAATATGGTACCCAGCTGCGGGCATGATCGCTTTAGCAATCGAGGCTATCAATCAGTTAATGTCTAAGCAAAAGCCATGTCCTGTAGGTTTCGAGATACATGACATCCGTTTTCTCGCTCCAATAGTCCTTAATTCATCTTCGGCCAGCTTGGATCTCCAGACAAGCCTTGTAGCTGTCGCAGGAGCCGGGACCAAGGACGCTCAATATAAGTTCAATATCTACTCGAGACTTCCCGACGCGATCTGGCAGATAGCTTGCGACGGACTTATCCGTGCCGACTTCGCCCATCGCGACACGCAATTCACCATGAAAGAGATGATGTACACCAGGCAAAGGACCGAAGAGGAGCTGCAGATCGCTTTGAAGGCCTGTCGTAGAAGTATTGACACTCAAGACATGTATCAAAAGATTCACGAGAGTACAGCGCTCCAGTATGGTCCTGTGTTCCAACCTTTGTCGGATATTCACTACAATATGGATGGCAGAGCGATAGCTTCCATTCTACCGCACGCAGACCTGACTGAATCTCCGGCTACATATGTAATTCATCCAGCCACGCTTGATGGCATATTTCAGCTTACCATTCCAGCCTTGAGTAGAGGACTTACAGTCGGGTTACCCACACTCGTACCGTCACGGATTTCTCGAATATGGATCTCTAGACAAGGGGCAGGGAAAGAATCATGTGCGCAAGAGATAGCACACAGTCAAGCAAGGTTCTTGAGCAAGGTCTGCGCGGAGAGCTCCACGGTAGTATACTCGTGCTCGGCGAATGAAGTTAGAGTCGAAATTGACCAGCTCGAGGTAACGCAAGTCGCCTCTGATGAAAAAGACACGCAAACTGAGGCGGGTCCCCAACCACTATGCTATGGAATATTCTGGAAACCAGATATAGCTCTGCTCGACAATACCGGGATACATAACTATTGCTCACATAATGTTGGTTTCGAGCAGGAACCTGAAAAATTCTTTGATGATATTCGACTCATGATATCCTGCTTCGCTGCCAAGGCGCTAGAGACAATAAAGTCTGAAAGACGGCGAATTCATCCTTCTTTGACTCGATACGCTACTTGGCTACAAGCCCGCGTTGATCACTACTCGCATTTAGGCCGCCTTCCTGATCCTGATGCTCTGATGAGCAAAACAACACTCGACGACGGGTCAGGTTCTAGGAAAACGACGGATATACTAGTCGGGGATTTAGATCCTCTGAGTCTCTTGTTTAAGGATGACCATTTTGTGGCTTCCTTTTACGAAGAATTGAACAACCAAGGAAGAGCCTACAAGCTATTAGACAGCTACCTAGACATCCTGGTACATAAGAGCCCGAACTTGACCTTTCTTGAGATTGGAGCTGGAGCTGGAGCCTCCACCAGTCTGATATTGGACATCCTCGCGTCTAGCGAACATGGACCACGCTACTCGTCATACACGTTTACCGATATATCAGGATTTTTCTTTCAAAAAGCGAAAGACCGTTTCGCGACACGCAGTGATCGTTTGAAGTATCAAGTACTCGATATTGAACAAAATCCGGCGAGTCAAGGGTTCGAAGAGCTGTACGATGTTGTAGTCGCTGCCAATGGTCTTCACGCCACTCGCGATTTGGACCAGACGTTACAGAACGTCAAGAGCTTACTAAAGCCCGGGGGAAAACTCATAATTATGGAGATGACTACACCAAATAAGATCGAGACCGGGTTCGTCTTCGGCACTTTGCCAGGTTGGTGGCTAGGAGCAAACGGATCACGAAAATCCAGTGCAATCATCGACGAGGACCAATGGGATTTACTTCTGAAGAAGAATGGATTTTCTGGATTGGAACAGGTCTACCAAGATTGGGAGTCACCGCAGTGCCATTTATATAGCATCATGATCTCGTCGCCCGAAACCCTCATCTCACCCAATACAGCACTCCCGCCGTTCCACTCAACCACTATACTCTTAAGCAAAAGCGCGATGATCGAAGAACAAATCGCCGAGAAATTCAAGAGTAGTTCCTCCAATCACGGATCGTCCAGTGGGTCCGTAGCCACCGTTGCCTATTATGAAGACATACTAGAATTGGAGGATCTCGCACACAGAGACTTCTTGATATTTGGTTCTCCAGGTCAGAAATCGCTCTCGGACATTGCACAGGGCGACTTCGAAGCATTACAGAGAGTCCTTACCGGCTCTAAGAGTGTAATCTGGACCGAGTCCTATGATGCTGGAGAAGACGCTCCACCTTACTGGGCCATGATTGATGGCCTCGTCAGAACTTGCCGCTCGGAGGATTTAAGCCGCCCCATTGTCACGCTCTTACTTGAAACCAATACGTGGGAAGCTCCTGCTTCGGCTGTCGAAATTATTCAGAAGGTACAGGTCGCAACTCACGCAGGGCTCATTGACGGTTCGTACGAAGAAGAATATCGCGAAGTATCAGGCCGCTTGTGTGTCAGCCGCTTAGCGCAGGCCAAAAAGGTAGATGAGTACGTCTGGAACTCTTTGCGTAGAGTTGTACAGATGCAAGATTTCGAATCGAGTCCGCCACTCCAATTGAGTATTCGTACCCCAGGACTTCTTGATAGCCTTGAATGGGTCGAAGATGAAGTTGCATACAATGGGCTGAAGCCAAATGAGATAGAAGTGAAAGTCAAAGCTATCGGCATCAACTTCAAGGAGTGTTTGGTTCTCCTGGGACGTGTCAATACCGATAGGCTCGGCGGCGAGTGCTCTGGTCACGTACATCGCATTGGAAGTGCGGTACGGAAATTTCAGGTAGGAGATCGCGTGGCTACAGGGGCTCTGGAAACGTATAAGACCTATGTGAGGGTCGCTGATTTCCAGGCTGTGAAACTCCCGGATAAAATGTCTTTCGTTGACGGTGCGGCGATTCCAACGGCATTTTACACTGCCTGGCACAGTCTAGTCAAGGTTTGTTTCTGCATGATACGTCTCATCGAGGACTCACATATTACAGGTCGGCCGGCTACAAAAAGGCGAGACTGTCCTGATTCATGCCGCAGCAGGGGGGACCGGTCAGGCTGCAGTCCAAGTGGCCAAATACATTGGTGCTCAAATTTTCGCCACTGTGAGCACTGAAGCCAAGAAAAAAGTGCTCATCGATCGCTACGGTCTGCATGAAGACCACATATTTTCCAGCCGTGACGTTTCATTTACCGATGGGATCCGAAGAATTACAAAAAATCGTGGTATAGATGTCATCCTGAACTCTCTCTCTGGGAGGCTGCTTGTCGCCTCCTGGGAACTTATCGCCCCATTTGGACGTTTTGTCGAGATTGGCAGAAAAGACGTTGACTCTCGTGGTTCTCTGCCAATGTTTCCGTTTATCCGCAATGCAACCTTCTCATGTGTCGATCTAACTGCCATTGTGCAGAACGAAAATCTACACGATGGCGAGATTCTAGAAAAAGTCATGGAGCTCATTAGTTCGGGTGTACTGATGCCTTCATACCCTGTACATCCATTCCCGGTTGAGCAGGCGGAGCAGGCTTTCCGTCTTTTGCAAAGCGGACAGAGCACTGGCAAAATTGTCTTAGATATCCCCGAGAACGCGCAGGTCTTGGTCAGAGCAAGTCCTGTTACTCCATATCGCCTACATACAGATGCAACTTATGTAATATCCGGAGGCCTGGGCGGGATCGGACGGCAAGTGGCACGTTGGCTGGTCCGACATGGAGCTAAGCATCTCTTGTTATTATCACGTTCTGGTATCGGTCACAATAGCGACAAGAAGCAGCTCGTGCATGAGCTAGAGGAGAAGGGAGTAAACGTAAACTGCATACCGTGTGACATAACCGATCTCGAGTCTGTTAGGACGATATTTGCCGAAGCTGCTGTATCGCTACCACCCATCCGGGGCTGCATTCAAGCGGCAATGATTCTTAGTGTAGGCCCCCAATTGTTGCCAGAGAGTTTTCGAGCTGATATTTGCGCCTAGGATCGCCCATTTTCCACCATGCAACTGGCAGAGTGGAATGAAGGTGTAAGAACCAAGGTTTCGGGGTCATGGAATCTTCATGCTACGCTGCCATCCGGCATAGATTTCTTCGTCATGCTTTCGTCCACGGCCGGGGTGATTGGTAATGCCAGTCAAAGCAATTACGCAGCCGGTAATACCTTTCAAGATGAGCTAGCGCGACATCGCGTGTCGAGAGGAGAGAAAGCAATAGCAATTGACCTCGGTATGATCATAGGCGAAGGTATCGTTGCCGAGAACAAGGAGATCCAGAAGTTACTTTCACGACTCGATATTTTACGCGCACTCAAACAAGAGGAAGTCTTCGCCATCCTCGACTATTCCTGTCACCCTGTCCATCAGCCAACGAGCGCCGCCAGAAGCCAGATTGTGTGCGGACTGGAGATCCCAGCAAACATTCGTCGAAAGGGGCGAGAGCTTCCGCCCAAGCTATCCAGAAGCCTTTTCCGCGCTTTCCATCAAATTAGATCCGTAAATGAAAATGAAAATGAAACAGTCATGGCGGCTCAGGCTCAGGATATGACAGCTGTATTGAGTGAAGCCTCGTCCATTGAAGAAGCCGAGATTTTAGTGGCGGAATCTATCAAAGCGAAAGTTTGTAAGATTGTTGGGATGAAGGAAGAGGAGAAGTCGATCCATGACACTATGAGGTCTTTTGGCGTGGACTCGTTGATCGCGCTGGAACTAAGAAATTGGCTGGCACGGGAATTGCGTGTAGATATGGCCATTCACGATATAGTGGGTGACTTTAGGCTGGTGGAAGTCGGCGCATTGGTGGCTAAGAAGGCGATTTCTCTGAGTGAGCCTGTATAGGACTACTGTCATAGCTATCACAGCCATCTGACCAGATTTCTCGACGTCCTGTTTCATTATCAGCTGGGCTCAACGGTGTTCAAGAAGGGTTCGGTGAAGTTGAGCAAGATTATGGGCAGACAGTCCATCTATTATGACCTTAGACGGCCTGCTAAGTCAAGTATTCCGCAACCAGTCAAACGTGGATTTTATACTTAGTTGGAGGCGGTGATAAAAGTGCTTTAGATCGATCCAAAGTAATTAAAGGGTTTATCTTGACTCCTCCGTCCAGAGTTAGGTACGAAACATGCTGCCTCCCCTTACCTCTTACCAACCACCGCCGTCTCCGCCATCGTCGCCCCCATAATTGTCGTCGTGATCATACCTCGCATCATCGCCACCAGCATCGTATTCCGCTTCGCCGACTTTATTCCTAGACCAGCCGGCAACATCCTCGGGAATATCCGGATTCTCAACATTATCCACGGCATTGTCCTACTTGTTCACAATGCGATCAAGTATGTCCTCGACGCCTTGAATACCTTCACGTACGGGGTAGGCGGCGATCTCGGGAAAGTTCTCCACGTCGTTCCCGAAATTTTCAACGCGTTGTCCCATGCGGTACTTGTCTTCATCCCAGTCTTCCTTTACTGTAGTCTTAGTATAGAACGATCCTGAAAATATGGTTCCACCTACTGGCTTCCTCTCCCTCGTACATGAAGAAAGTGCCTCTAGCTAATCTGGCTGCACTAGCCGCAACGTACTTCAGCCAGTCAAGGCTCTTCTACACCTTATACTCCTCTTGAAAGTAGCCTTGTTGTCCATATCCTTGTTGACGAGGACCGCCATACCTTCCCTGGCCTCCATAACCTCTATCATGGAAGCCAGTCGCCTTGGTTATACCCTTGCGAAGGGCCACCATGTTGCTGCCCGTACTGCTGTCCACCGTAGCCCTGACCTTGCTGCTGGTATCCTGGACCAAGGTCATCGAAGGTACGCCCGGCTGTCTGCTGGTTGATGAAAATCCAGTGCTTATCGCGAGGGCCCCATGCAGCGTGCTAAGGAGGGAGGAGAGGACCTTGTGGGTTTGAGCCTCCAGAGTGTGAGAATCAGTGGCAGGTGAACTCGGAAATCATGTCTTTGACAAACGACACATTGTGTAGTGTCGTAGGTCGAGACAGTGTAAGCGAAGTCAATCGGGTGATTGTGCTGTTCCGTACGATAAACCAGAGGTCAAGATGATGATGAACTTATATTTTCTTTAAAAATTCTGGAATTAAGACTCACTCTAGAAGATATTAGAAGATTATATATAACTATATCTATATCTAAAAGATATCTATTAAGTAATTTTGAAGTCTAAAAGATCTTATAGAAGATTAAAATAAAAATAAAAATATATTTCAATCTCTTTCTTCTTCTCTTCTCTATATTATCTATTATTAGAAATATTCTTAGAATAATTTACTTATCTACTCTTTTTTATTTCCTTATATAGAGAGTAAGAGCCTATTTAGAAGTATATTTAAATATAGCTAAAATACTTTCTAGAGTCTTAACTCTAGATCTAATAAAGATAGTATAAGTTAATAATATTAAATAGTTAGTATAGCTTAGATAAGACTATATAATTAGTTTATCTAAGGGAGGCCATACTCTAACTAATCAATACAGTACGCTAATACTACTACGCCTGTTGTATTTCATGCCTTAGGTGTCGATGCGAGTGTAGTAGCTATGCCCGGCGGCTAATTACGGCAGCCGAGTAGACGCGGACTAGCAGCCAATAGACAATTAGCCTACAGTAAAGTCGGCTCTTCAATACGACCTAAAAGTTGGGCATGCGAACGGCGTATATACTATGTACAGTACCGTAATAAGTATACACATACATATATAATTATATCCATACCTTTAACCAGAGGGTTCAATAGCCACTCCGTTCATGGCCCAGCTCCCGAGTCTTTGCTCCGGGCTTCGTCATTTTTCGCTACTCTCGCTGCTACGTGGCGTAGCGACGTCAATATTGTTATAAGCCAAGAATAAGAACGATAACCAGTCATTATTTCCATAGCGCGCGCACAACTGCCCGGACGAGCCTAGTATATGCACATCATCCAACACTCACGTCATGTTTTGCCATGCATAGAGACGGAGACACTGCCCGACAGGTCAGTACTGGTAGGGGGTGCAGTGCGCCCGTCACGACGATGGATCCACTGCCCGCTCGTGAACACCATTAGCGGAAACTATATACCTATATACCTGCATACACCCTGCATCGGGTGCTTCTTGCTTCTCTTCGTTTAAAGCACACTTCTACCCGGGGTAAGTTGAGGCTGAGGTCATGCTCTTCGTTGCTTTGCTGCTTACTGAATGACCTCCTCCATCTCACAATCGTCTCCCGTTCGGCCCGTCATTCTTTGTGCAGCCCATCAATATTCTTCCTATCGATATTCCTACCAGCGACAATAGTCCATCATGGGATACAGTACGTGGTTGTTGTTTGCCATTGCGCAAGCCCTGGCCACTGTCGCACTGGCGCAAACTGTGAGTTACCCTGGACACGAGTCGAATTGAAACAAGCTGCGTCAATCTGTTCCACCATACCCCTCTGCGCGCAACCACCAAGAATAGATAGCCAGTTTCCCTTGCGTCGCCGCTACACACTCCACCCAGAATGGAGCTTTCTCAAAGCTTCCTGATAACCTTGAATGCTTTGTTTTCATTTCTACATCTCCCCATCGCAATACTACATCGTGCAGAATCACCAGCTGTTCGTCAACGAGGTTTGCTGTGCTCATGGGCTAATTCCTGCTAGTTTCCAAATACCACATATCCAAACGCTACCGTGCCAGGTAACGAAGGCCTCAATAACGCATATTCGCCTCCAAAGTACCCTTCACCATGGATGGATGGCTCCGGCGGCTGGGATCAGGCCTACGTAAAAGCTCAGGCATTTGTTCGTCAATTGACCCTGTTGGAGAAGGTCAATTTGACCACTGGTGTTGGGTATGCGCGCATGAGAAGCCAGAACCGCGTCGGCTGCTGACAAGAGTACAGTTGGGAAGGAGGACCATGCGTTGGTAATGTTGGCTCTGTTCCCAGACTTGGTTTCGAGGGCCTGTGTATGCAGGATTCTCCATTAGGCATTCGGTTCGGTATGTGGAGCGGACCATGCGCGCCTTGCTCTGTTCTTGATTCCAAGAGTGTGCGCTGACACTTTGTAGCCGACTTCGTCTCTGCATTTCCCGCCGGTGGGACCGTTGCCGCTGCTTGGGACCGCGGTTTGTGGTATGAGCGTGGCTATCAGATGGGCATGGAGTTCAGAGGGAAAGGCGTTGACGTTCAGCTGGGCCCTGTCGTTGGCCCGCTTGGTCGTTCACCAGCTGGTGGCCGTAATTGGGAAGGCTACAGCCCTGATCCTGTCCTGTCTGGGATTGCTGTTGCCGAGACGATCAAAGGAATTCAGGCTGCTGGCGTAGTTGCGACTACGAAGCATTACATTATGAATGAACAAGAGCATTTCCGTCAGGTTGGTGAATCCGTCGGCTATGGTTTCAACATTACCGAGACGCTGAGCTCGAATGTTGCCGACAAAGCGATGCACGAGCTATACCTGTGGCCGTTTGCGGATGCTGTCAGAGCAGGCACCGGCGCCATCATGTGCTCTTACCAGCAAATCAACAACTCGTACGGTTGCGCAAACTCATACACCCTCAATTACCTCCTCAAGGGCGAACTCGGCTTTCAAGGATTCGTCATGAGCGATTGGCAAGCTCAGCACGCTGGGGTGAGCACTGCGCTTGCAGGAATGGACATGGCCATGCCTGGTGATGTTCTCTTCAACACGTACACTTCTTATTGGGGCCCGAACATGACGGTTGCTGTTCTCAACGGGACTCTGCCTGAATGGCGTCTCGATGACATGGTCACGCGCATCATGGCTGCATTCTACCTCGTAGGCCGTGACACCGCTCGAGTCCCAGTCAACTTCAACAGCTGGAGCACCGACACATTTGGCTATCAGAATGCCTACGCCAGGCAGAACTATGGTCTGATTAACCAGCACGTAGACGTTCGTGGCGAGCATACAAGATCTATCCGCACCGCTGCCGCCCGATCCACTGTTCTTTTGAAAAACGTTGGCAGCACCCTGCCTTTGTCAGGTATGGAGAAATTCACCGGTATCTTCGGCGAAGATGCTGAAGACAGCAAATATGGCCCTAATGGATGTCCTGATCACGGCTGTTCCAACGGCACCGTTGCGATGGGTTGGGGATCGGGGACTTCTAGCTTTCCATTTTTGGTGTCGCCACTCACCGCCATTCAGAACGAGTTGGTCCAGAATGGCAGAGTTGTGCAGTCTGTGACGGATAACTATGCTTACAACTACATTGCGGCTCTTGGGAGACAGGTCGATACTGCCATCGTCTTCGTGAATTCTGACTCTGGTGAGGGTTTCATCAACGTCGATGGAAATATCGGCGACCGTAACAACCTTACCCTTTGGAACAACGGTGAGACTCTAATCCAGAATGTCACGGCTGTATGCAATAACACTATCGTCGTCATTCACTCCACCGGTCCCGTCACTATCGGTTCATGGAACGAGAACCCTAACGTGACTGCAATTCTTTGGGCTGGTCTTCCGGGTGAACAGTCGGGTAACTCTATTGCCGACGTCCTGTACGGTCGTGTTAACCCAGCCGGCAAATTACCTTTCACGTTAGGCCGCGACCGTGCCGACTATGGCTCCGATCTCCTTTATGAGCCAAACAACGGCGAGAATGCACCACAAGACAACTTTGAGGAAGGTGTCTTCATTGATTACCGAGCCTTCGACCGTGCTGGAATCAAGCCTGTGTACGAGTTTGGATATGGACTATCCTATACAACGTACAATTACTCTGATATACAAGTCCAAAAGCACTCCGTTGGCGAATACACGCCAACCACGGGTCAGACAGGATCTGCTCCGGTTCTAGGAAACTACAGCACCGACGTAAATGACTACCAGTGGCCTGCTAATCTCACCTACGTCACTTCGTATATTTATCCTTATCTTAACTCCACCGACCTGGCCACTGCCTCCAACTCCTCTGACTATGGTAGCGAAGACTTCCTCCCGCCGGGTGCTCGTGACTCGTCCCCTCAGCCACGCATTGCTGCTGGGGGTGGCCCAGGTGGTAATCCACTGCTTTACGATGTCATGTTCACCGTCACCTGTACCGTTACAAATACCGGTGACAGAGATGGAGAGGAAATCCCTCAGCTTTACCTCAGCTTGGGTGGTGAGGACAACCCCAAAGTTGTCCTGCGTACCTTCGCTCGTCTAAGCATCAATAAGGGTATGTCGGCTACTTTTGTTGCAGACGTAACTCGTCGCGATCTGAGTAACTGGGACACCACAACCCAAAATTGGTACATCTCAGAACATCCAAAGACCGTGTACGTTGGTCCAACCTCGAGGAATCTTCCTCTCAGTGCCCCGCTTGACATTTGAAGCTATGCAACGGTATGAGATGCAAGTCCTGGATTGAAATGATGTTTGAGCCTTGGGTTATATAGCGATTCAGGTAGTAATGTGATAAAAGCGTTATGTCGAAACTGTAGAAATTCTGCAGTCTAGTTGTATACCTGAGAACCAAAGTTATTTTCAATGTCCGTCGTTACTGTAAAGCCCTGCAGTGTGAATCCGACCAGATAATGTACCATTCCGGGGTAACACCCTCCCAAGCTACAGGTCGGGAAGCTCAAAACGGTCGTGGCGCTCGAGACCAGGCAGTCTGGGCAGGGTCACGTGGCCAGAATGATCTCTACGTACGTCATATTGAAGGCGCCGAACTTAGGCCGCCATCGCAGCTCTCGTACGAGGGTAGGGGCCAAGAATTTATTTAGTAACGGCCGCGAAGGGGCTCGTTTCAATTCATTCCTACGCTTGTCTTGGGCTTATTTGTATGCAAGAAACCGGACGATTGAGTCAGGATAGAAAGAAAGAGAGAGAGAGAGAGAGAGAGAGAGAGAGAGAGAGAGAGAGAGAGAGAGAGAGAGAGAGAGTCTGGAAAGATGATTTAGTCCATGTTCCTGGATCGACGCTGTGGTGCTCGCTCTGTTTGACAATTGTCACTGTAATTAATTATTTGGGTGACGCACGAAACACGGCACTAGTAGTTTGCCGAAAGCGTGTGCGTGTTTGCCCCACGTGACGTGCTGCAACAGATCGGCATCACCTTGTAATCAATCCAGCCAACAGCAGTCAACGCTCGCCCTTGTCGTTGTTTCTGCTGCTTGAAGACATTATCTGAGCTTCAATCCTTTACTATATACTCAATACAGACACGCTGGCATATACTCGAGGCTTCTGAAGTCTGGGTTGCAAGGACACGGAGCACGCCTGCACTGCGCTTGTCTCCGATCGAGTGCGCGCGTCCGACGCAAAAACAACACGACTCTCTTCAGGTTCCTTGTCCGTCGAAGCCGCAACCACCACTTTCTCCCGCCGACCACACCGACCACACCGACGGCGACAATCTGCCAGCTGTCATCTGCTTTGCATTCATACTGAGATGACGCTGCGCTCTGCAAATTAAGCCAAAGACAGTTTCACCTGCGACTGGTACGGTCTAGCTAGCGGCGAGCGCAGCCATCACAAACATAACATTTCCGCCGGCAAAACCTGCACACTTCCTCACAAACACCACCTGCGGAATTCAGTGTCAGAGCATCCTCCCGTCTGGAAGGTCGTGGCTCCATACTAGCAAACACACACAAACACTGCAAATAAGCCCTACCTGCATTACCCAGCCATCTTCGCACGAATTCTATAAATATTTACGCTTTCCCTCCAGTCACCCTTGACCCTGTCGACAGCAAATCCACCTCCAGAATGGCTCCGCGACGACGAAGTGAACGGACAAAGAAGGAAGTCGAGGCAGAGGATATCGATGCGACTGAGATTATGTCGACTCCAACAAGGAAAAGAAGACGAGTAAGTGTTTGCTTAATAAGACTCCCCTCTGTACGACAGACATGGACCAAACTGTGTTTATTGACATGACTTTGCCCTTGTCATGGCAAACATCGAAGCTATGTTGACGATATTCTATAGCTGAACGGAACTGAAAATGCTGCCCAGTCCCCAGCCCCCGGATCTGTGCCTGAGACTGTACCTTCACTTGATCAAGTTGTGCCTGTAAAGGCGAGCAGTCCTGATTCAGTCGAGACAAAAGATGACGATGCCGAAAGCGAACCTTCGATCGACGAAATAATAGCGAACTTGAAAGTTGCGCGAAACCCAATAACTGCTTCAATTGAGCTTTCAAACGACTTACATGCGCGGGATGCAAACGAAAGGCCGGCATTTGCCAAGATTGCTGGTCGTGATTGGACCCTTTTTGTCCAACAACCTTATGTGCATATTGGCCGTGCCGAACGCCCAAATCACCCGCAAGATGGTCTCACTCCTGCAAGCATTCCCGGTACAATATCGTCTGCAAACACGGGTAGTAATTTCCACATAGCTATCGACTTGGGTCCAAGTCGTGAGGTGTCGCGACTCCACGCCTCGATCGAATACAATAGCGATACAGAAAAATGGATCCTCACAACAAGAGGTCGTAATGCGCTGAGAGTTGATGATGCGACAGTCCACAAAGATCACAATGTCACCTTGCATTCTGGCTCCGTCATCGCGATCGTTGGTACACAGATGCTGTTCATTCTGCCCAACGTGGAGCCTGTAATTCATCCATACATCAAGCAGCAGGCGCTCGCAGATCCAGCCGAAACATCAACGGATGAGGAGACGCGCTCCAGGCGGCGCAATGGTAGAGGCTTTATTGATGACCGCCAGTTCACCGATCTTGATCCGTTTCCTCCCTCTTCCACAGGCTTCAAGCCCTACCCACAAAGCGCTGTGAAACCAAGGGCCAGTTTACCGGGTAATACTTTCGCTGCAGCTGCCTTCGCTGGAGCTCCTCAGCCTGCTACACCTCTAGCATCGCGCGTAAAAGAGCGAGCACCCCAGTCTCCGGGATATGCACGCGGAGTCATGATGGAGAGCACGGAGGATATCGATTATAGCGCAGATTCTGCCAAAGAACTCAAACCTCCTCAGAGTTACGCCCAACTTATCGGTCAGGCCATAATGAGCAGTCCGGATGAGATGTTGACCCTAGCGCATATCTACCAGTACATCCGTGACAAATATGCATTCTATCGTTACAGTGGTAGTGGGTGGCAAAATTCGATTCGCCACAATCTCTCGCTGTCAAAAGCCTTCGAGAAAGTAGCACGTCGTACCGATGAGCCCGGCAAGGGGATGAAGTGGAAGATTGTCGACGACCAGCGTGATGAATTCATTCGTAAGACATTGATGAATGGTCGCCGCGGAACTGCACGCATGGGTTCTTCAGGTCCGAATTCTCCCGCGGCGGGCATGGCCCCTTCTTCGCATCCAGGTGAGCGGTTCCTTGGGTACATGCAGAGAGACAATGGCCGACCTCCAACCTCAGATTCTAAGATGAAGTCTCCGCAGCGTTCTCACACTCCCCCATTCAATCAGATACCCCAGGCTACTGAGGCGTATACCCCAGAGCGAGGTCCTCGTCTCGCGAAGGGCTCGGACATCATGCCACCGTCGAACAACGGGGAACAATCTCGAACTCCCATCAACAGCCGGGCTCAACATGGTACACATCCGTCTTATGCCGCGAGCAGCAGCGCGAACGTTGACACGACAAGTAGACTTGACCGGAACCCCAGCGCACCCGACACCGCCCCGGGTCTGAGGGTCAGTGGCTCAAACTCTCCTCCTCTGTATGGAACCGAGACCAGTCGCGCGAACCATCTCGTCACACCACTTGTAGCTCGTCATGCTCCACGCCTTGCGCCTCCGTCGACGGCGCAGGCTCCATCACAGTTCATGCAATTAAGCTCGCCCGCCCCATTCTGGAGATATGCAGATCTTGGGAGTACTCCTGTGCGTACAGAATTGAGTCCTTCGCGGAAGAGAAAACACACAAGCGATGATGAAAGTACACCAGATATACCGCCGCAACCAAGCAGCCCACCTTTACCTCAGCCAGAGTTGGACAAAGACGCAGACGAAGAGGTGCCCGAGCCTGTTAGCCCTACCCGTAGCATGAGCCGGCCGATGAGCCGACGACAGACTAAGTCAGGACGTGAGCGCACCCTTAGCTCTGTGTCCAACAGTGGTATAGCAGGAGACAAGATTCCTCAGGGCTCATCTTTCAATGCTGGGTTCGGTGGCGTTATCGCGCGTCCGTCATCTACGATTGCAGCGAATACTACACGCGGATCGGGAGTGTCTTACGGCAAAAGGGCCAGTCTCGCCAGAGACAGAATGGACGATGAGGAGGAAGAGGGTATCGATCTTGCCAAGTGAGTCGCAACCAATAGGATAACGACAAGATCGTACAGCATATTGATGACATCGACAGAGGCTTTCAAAAAATCGGCAGCTTTCATTCAAGCTTTCCACGCCCTTAAGTTCTCATGAATTTCGACTTCGGAAATGGTCCGATAGATACGGCCCATGTTCCTCGTCAGCTATGATTCTCTACACGAGCATTTAGGTGGACATTCCCCTTTCTTTGCCTATAAAGCGGCATCCTTTGTTCAACTGTGCATCATACTTTTATGAATCACGGGCGTCTTGCCTAGGGTCCATTTCTTTACTTATTGTATCTATTATGACATGCCCCGCAACAGGGATCATTTCTCGGAGTTTGCATCTTCTTGCAGGGAACTATGCTACGAAAAGTCTACATGTGTTATGTCCGCGCTAGGGGTGTATAAGTTAAATCAAGGTCGCGTTGATGTGGTGGTTTCGCATGTATGTAGTACTATGAATGTCGACAGACCAACTCTTTGTGATTCATATGTCTACCTTGATTCATATCTCCACGTTATAACCATCTTTCGCTCCTTCGCCGGCTGGCGCGCGGCACTGTGGACTACTCCATTCTCGCAAAGCCTTAAATATCGCTTACCCTGGCCACTGGCCGGGACCATACTTAAGGTGCCTTTATGGACTTAAAGGTGAGAGCACCTTGGTAGAACCTCTTATCATCTATGACCTCGTTACACTACGTATTTTACTACTTACCTCTAAGTCTTCTCCATGTTCTCCTATCCTGTGGGAGCAAATAATCTGAGCGTACGAGAGAAGTTGCAGTTTGAGTCGATGGAGCATTAGACTATGAAACTAGCACCAATAATTTCCACACGCTTCAACGTTACTTCTGTTTCTCAAGTCAGACACCCTTCCGTCCACCAAGCGCCAGCATAGCAAGCAGATTTTACCGCCTTTGGGAAAATAGCTCCAATTGCACTCGTTATTACCGTGGCCGTGTATCAAAGGACACATGTGTATTGCAGTAAAGGGTGAAGCTCATCCCTAATATCCCAATCTGAATATGATGACTCCCGCTCCGCGTTGTAAAGTCTATTGCGCTTCTCCCGTCTCCTTCCTCGGCAACAATGGGCACCCCAGGTATCTGTCTGTCCTTCTCCACAGTTTAGACATCGTTGCTTTTTACAGTCTGACTGGCCAGCCTATCATTATCATATAACGCTAGGGCGTCGACGCTGTCCAACTTGACGATGTCAGGGGTGGCGGAGCTTGGCTGTGCTTACACTGTATCTCAACCCGGGCTCACAAGACGTAGTTTGGAGTGCGGGAGGATCAAGTGAAGATGGAAGTCAAAGAATTGGCGGTCTCGTGGGTGACCGTGGGGGTCGTGGACTCGTGGCGAGGTGGATGATGAGACTTGTGTCACGGAAGAAGAGGTTTGGGCTTTGTGGATATGGTACCGAAGACGTGGATGCAAGATACAATCTCCAGGGGTCGGGACACAGCGGTGATACACCCTCTGAGCATCTCAATTGTTCTATCTGTTTCTGTGGTGTATCAAACATGTTGGTTGATTTACGGTTTGCTGACTGTAACTATGATATCAATGACAATTTTCTCTTCTTGGTCTTCCAGTCCTAATATTGAGGTCAATCCCAAACCATCTTTGCTTTTCTAAGAAAAGAAACCCCAACTGGTCAAATGATGTTTTTGATTGCCACTATGGCTATGGTTTTGCTACACAGTATACCGGTCATTGGGTCATTGGGACTATATGGCGGACATCGATGGATGGAGGGATCTCTGACTAGGCTTGTGGAAGGTTTCGAGCTTCATTTCTGGCTTGTGTTTGAACAGAGCATCTATCTATTTCGGTTAGTATGTGACGGAGCGTATAGTGACTATATACATCTTACTTTCTTATTGTTGGATCTCATTTCCCCGATCAGCGCCATCAATGTGACGGACACCACCACCCACCCAAGCAACACTTTGACGAGACGACTATCGAGCCGACTTTACGGATCTTCTTCTTAGGAGGCACGATAAAATGACCTTCCTCGTCACCTATGCCCTCGGAAATCTCATGCATCGAAGCAGCCGTCCGCGACTGTGCAAGATTCCTATCCTCTCGTGGACCTTCAGAGCCAGAACTCTGACCCTCCTGGCCCATTTCTGTATATTCATACTTCTGTGTTGACTGGTGTGCATGGCCGAATCAGTGTTAGAGAAGGTATACTGAACTAAGTTGTGAGTATTAAGCTCAAAAATAAGCAGAGATGGGTTTTCTCAGGTAAGGATGTTAACAGGTAATCGTTACTCGTATTATGCCTCTATACAAGTCACATTGTAACACGCATGCTAAACAGACTTGACCTAGTCAATATGGTTCTTTATAGTGATACCGGATATATTATACGATTGAGCCAAGATCATAAGAGTGATTTCTAGTTTCCAAAGAGAAAAGTAACTACTATACGCTACATAAGCATACCGTTCAGTCTAAATAGAACTAGGTATTTTTATATACCCTGATGAACATATATCATCTATCTAAACCTTAGTAGATAGCAAAGTCTCTCCTCTTGGAATAAGTAACGTAGAAACGTAGAAAGGCTCTTCGTACAATCGCGAAAGCTTTGTATGCACAGCTCTCAACGGAATCATTGAACAACTCGTTCCTCCCTTTCATAGCTGATACGAACTTGCCTAGTGGCTGCTAGACAGTAGAAAATCAATACCTTACAGTCTATTAGGCTTTGAAACACAGGGGTGGCTTTAGCTTCTTGGGCATATACCCAACGAGCATGTACAATCACCAAACAACAATGGTTCACATTTCAAAGCACACATCGAGGAGGAAACCCGCGTATATTCAGCTCTCTATAAGCTGAAGAGCTCTCTCAGCCCCAGCCAACCAGCCCGTCAGCCCCTGTCTGTTTGCTGCCGGACACCTCTACTTCTTCTTGTCCTCTTTCGACTCAGCAGGCGTCTCACTCTCCGACTCTGTCTCCATGGCATCATACATGTCTTTCAAGTTGCGCTCAAGCTTCTTGAGCGCCGCCTCTTCTGAGAAATGCGGGGAGGTCCGCTGATGCTGGGAGCCGTCCTTCTTGACGTACGCGTAGAACAGGTGCCCACTCCGCTCAAGCCCAGTACTGTACTCTCCCGGGCCCCAAATTGCTTCGACGTACTGTTCTATACGGCGATAGTAGCCATTCTTCTCGGTTGGGGACATGGGGACGGTCGTCATGGTGGAGTTAGGCATGGTGGTCGAGAAGTGGTATTTAGATGAGGCTGTGGTAGGCATTAGTTATTGGAAGCAGAAGTGTTGCTGTGAGAAAATACATCGTAATTGAATCAATAGAATTGAGATAGTGGAATCGAGATGGTGAACTTTCGAAATTGGAAGTATGTCGTGGTTAGGAGGTGGTGACATGGAAGAGAAAGAGAGCTGGTTTCTGTTTGAGGATGCCGGTATATATAGGCAGAAGCTTTCGATTGCTGCCTCTGTGCCTTACCGGACATGCATAGAAAGGGGTCTCATCTCGCGTACGAAGACATGGGCGCAACCGAGGGCATCAAACTAGAGAACACACAGGATAGAACACCTCTAAGTGACTTGCTTTGCATATGTGTCATTCTGTTCCAGATGTAGTATAGTTCTAATTGTGAATTGATCCTGCTCGTAAGCGAGTGTTCGTGCTGTACTTACTTGTATCGCCGATGGTCTTTCTTGCCTAATTCAGTAAGTCGCATCTGTGTATACAAAACTAGGGTCAATAACTCGCCAATTTCAGTGAATAGGCTCGCTGTTACTGGGTTGCATGTCGGAGCCTAATGTAGTACTTACTTGATTTATTGTCGCATAACATATTCATGATAGCTCGCTCGGTACCCCTTTGGGTACTTGCAGGGATTATGCTGGCCTCTTGGGGTTGGCAAACTTTATACTCTCCTGTTCTATAGTGAATGATTCCAGTCTAGACCATGTTAGGTCTACCCGTTTCGACTTACATGACTTACCATGACACATCATATTTTACGATTCCAAGGATAGTTTGTAAAGATATTGGGAGACTATTTCCTGATGCTAGCCCCGGGAGAATGACTGTTAGATTTTATGGCATCGCGGGCTCGGTAGAAGTTTTTGATCCCACTTGCTATATACACATAGACTTCAAGGCTTACCATGATTCTATGGTGGAGATTAAAGCTCAATCAAAACTGGATTCCTTGGTGCTATTGTTAGTATGTTGCTTTCCGGTAGAGTTCTATATTATTTTCTCAAACCTAACCCAGTTGTCTTCATTGACGATATTACATGTATTCACTGTATTCACTCGCTGTTAAGTGATCCCCGAAGCTCTGGTCCTAATGGCTACACCAGACAGATAAAATTCTCAGCGCAACTGCTTCCCAGCTCTGACATCTATAATACTAAGCTGCATAACGGATCTCGTACTGGTCGCTTTTGCGCTTGCCAGAGGTACTCTCCTCTATACACCATATATCTCGTATGAAAGAGCCGAAATTAGAATTTCGTTTGTGAAAAATATCCACACACAATCACAAAGGCTTAGATTCTGATAACTTGCAGCGATAGATTTCATTTCATGATGTCTACGTATGTAAAGTATGGTTGAAGCCACTATCAAAAATCCCGGTCAAATCATTCACCACAGGTTTCGCTATCGGGTCCCCTCTACAAGGCAGCGATGGCGACGGAAAGCCTGACCACACGTATTACCAAGTATTCACGAGCTTTTATGATGTACTTTCTTCTCTCTAGCGTGGTGGCTGTATGCTAATAGAAAATGGTCAAGAATTTAGTATCCTGATTGAGGCTAGAGACCACAATCGCTCCACCATATTTTGCTGCTACGCAGCAAAATCATACAACGTTTAGTATCGTATCAGCCGTAGAAAAGGCTTTGTATCTACCATCTTCGTCCTGACATATACACTAGAGCTGACGCAGTTCATCTAGATTGCTAGACATGAAAATTGTAAGAAGGGATTTGCAGGATGTGTGAGCGCGGGTTGATTAGGGGAGAAAACGCTTTCTCTCGATGCTCTATAACAACTTGCCGAAAGCATCTAGCAACGATTTCAGTAAATTCCGAATTGAAGTCTGGGTATATGATATGTGTCGTTGTATGTCTTTAGGTTCTGGGTACCCGAGGTTGGGGCTGAATGCTGATCTTAATGCCAATCCATCCATATGCCCTTGCCTAAAACTGACTAGCCAGCTTCTTCGGCGTTGGGTTTTGGGCTGCCCAGAACACGTCGCGCGTTAGAAATTACTTAGCTGAACAAAGGCGCCTTGTCTGCCTAATCGGAAGAGATTCCTTGCTGTTCCAATTGTGATATGGCCCGGCCTTTGCAACATTAAGAGCATCCGACTGTGGTCACACTTCCCAGGACTGCGCTCTCTATTTTACTCACATCCCTCATCGCAAGTGTTGATTATCCACAGCCAACATGAGAGCCCAGTTCGGAGCTCTCCCCGTCGAGCTTCAGGGGAAGATCGTCAGCTCTTGTGATCAGTTGACATTGTACAACTTGAACTTGGTGGACAAAGAGTGTAATCGCTTGGCAACACCAGTTCTTTACTCTAACGTCAGACTCGCGAGCGTGAAGGTGCCAGGAAGGGCGTTGCCAGGGGCAAGATCGCTCAAACCATTCACGTGGACAATGTTACAGACACCTCATCTTGCGCGATTAGTGAAGACGATCACCTTCAGACACGAATGGGCAACCGGACCGCCAACGAGTATAGATGGGCCGGGTAGTGGACTTGATCCGTGGCCATATCACTCTCAGCGTAACGACATACTCCTCGAGAAGGTCACTCCGCTGGTTAGAACGCGTAGAGAGAAGAGTGAATGGCTTGACAAGTTGATAGCCGGTCATGAAGAAGCTATTGTAGCACTATTGTTACCTTATCTTGTGCGTCTGCGTACGCTTGACTTGCGGCCAAATTTCGGGGGGCCATGTCCCACTCTTGAGCGGCTGTTTGTTACAGCAGGTCAGACGAAGCATACACTTGATGGGCATCCTATCCTCTCGACTATCACGAACGTTATGGTTTCAGGGTATGATGGAAAGTATCCCACGCCCACACGCTTCTTTTTCTATGCGATCCAGCTCCCTGGCCTTGAAAGTCTGTTTAGTCACCGACTAGGAGATTCCGAGCTTGCGGAGCACCATAATATTGTCAATGATATACCATCACGATCTCTGAGCGTCCAGAATATCGAGCTGCGATGCGCCAAAATGGACCACCAAGATCTAGCAGGTATACTTGCATCATGTAAATGTCTCAAAACGTTCATATATGAAGTAGGTAACACATGGGCTTGGATAGACATGCGGACAGAACAAGTACGCCAGGCGCTTGCCTCTCAGGAGAAGAATCTGGAAAACCTCTGCCTCAGCACCGAAGAGTTCGGCGGCTTCAACATGTACAGCGACTCGGCAGACCCAATATCATTTTCAGGGTTCATCAACGTCACGCACCTTAAAATCGCACCAGTGTACGTCTTCGGTCCTAGAGCCATTCCGGAGAGCTTCAAAGACGCCCGGGATCAGCCTTCCGAACAACCCGATTCGGATGAACAACATAAAATTAGGAAGGCATTTATTGGAACGCTGCCTCCTAATCTGAAGAGGCTTCACTTCACGCGTTCCAGACTCCTTTTCGAAAAAGATCACTTTTTCCCCGCCTTCGAAGAGCTTTTTGTCCACCACGACTCGCTCAAGGCAGTTCCATCGCTCTCATTGGTAACGTTCGAGGGAGACTTCATCGGCAAAACTCGCTTGTGTAGAAGAGCCGCTCGCGTCGGCTCGATGGTTATTTCCAGGGGAATTGAAGTTGAGTATATCCAAAGCAGAGAGGGTACGCATGAAACAATGCATATCGATCGAGGATTTGGCATGAGTGAAAAGATAATGTTCGAAAGGAACACGCACAATACGATTGCAGAAGTGCTCTCGATAGGGCCTACAACTAGAAGTGTCAATGATGAGCTTGAGGAATGGGCCAGAATGAAGCTATGGACGAAGGATTACAAGACTGGCAAGATGGTTCGAAAAGACCAAGACAGTGGTGATGAGGAGAATGGTAATAAAGTAGTAACGCGAAAGCAACTGGCAAGCCAAATCGCCCATGCCACAGCCACAGATCAATAAGAATATAGTGCAGGTGAGATGAAATCGTCATAGTGTTACATGATTGCGAAAAGCTACTGCATGCAAAACGTATTTTATTCTGGGATATCCGTATATGACTATTGGGGTTTCTGATGCAACATTCTGTCTCTAGTGCTCTTTGCGAATACGAGTGGCTTGCCAGTGGTGTAGACCCGAGAAAATAGTTCTAGACCTCTTGGTGGGGCAACTATCAATCCGGATAGATTTAACAACGTCAGCTCTCTTCTCAATGGATTGTCCTCAGCATCAATCTCAAACTATGAGATGCGGCTTATGAACCTGAACAGTGTTCTACGCAGAGCCTCGTAACAGATTACAGTCCGAAAGGCCCATTTCTAAGTCGTGTTCAGGGGGAAATTGCTACAGGCACACCGATTCAACTTGTGAGCCGGTGTCAACACTACTTGCATCACGTACTTTCAAAACAAGCATCTCCAGAAACGTCACTATAAGCCTCTTACAGTCGACGAAAACTGTAGAGCATCCATCATCATGCCGTTCTCCTCCCGAATCCAGTCCTTCATTGACAAAGCCGAGCAAAAAGTCACGCACGAAGTCCAGCAAAGATTCCCCAACGCTCCCCCGGTTCCCACATTGAGCAAACCACGACCCCAGCCCGGCGCTGCATACTGGCAACCCCAATTCAGTCCCAACGAGCCCGTCTCGACGCACTTCCAACACATGACCGGTCAGCATGGCTGGGGAAACAACGAGGCCCAGAACTACATCGCAAGTCCCGAGACGTCCTTCTGCGGCACCGACACCCTAACGCTGCGCGCAATCATTCAACACAACCAGCCCGAGAACGCGCACAAATTCACCTCGGCGCGCCTCACAAGCCACCAGACCTTCGGTCGCCCGCGCGGCAGTCTCTCCGCGCACATCATCGCTCCGGTTGCGCAGGGCATATGGCCTGCGTTCTGGCTTCTGCCCGCAGAGCCATACACCTGGCCGACAGACGGCGAGATTGACATATTCGAAGCGTGGAACGGCGAGGCGACGAACCATTCTTGTCTGCACTGGGGCCACTTTAACGGGCCGGACCACGACAAGCACCGCGTTGTGGAGTCGCCCATACCCGGCATCTCTGCGCAAGGCGCGCGGTTTGACTTTGCGTGGGAAGAGGACGAGGCAACTGGACAGGGACGGTTTGTGTGGTATATCGACTCGAAGCCCGTGATGAAGGCGAGTAAGCCCGCGGGCACGAGACGGATGCGGGACTTTAGAATTATGATTAATATTGCGGTGGGTGGTAATGTGTGTAAGGGGAAGATGCCGGGGGATGGGACGTATGAGATGGTGGTGAGGAACTTGGCGATGTGGGAGGAACCGCCAGGTGGCTGGGGGAGATTTAATGGGGATTTCTGCAGTGCAAGGGAGGGCCATATGATGTGAATCGTGAGGATGGTCTACGAGACAAGAACTATGTTGGCACGCCTGGCAGTTGTCATCTCACAAGAACGCATCGACATAGCTACGACCTGGAGCTTCGGGTAGTATTTCTCTTCAAGTGAAAATGAATTGACCGGGATCTCGAAAGAGGCATACGATATATTCCATTATCTTGTCTTCCCTCAACCGCATAATGTGCATAAGCGTATTTGGATTTTTGTCTCCCGACCCGACCAAAACCTGATTCTCCGCAGATGGGCATGAGATCTCTCGCTCCTTGTCAGGGTCTTCTCACACGATATCTCCTCTGATACTCCATTCGTCGCCTGCGCACATCTCTCAGACCCGCTAACCATGGCCTCTCCATGTGATACAGCAGTTCCTAACGTGTTGAGAACCCCAAGATCCTCAGGTCTCGATCCGTAACCACACGTTCGTATCCACCACGGTTCTCCACCAGGTCCTGGTCCCTCGCCCTTCTCTCTGCAGCTCTCTTCTCTCTATCTCCATGCTCGTCTGTCCAGTATGTCTTTCCATCCCTCTCACCACCGTCTTGATACCCTCCTCCCTCTCCGCCCTTCCCCTCGTCCCCTTTCGCCTCCACCTCTCTCCTGAGCCGTGCCCTTTTCTCCCTTCCCATCTCCTCCACCTTTCCTCTAATAACTCCCTCGGCCTCCTCCAACAACGCCGCCAACCTCCTCCTCTGCGCTAAGAACACTGCCCAATCCTCCCCGTTACCGCCCATCACGCCACCTCTCACGCGCACATACGCCAGATTTGACACCATATGCCGCAACAACTTGTCCCCACGCTGCACACACGCCCCGACGCGATCAATGAAATCGGCACCGACACACTCCTTCTTGGCGTTGATGTATTCGGCAAGCGGCTTATACAGCACACGCACTGCCTCCGGGATGTCGAGTGCGGCGGCGGCGGCGTAGTGTTCAATGAGGGTGAGGCGAGACTCGGGGATTGGAATGCGGTGCGCGATACGTGTGGTGCATGTGTGGTGTAGCCAGGATAGGATCGCCCTTAGCGCGCTCGATGGGATTGTGATGTTTCGGAGCGTGATGCTGGTGGAGGATGGCGAGGCTGCGAGGATGGACGCGCAGAGGGGTGAGAAGCGGAGGACCAGAGCGCGTGGAACAGCGAGGACGGTAGGTGTATGGATAGGAGACGGAGGAAATGAGACAATGTTGATTAGTGGACCGGTAAGAAGGCTGAAGCGGTCCTGGAAAGACATGTTCTTGAGGTGGATGGGGGCTTCTGGTGCTTCGTCGTTGTCTGTCGCTTGCTCAAAGGCACCAGGCAATGGTGATGTCGAGGTATCGGTGGAGCTCCGCGTGCCCTCTTGATGTGGAGGATCCGCTAGGGATGAAGAGGATGATATTGCTCTGGACTCGTGCTTTGCTTTGATCGACATCTTGTTTACATATATCGACGTTGCAATTATTGACGGTGGCTTACTCTGCAGCGAGGAATTATGAGCAAAAAGGGAATTCGGGACTTAGGAGGGTCGATGGTCCAGGACACGCGTGAAGTTGATGTACCAAGCTGTCCTACGTGTTTGGGTGTTTTCCCTATCTTCACTTTCTTTCATTTCGCATCCTGTCAAATTATACCATCTTGCAAGGGCATGATGTAACCCATAGAAGTATCACTGCACTCGTCCCTGCAGCAACGAGATGTAAGCTCACATTTCCGGTTTTGGAGGTTTCATGGTCGTCAAACTGTGTCTTAGATTTTCACCAACACTCTAGTGTCTCTCACCTGTAGTCCAAGAAAAGGCACAGTTCCGGCCCGTCCACATCTGTGTACGGCGATTCACAATTGCAAGCTGCATTATACTAGTATGAGTCCCCTTCAACGTCCGTGACTATAGGGCAAAGGTGGAAATTGATATTCCAGGTGTTGTACCCCGCTTGACTTGTAGGTATGGTACGTACGTTGTTGTAAGAAGTAAAAGTCTGCTTCCTCTGCTCACACGGAGCAGTCGGAGTGCTACGTAGGGAGTGGGCATCGAACGTGCGACAACGACCTCTCTCACACATTCGCACATTGACGTCGCGCCGAGCAGAGCCTCGAATGTATGATTAAGATGTGATGAGATGATCATGCAGAGTGATAGTCGTGCGAATGGGAGTTGGTATGATTGTGAGTTTTTTAACGTTGCAATGTATGGTCTGCTGAACCTGTCAGTGCCTTGACGCTCGCAGAGCTCCATGGCTGCATATTCATCACCTATTCTAGGGTTCATGACAGTGTACTGTCATGCATACCCGCTTTGTGTGTACACCCCTCCCCCGCGTAGTATATACAAAGAAACATGAACAGTCCGTCAACGTAGTAATATGATACAAAGTGAAAGAAGAAGCAAGTCAGTTGACTCCAATCCAGATACGCGGTCCCTCACCAAGAGAAACTCTCCTCCCTCAAATCCACATTCCACACTCTTTGCCTTGCCCTCACTGCCGCTCGTACATCGTCTGCCAATCCGCCTGTCCCGCATACACTCACACACGCAGCGCCGACTCCGGCGCCCATCTCCTGGTCGACTAGGGCCTGCACGTTTGGCTTCCCAGGGAACATCTTCACACTCTCGCTGGGAGAGTATATCTCGCGCGTGCTTCGTGGCCGTGTGACGAACAACAAGATTCGTAGAACATCCCGGCGTTTCTCTTGCGTCAAAATAGATGTCATCCACGGCCGTATCCACTCCAGATGTTCCGGACTCTGAATTACCCAAACGAGCGTACAGCGACGCGTCGCTGTTGTGCCTGCAGCGAACGCGCTGACCGTGTCGCGTACATATGGTAGCTGATGCGTGATGCCGACGCCTGCGGCGAAGAGCATCAGTGTTCCGTAAGATGTAAGTGATTGTCCGCCATATGGACCCTCTACGATACCGGATGTGCTGAAGCGGCCAGTTGGTGAAGCATGGGCACGGCGAAACAGTGTGTCGGTGAAACCTGTACGACGGCGGATGATTAAACTCATACGGACTTTCCGAGGCACCAGCGTGTCATTTGCCAGCTTTAGGTTCTTCTCATCCGTAGAATATGACAGCGTGGACGAGTCAGAGTCTTCTTCAGAAGACCAGGCAAGCGAAAATGGGTGGCTTGTCCACCAGCCGACAGAGGGAACATAGAGGTAGACGTGTTGACCGGGACGGAACTTCCAGGGGCGCGCGATGGTCATGTTGACGCGAAGAGCGTCGCCAGGGAGGGTCTCGACGTCGAGATGCGTTCCGCCGGCGCCGATATTGCGATAGCTGAGGGACATGATGCGAACGCCGCGCTCAAAGGCCCAGAGCGCAATGACTGCGTAGAGCTGCGGCATCTGTGCGTGATCCTTGAGATGGTACCATAATGCGCCAATACTGACAACGGCAAGGACGATATGGACATGCAGGAACATTTCGTAGAAGGCATGACGGACTATTGATGGAGAGGAGAGTACAATCAGAACCATCGCTGCGGTTGCAACAGTGCCACTGATTATAGTTTCGCTGGTCAACAACTTTTCCTTCACTCCAGCCCATCCTTTCTGTTCAACTTTTACAATCATCCATGCAATTGTATGTCCTAGAGATTGTAGAACCACGATCCTGCCCAGCCATCGATGCATCAGGTTGAATGTGTCAAAGGAGATACCACAGAGATTGATCAGAGGATTGTTACGTCCTGCCATGAGGAAAAGGGGAATCATGTTGACAACTGCGAGTACTCCAAATCGATCCCGGATGATACTTCCATATGCCTTCAGCGGCTGGTTGAAGTCAATGTCGATGACGCAGTAGGCACAATTCATGGCCAGGTACCCGACTAATAACAGGGCTTGCAGTCGACTCGGGAGGGTTCCAATGTTTACGGCTGCGGACAACCTGAACTCGCGGTGGTGGCGATGTTTCCACAGCGGTGCGTCTATGATATGGCGTTTCCATGCCGAGAAGTGTGCGTTTGGCGCAGCAAAGTAGCGCTGCTTCTCGTTGTTGAGACATGTAACTGTCCGGACATAACGAACGGTGTGGAGCGAAATCTGATATATAATGAAGGAGGCCACGAAGGCGATGAAGAACCAACCAAGCCAGAAGGACAAGTCGATATTGATCAAGTCGGATAGAGAAGGCCCATCGTTTTGCCATTGGCCTCCATCGGCAACAACATGGTGGATGAATAAGGCGAGAGCTGCGTAGAGGGCAAGTCGCATAACCATGATTTAGATCCCACGTCCAGCTAAGCAGAGTGACAGGGGCACGACCGGAAATCCTTAATTTTATAGGACAGGACTCACAGCGAATGAGAAAGTTGTTGCCTGAGTGACCAGAACGAAGAGATATTCAGCGATAATGGTGTCACAAAAGACCCGAAATTTGCGATAATGTACCGGTAGTGTTTTCCAGAACGATGAGTCGGGCCAGTGCTTTCGCAGATCACAACACGGCTAGTGTTAATAGCAAGCAAGGTCGGTGCGACAGCCAATGGACCAGAGTGAGAAACGATGAAGAGTTTTGATTGCTGATGAGGAAGCCTGGTGAGCCGGACCTGGTAGGTGAATGCGATATGTAATGACAGTGAAGCTCTAGTCTAAGTCTATTGGGTCGAAGATGGATAGTGAAAGAAGGACATTGAACAGCGCGCCGGGTGCGTATTCAGAGATCGGAGATTGATGGTTGAATAGGGTTACAGAAGTTCGAAGTAGAAGAATAAGAAGAATAAGAAGAAGAAGAGGGGGAGGAGGAGTGGTGTTGTGGTGTTGTGGTGGTACAGGTGGGAGGGAAGGGGAGGTTGTACAGAGATTGACGAGGAGGCGGCGAGATGGCTGAGACTGGGATGTTTCGGTGGTAGGGAGTGGGGAGCAGGGGATCCACTGCTCCCAATCCATTCTGCGGAGCCGGCAGCCGGGCCAGAGAGACAAATCTGGGTGATGTGGAGGGGCAGGGGCCAAGCTGCCTAGCTCCCTATCTCCTGGGTCACACTGCTCCCAATCTCATTTGGCTCGAAACCGTGATATATAATAGCGAACAATCACAGTTCACATCAATCTTCCTTTCCACCTATATACACCGACTCGTACTTCTCTTCCTATATCTATCTAGACAATAGTTACATAAATCGCATAAGTCTCTTCCACGTTGCACGACCTGCGCGTTCTCGGATTGTCCTCGACTGTTCGCTCCCCACCCATCATGCTGTCTCGTCTCCACGCGTCCGGCCGTTTCATATACTACCCAATCACAACATGCGCGACTTCTCCGTACATCAGGTAGCTTTGCCCTATCCTAACATACCGGCTTGTATCGAAACGTTCGCTCACGCTTCTTTCGTGTCTGTCGTCTCTTCCGATCTTGCCTGACTGTCGTCGTGATCACTTTCTAGAATCTGCACAATCTTCGAACGCGTGTTCTCCGTTCGCAAGTCCAACATGCTTATACCTCAATTATACAGCAAACGCTAAATATTGCCTCAACTGTGCGGCCGTTTCATCCCGTCGGGTGGTCAGTGGTGGAGAAGCAGTGGAGCCTCACCACGGACCTCGTCAAGGTTTGAAACACGGCACATTTCTGCCTGTTTTCATGCTCTAGGCTACCCTTGCTATCCGTTTTTTATTACTCTTCCATATACTAGACCCATTGAGCAGAAGTCTTCTTGAATCCTATGTTGCAAAAAGCAAAGCTCATAATGTGTATAGAACGCCACACCCTGCTACCCCCTAATATCTTGAATGTGCATAATTTTTTGGTTACTAGCAGAGAATCTACCGAAGCTCATGGCGTTATCAGAACGAGCCTGTACATATACATAAGTAGTGGCAGAACTCAACAAGAGGGAAGGACGTGGTAGGAGCAAACTGCATATTCCCAAGTGGACTGGATGCGCGAAGAGTCGGCGTCGGTCACGCTAGTCTTGGAGGCGCCCCCCAGTATTGTCAGTGCTGCCGAAGGAGTCGTTGGAAGAAAATGCTGACTGGATGCTGGTAGTTTTGAAGAAGAGCTTGGTACTTGCGGAGTGAAAATCAGCTTGAAGTGCAGAATTGAAGCTGGATCAAGGAGGCTGTGACTTTTTGGTGAGGCGAAGAAGCGGCCAGATGACATGGCGAGACAAGATTACCCTGCTTTAGTCTGGTACAGGGCAATAGTTTTCTGTTCGCGTTTGGATATGCTGCGGTGTGTTTGCACTTACATGATGGCACGTCAAAATTGTTTCACAGGGGCAATCTGAACATGGTTCGATACTTGTCCATTCGCAAAGCATCATATTCGAAACGGCTTGCAAGGATGTTTTGCTTAGCCATATGATCGCCGAACTAGCAAGCCCGTATGAGGCAGAGGTCGGCTCGCCCAGTGTCATTTGCGAGAGTTATTTGCTCAGTTGCGTAATTGGCAGTTTGGCAAGTGCCAAGCCGTATTCAGCTGCTCTCTATACACACACCATCAGGAGCGTTCCAGAATCAACCCCATCATGCCCCGATACATGTACCTCGTATGATCCAGCACGCATTCAGTCAGTTGTAGGATAAAGACCACACAGACTTCCAGGGGAGCAGAGGCGGGCGAGACGACCAAGGGGGATGTCCGTTATATATATATAAATGGCCGCACGGTTCCTGAGCAAGAATCGCAAAAGGTAATGACTTAGATCGCGCGGTTAATCAAACATATAGGGCATAGGATGCTCCGGCGTTGCAGTATGACAGCTGTGCGCCCTGTAAGCGGATATGTGAATTAAGAGAGTCGCTGCTGCGATCACTATGATGATGTGAGGATCGCGGGGACAAGCTTCCGAAAGAAGACCCATTAACTATTTCGCTATCTGTGAGATGTCGTTGTATGCTATGGAGATTTACCTTCAGCTTCTGGTAGCAATTACGAACCCTTCAGCACTGGACCGTGGTTGCAACACACCGAAAGGCACATGAAAATATGCACACAAGAGATAGCAATGCTTGTATGCATTCCTTTACCCCTATTCCACAATCGCTGAGCTTACTACTCCTTCGTAACAGCGAACCACCCCGGATGCTGCATGATGTAGGTGCCTCATCATCATGTATCCAAATCTTCGAACCGCGAATATGTACTCATGAACAAAAGAACGAAGTCCGCCAGATATTCTGTGTCGTACTTAAACACTACCTGAATCCACCATCTTCAATGGACGCCTTCAGGTCCGGCAAAATGGACCATTAGAGTCTAACGCCAATCTGCCAGACAGTGCGCGCCGAGTAGAAGAAATGGACACCGTTCAGTTTTGCATGTGTATCGATCGCTGACGTCGCTGACGATGACCCTCCGAGAAAACTCCAGAAAGCAACAAAGAGAAGAGAACCAAGGGAATAAGATGCGTCGCATGTATCGACAAATGGAATGAGAGCTTGTGTGACATGTGAATTGATGGTCTGGAGCGCGATCGGCTTTCAAGACCGAGCCCAAAATTGCGGGGGAAAGAAGGCTTGCGACTAAGGTCCTTCTGATGCTTGTAGATGTTCGGTGTGCATGCTCGGAATCATACGCCATTTGTTCCGCCGGGAAGTAGATAGATCTTGTAAGTGACGAGGCCGCCAGGGCCGCACGTAGGTGCCACAATCCAGATTCAGAGTACGTCCCAGATGTTCCGAACGATAGGACTACTGCCCTTGTGCGCCGGGCTCCGAGGATCGTCCTTTTTCAAATCTGATAGTTCTGGTACGCTGAACCCATGCACAGCAGGGGGGATTTGACCGATAGGTTCTACTTTAGCTCTCAGGTCTTCGTGAAACGGATTCTTCGTAAATTCCGTAGCACGAGGTGACATGAGCGCATCCAGGTCATCTTGGGCTTGTGCACTGCGGTTCGGTAGTCGTGCCTCGATTTCGGTTTGAATCTTATGAATCTTGATCTGTTGACTCAGGTTAGGGGATGAAAATCGAGTCCTTAGTTTCCGCTTGTTTGATGGAGCCTGTAATGGAGTCTTGTCTTGGGGTATTGGCGGTAACAAGGGGAAGTGAAAGCCGCTTAACCTATTTGCATTCCTAGAGTATTCTGATTGCGGTTCTGATCGCGTTCCTGGCAGCTCAGAAGATGGGCTCGGATGCGTTTGTTTAGAGGTCGGCGTGCTACTGACAGACTCAAATTTGCTCCGAGGGTTCCGAGGATCGATTGAGACATCCATGTAGTGGTTAATATCAGGATATTGATATCCTGCGGCTGCTTGTATCACACCTGACGACTGCGAGGGCGAAAGTGAATGCACTCGCTGTGGCAGATCCGTACGTGGTTCTCGTTTCGATTGATTGCGATTGTAAAAGGAGGTCGATGCTTCGATTTTGACGGGTCTGAAGTCTCCATTCCTTGGCGATGTCAGGCCAAAAGAGTCGTCAACGTGCGGAGCAGTATGTTTCAAAGCGGTCATATGAAATTCGGTAGCACGTGGAGAACAGATATTTGTTGAATCAGGTTCCTCTCTACGACCAAAGGGATCAACGGGAAAGGCTCCATTAATACCGGGAGACATCAAATGATAGGATGGGTCAGACCGAGCTGGCGTTCGGGACTGATTGGAGTGCTCAGCATGCCGGGTGAATGTAGTCACTGGGGACAGGATGCCAAATGCATCTTCAGGCTCTTGCCGGGATACGCTGACCATGTGGAATTCTTCTGAACGCGGAGAGAACATAGGTGCAGGAGGTGGGGATACGCCGGACGTCTCATCGTTCTCGTTTAATGGTAGATGAAGTACTGGTCTCGAGAAATTTGGCACTCGCGGTGGGGACCGTCCATTTATATAGGACTGGCGAGGTGGCGGTTGTACGACAACGACCTGTGATCCGAGGCTTGGCTCCTTTGCTTGCCTGTTGTCGTTATCTCCGCCTGGCAGCGGGGTACTAAATTGCGCTTCCGCGGAGGGACCAGTAGCACTTTCTATGGGATTTGATGTATAAGCGGTGGGACTACTCGAATTCCATGAGTGTCTGAATCCTGGCGACCAAAGATTTGAGGGTGCTGTGAGCGGACCGGGTGATATAGCCTCCATATTACCCGTACTGGCCCTTTGGGACAACGTCTCAAGACCAATATCCGGAGGTAACGGTGCCGTTCGCGGGGTACGTGAACCAGATGCTGGAGCCTCCTCACGCGGAAAAGGAGAATTCTTACGAAAGACAGGCGAGAAAGCCCGCAAAGAAGAACCAAATATTTGTTGATGGAAGGCACGATCGGTATTCGCTCTTATAAGACCGTTTCTAAACTCTTGGAGTTGCATGATGAGGTTCATGTTCGGGCCTATCCACTTGCTTCTTTTTTTGACTGCATCATAGGCCTCCTGTACCGAGATTCCAGGGTTCTTGTAAAGACCATAGGCAACAATCAAAGTAGCTGATCGGCTGACGCCACATTGACAGTGCACCAGGACATGCTTCCGTCGCTGTACTCGATCCTCAATAATCTTGACTAGTTTATAGAGGTCGGGCACGAGATCGGTATTGTGCTCCCACGGGATGTGAATATATTCAGGTCTATTAGACGTCAATGGTCGAGAAATGACCTCAGGCAGTCGCAGGAGGCTATCTGACAAGTTTGCCTCGCTAGCCTTTGGCGTTGTTGGTGTGTTAGATTGTTCGGCCTTGCCGTCATCTTTCGCGGTTGCGCCGGCCAGTCCCAGAATGGTAAAGTCTGCTGCTATAGGTCCCACACTCGACACAGGCTCGGATTGACATCGATATTCGTCCATTACCAGATTGGAAGCTCTTTGAGCTTCATCTATGGTGGCGGAGAATGGATTCTTAACCTCGCTTGCAACATTAAGGATAACGTCGTATTTTGACGCCTGCTCCGCAGTCGGCTCGTAGTAAAGATAGACACCAGATTCGTAAATGCAAATAGGACCATTAGGATATGAGGCTGGCTTCTCCTCTCGCGATTGGGGAATATCAAAGTTTGGCTCCTGTTCCTCTTCTTCATTCTCGATTGGCACTTCTGCGAAGCCGTGGGGCGATGGTTTGAAGGGACGCAGAGGGGGAAATTGCATACCTCCATCCGGGGCGATGCTAGGAGACATTAATGGGAGCTGTGGGGACGATTGAAAATGCCTGAGAGAAGGGACTCGTTGGAACGATGGGGTCGGAGGAATGGCCAGGCGCGTTGGGAGACCAGTGTTCGCGGGAGTTTGAAGACTCAAAGCTAGAGCTGCAGGCTTCATCCTCCGTGGGGGCGTGGGAGGCTTTACGAAGGAAGGAGATGCCGGTGCCGAAGTTGCAGCCTCATGTCTGGCTACTGTACTAACGTGGCCGGACGTTGCGGGTCGATTCAGTGAAAGTGCGCTTGAAGTATTGACCGCGAGGCCTTTCAGGTTCCTCGGCTTCTTAGCTGGAGTCATTGGTCTTTGCAGCTCAAAAAATGGAGTTTGTACCGTGTCGCCGTTCGAGGGCATGTGGCGAGATCTCAGGTCGGGCACAAACGAAGATGAGGAGTGTTTACCGGCGGGTGATTCCGGCGACGGGCCGGGAGAAGGGTCTGTCATGCTGGCGGAGTCCACAGTGGATATAGTTGTGGTTGGAGACGAATCGGTAGAGTCTGATGCCGACGTTGAAGTGCTATCGCGATGTTGGTGGTGAAACGTAGAAAAAGGAGGCGTGGCTGAATTGTCGAGTCGAGTGGTATTTCCACGACTCAGATGTTCGCCATGTTTGCTAAGCCCGCCGGAAAAATCAGTCATTCCATTGTTTGCTTCCTCGCCAAACACGGACATGAAGGACGGCATGGGAACATTGAGGGCTCGCGAGGCGGTTTGAATGGGCATAATAGATAGAGGGTTACTACGGACGGAGTTCCGTTTCTGGTTGAACGTGTTGAGACGGCTCTGTCGAAGAAGTGCCAAAGAGTGGGCTGATGTAGAGGGCAAGGTTGGAGAACGTGCGAGGTTCGAAGAAGGGTGGTCAAGTCGGTTGAGACGAAGTGGAGTATTATTAGGGAATATGTCTGGAGAGAAGGATTCTTTGGGAGGTGAATGGTTAGCAGAATTTACAGTGATGGACGTGGACATGGCATGGCGACAAGTGGTGATGTTGTGTGAAGTGCAGATCTGGGACAACAAGATGATAGAGGTTGTCTGAGCAGAACAAGAGACGAGATGATGGGACGGGGAAAAGAGGAGACGAGAAATGAGTATAGCAGAGGCGACGCACCGGCAGGGCCAACGATTGGCTTTGTTTACGAGCAGAGTTGAAACGAGATACCAGATCTCGGATTAAGCGCCAGAGGGAGTGACTGAACAGGCGATGCGCCTGAGTGGGATTGAGGCGTACAAAATGGCCAGTCGCGGGCAAAGAGGGTAGGAAGAGGTGGAGGAAGCAGGGACAGAATGCTAAGACAAGTGTATATATCGAGTCGAAGCCAATGGCGGTCAACAAATCAAGACGTGGTAGAAGTGAACAGAGTGTGAGAGAGGTAGGAAGAAAGAGAGAGAGAGAGAGAGCGAGAGAGAGTGTGTGTGCGTGTGTGAGTGTGAGAGAGAGAGGGAGAGAAAGAGAGGCGGCGAGGATCGAGTGGAAGGGCAGAGAGAGACGACAGACGACAAGAGGAAGGGACGATGAACGATAGGTGGACGACAGGTGGACGACAGGGCAGGTGCGTGTGGGTGCGGGTGCGGGTGTGTGTGTGTGTGCAGTGAGGCCAAGGTGCTGCAGCCAGCTGGGTCCTGTGCCGCTACGCTTTCTATTTTTAGCTGCCCAGTGGCAGCAGCAGGCCTAGGGAATTAGTTGTTGTGAGTGGACGGTATTAGACCAACACATTTGAATAGACGACGGGCAGAGAAGAGAACGGGCAGCCTGAACACCAGCCACTACAGAGGTACAGCAGTAGCCAACTATAGCTGATTACCTAATTATCCTACCACTTAATTATCCGAATTACTAACTGGCAGCCCGGGCATCTCAGCCGAGCGCCACCCACAGCCTCAGGTCTGTCTACCCACCACCGCCACAGCCACCGCCACCGCCTGCGCCTCTGCCTCTGCCTCTGCCGCTGATTATTATGTCTCGTCACCACCACATGGAATGGTAATTACGCCAGGCCCCCAGGCACTCTCAGGCTGCTACAAAGCTAGCCAGTATTAGCCGTCAACTCCATACTTAACATTGGTAATATACACACCAAGTAGTAATAGCGTCCATTAATACAATACTCCACCACGTAATTAGGTACCGTACCTTACCTCAGCATACTAGCTCTGCCCGCTGCTCGCTGCTTTTCACCTCGTCACCTCACTCTCGCTCACAACATCATCCAACACAACGGACCCGCAATCCAGAATCACCCTCATTACGGCCACTACACATCTGATCCACTGCTGATCATTCTACTAATGATCCCTGCAGATGGTCATGGTGCCTGACCTAAAGAATAGAAGAGTAGAAGAATACTCCGACGTCTGTTAGCCATCAAGGAGAATACATGAACGAACGCCTGCCCGTTCGGGGCATTCGATCAGTCTTTCCTCCCAACCTGGAATACCTCACTGCCTAACGCAAATACTGCCGACAGACATAGCTGCAGTGGATTAATCAGTAGCGATCCATGACTGCACTTTACCGTCAACTTGGCAGTATGTCGGCTCCAGTGCGTGTCGACCGCTGTATAAGACAATCAATCCTCCTTAGTCGCGCCAACACTTTGGTCTCTCTATCTTTTCATACTCGTCGCTCCTATTCTGCTACCGCCCTTGTCTGCTCCGTTCCCACCTCGGCATGGTTCCGTGGAAGGGGTTTGTACGCGCTTGGTCGAATAACATTAATTTACTTTTGACTTCTTAATTTCGGCTGGAGGAAGAATGTCCAACGATACAATATTCCACAAACTACCACTCTTTATCAGTCTTACAATCCGAAGACATAGTGCACTACATCCCATCACTCCCTCTCAGCTACAATCCATTCATTTCTGCATACAGCTTTTCGAACTTGCCCAGGCCTTGGACTCTACCATCTCCCGTCTAAGACGTCTTCAGCCATACGCCTCCTATACCGCCAGTTGGCATTTAGGACAGGCCTTTCGGAACTAGCCCACTTCCTTCCTCCTAGGCAGTGATTGTCTGATATTGAACAACCCGTTCGAGGTCGCTGCCATTTCCTACCCCTTACTTGACGAGTAGCACTCTTGACTCTCTAGCAGTTCTCGACTCCTCGAGGTGCCCGGCCATACGTTACTTTCCAACTCTCTCGGGAATACCAACCCGGAAGATCTCCGCAGAAGTAATAGACCCAGGCCTGCATGTCTAGGATATCATCACGATGGCATTTCTGCCCATGCCCATAGTCACAACCAAAGAAGGTGCTTTCGTCTGCGCTCGTCTCTTTCTTCTTCTTAAACTCTTTCTCGCCATCGCAGTCCTTAAGAAACTTATCCATAGCTGCATCCGTCTCCGTTCCGTTAAGACTAGCTGCGTCAGGAACACATGTTACAAACCCGTCTTCTTCTTCTTCTTCTTCTTCTTCTGGTTTCTTCTTTTTCTTATGTTTTTTTTTCTTCTTGCGTATAAGCCCCCTAAGCTCTCTATTGGCTGCCCAATCTGGCAAAGGCCTGCCATCTTGTCGGTGTGTCGTATTGAAATACCGTCCCCTGACAGGTAGCAAAGGAATACTGTCGTAGAAGAATGTTCGACCATTTCGGCCACCTTCAACACCTCCTGAGCTGCTGTATCTTGTTCCGCCCTTGCCGCCTCCGCCTCCGCCTCCTCCACTTCCGCGACCTCCTCCGCGACCTCCTCCTCCTCCTCCTCCGTGACCTCCTTTACTTTGAACAGAGCTAATAACAAGCCCGACGACGATAAGTATATTCCAGAAGTGCATTATGTGTGTTGACCGCGATATCTTCACCACAATATGCTCACCACAATATGCTCACCACAATATGTTGACCGCCATATGTTGACTGCAATGTGTTGACTGTAGTGGGCCTTTCAAGTAGGTGATGTATACGATCGAAAATTTGTGTTCTGAGTTGAGAATGTTGACTGTCAGTTTCTGGCATGAGGAATTTTTCATCACTTTATAAGGGTATCGGAACGGCACGAGAGATATTTACATAATCAATTTATATTCAACTCATCAATTTCGCTCGCGCTAAATGGCCCCCGCCGAACCCACCAGCGACATCCATAGCCTATCACTGTGAGCGATCAACTGTCGTGCAACTGTGTCATTTGACTCACCTAGACTGCAAAAGCTCGGAATGTAAAAAGTTTTTTACCCTCAACCACCTCAGTCCATACTAACCTGGTATTCTTGAGTTAGAAACGGACCCTAGGTGAGCTATATATTCTACCTATCATGCTCTCATCCGCTTCATGTGACAAAACCCTCAATAATTTGTTAGGAACATACGGAACAGAAGAATAGGCTAGTGTTATGTCTCGTGGGATGAGCAGTGGCTCGTGTCAAATCGTTGGGTAAGTGGAAATTCTCGAGGTCGTGCCCGGTAGATCAAACTGCCGGCTCTCCATTGGCCCTGTCCGATAGATCAGACTGCCAGCTCTCCATTGACAAGGATCTAAAGACGTTTTCGACTGCATTCCTCATCCTCTGGGCTACGGCAACTCTGTGCTCATCGAGATAGTCAGTACTGTATCGCCACAGCAAAAGCTTTGCCATCAAAATGTGCACTCGCAAAAGAGAAGAAGGTATCGACAACTTTCTCAAGCCAGGGTTCATGCATGCAGACAAGGCAGGCGATAACTGCGCGGGTGGCAGCTGCGATGCTGATGAGAATATTGGTTTGCTGCCGCGCTGTCTTGCTCTGTATCAAAAACTGGACGAGCTAGGTGGGTAGGTAGTAAGTATTATTTGTCAGAGGAATTGGAATGCCTCTATGTGTAGGGTCGATGGATAGACATTACTCATATAGGTAAAACGTTGTCGCGTATCAAGAAACATCACTTGTCCGGGAGGATTGATCGTTAGCATGTCCCTTTCTATGACATATAGTATCCATACTGTGTGGCTGTGGATGGGTAGCTCAAGAGCTTCTTCTACGCCAAGTACAGGATAGACCTGATTGGGATCAACAGGATCATTCATAAACACGAAACTGAAGTGACCGCTTCCACACGTCGGTCTTCAGAAGCCAGGCACAGAGGGACGTGCGCGCGGCGCTAAGAGCTAGTCCAAATACGTATCGCTTAGCGACCTCCACCACAGGTCGAATTTGCTGAGCAACCAACACCACGAATTCGACCACGATCAAAGTCGACCTTCACCAGACTAACCTAACAGCAAAAATGTCGAGCCGACCGACCGTCACCATCATCTCGCCTGATGGCAAGCCTTCCAGCAACACCCATCCTCTCCCGGAGGTGTTCAAGGCGCCTATCCGTCCCGATATTGTCCAGTATGATAATCTTCAAATCTTTGTCGCAATGATATAGAGGAAAGGCAAGGCTGATGAATTGACAGGAGCGTCCATACCGGTATGGCAAAGAATAAGCGCCAACCATACGCTGTGAGCGAGAAGGCCGGTCACCAAACCTCTGCTGAGTCCTGGGGAACCGGTACGAAGAGATATTGCATACAACTAGATCACGGCTAACAGAGCATCGCTGGACAGGACGCGCCGTCGCTCGTATTCCTCGTGTATCTGGTGGTGGTACTCACCGTGCCGGCCAGGCTGCCTTCGGTAATATGTGCCGCTCTGGTCGCATGTTCGCTCCCACAAAGGTCTGGAGGAAATGGCACGCAAAGATCAACTTGGGCCAGAAGCGCTTCGCTACCGCCTCCGCTCTCGCTGCCTCTGCATCCGCTCCTCTTCTCTTCGCTCGTGGTCACCGCGTCCAGGCCGTTCCAGAAGTCCCTCTCGTGATTTCCAGCACCGCTTTCTCCGGTGCCGCAATCACCAAGACCTCTGCCGCTCTCGCTCTGTTGAAGGCTGTTGGCGCCGCCGCTGATGTTGAGAAGGTTAAGCTGTCGAAGAAGACTCGTGCAGGTAAGGGTAAGATGCGTGGACGTCGCTATCGTCAGCGCCGTGGACCTCTCGTTGTCTATGCCCCAGAGGAGGATGGCCGAGAGCTCACAAAAGCATTCCGCAACCTGCCCGGTGTCGAGACTTCGTCAGTCTACGACCTCAACCTCCTTCAGCTCGCACCGGGTGGTCATCTTGGCCGCTTCGTGATCTGGACTTCGGCCGCGTTCGCTGCCCTCGACAAGATCTATGGCTCTACCACTGAAGCTTCCACATACAAGAAGGACTTCCTTCTGCCATCAGCCCTGGTCAAGACACCCGATCTTGGCAAGCTCATCAACAGCTCGGAAATTCAGTCAGTGCTACGTCCCGTCAAGGGTGGCGCTATCACCAAGCGTACCCAAGTGCAGAAGAAGAACCCGCTACGGAACAAGCAGATCCTGTTCCGCCTCAACCCATACGCCATTCAGTACTCGAATGACAAGCTAGGATCGCTAAAGGCTGAGAGCGGGAAGCCAAAGCCCAAGGATGCGGGTTTTTTGAAGCAGGTACATGAGAACTAGAGAAGTTAGTCGTGCTCGTAATGCGCATGGGGTGTATTATCGGTCGCATGGCGGTCACGGCGGTCATGGCGGTGTTCTTTTCACAGATATTAGGGTAGCTGAACAAAAGCTATAAGCATGCTGGATGAAACATAGCTGGCACAATCTATCGATGCGCTAATCCTCTCTGTAGTGTGCTTAATCGATTCACGTTAAGACCATACGCTCTAGTTAATGGCTAGTAGTAGCTTCCTATACCTCTCCCTGCTATACGCGTACCCCCAAAGGCCACATGCAACACTAATCCATAGTCCATCTGCATGACGTTCTCACCTGAAAAGCCTCTTCCCTCCCGTTCTCGCTGCAGTCGTCTCTCGCCCCTCCAGGCTTAAGCCTATGAATCCTGTACCTTTGCTCTCTTGACTCTTCTTATACCTCCTCAATGCTTCCCTCAAATGCTCAGGCAAAAGTGGCCCGACCTCCTTCCCACACAACTCTCCAATAGTCTTTTGTGGTACTTGTTGCTTCACTGGCTTTGGATACATTAGATTAGTCGGCGCCGAGTTGTATTGCTGTGGTGGTGGTGGGTTCAACTTTTGGTAGGCATCCTCAGGATATCTCTCTTTCGGATCTGCAGCTTCTGCCCATTCTTGCTGCACCTGCATAGCGGCGTCAAGCAGATCTATGATGAAGGTCTTGGTGTAACCAGTAATTGCCATCACGATGCTGGCCGGAACAGATTGCGAGACTGTTTGGTTCGTGATTTTACGCAGGATGTCTTTTCGTAGCTTCATGGCACGAAATACGGTATAACGGGCACGTTGGTCATCAGACAAGGCTTGCATGAGCATGCTGCGCACCCAAGAAATTAGTAGATTTTCCCGTGTGGAGATTCAGTGTATAGTAGTCGTACTTCAAATGTTCCCGCTCCTGCTGCTGTGTAGCCTGATCTTGCTTTCCGTCGCCTTCGAGATTCACCTCGACGTCTTCGCCGCCAGCTTCGTCTTCATCCTCAGCTTCTTCACCTTCTGCGGGGCTTCCACCGCGGTTATCCCTTGTACTCGTACCAGTCGCACTTCGAACATCGTCAGCAATGGCAGTCGCTCCTCCTCGCTTCCGTTTGCGTCCTCTTCCAGTTATGCTCCCCTCTGCACCATTTGCGACGCTGGCTAAGGCCGAACTTTCGACACTAGGTGAACGTGAGTAACCATATCCGCGTGGTGTAGTGACGGATCCAGGGGATCCAGCAGCTATATATTGCTCGGGTGGAGGGAATGAGGTCTGGCGAAGTGCTGACGGGCCGGTAGAAGGTTTGCGGCGTTTGGCTTGGTTATGAGGTACGGAGAGCGATGGGCGTTTTTTGGGTACATTGATGGTATTTGGGGGTGATGACATTGTGGTATATGCAGACGCAAGAGATACGTTGCCAACGGATATTAGTATTTATTACGATGTAGGTATCCTTGATGCTCGCGATTTACCAAAAGTGTTTCGATTGCGGACGTGACGGTCGAAGTTGCGCTTGTCACCGAAGTTCTACCGGCCTAGCTTTCGACTTCTATATCACGGATGATTACTCCAACAATCGCATCGGCTTGTGCACCGTTCTGAGAACATTCTGAGGTTTTCAAGCGTAGACGACTCGCTCCAACTACATCCCTTCCACGGCGCGCGGACCCCATCTACAATGGCTTCACAAGATAATCGCGTCCTCAAGCTTTCCGGCAACGAGCGCAAGGAAGATTACAGCACCATCGTCGCCCGTCGTGGCCACAGTAGCAACCGTATAGTACACGCCTCGTTCGCTGACCTTATCCCTCTACGGCAAAGAGCAGATGTCGGAGACTTATCGCTAGAGAGACCATCAGAAGAAGAGGTTGAAGAGACGAGACTAAAGACACAGAAAGCTCTCCAGCAGCTCGTTTCTGGCGCTGTCGCGGCACAAAAGCCGAAAAATGTCACCGGTCGATCGCAGAAAGATCCACTATACGTGCGGTATACACCCGCAGACCAGATGGGTGATACTTCAAAGAAGCAAGACCGGATCATCAAGATTGTAGAGAGGCAACAGGATCCGATGGAGCCCCCCAAGTTCAAACATAAAAAGGTCCCTCGTGGACCGCCATCACCACCACCGCCTATCATGCATTCACCACCAAGAAAACTCACCGCTGAAGATCAAGAGGCCTGGAAGATTCCTCCGCCAATATCGAACTGGAAGAACCCGAAGGGCTATACCGTGCCATTAGATAAGCGACTAGCGGCAGATGGTCGAGGCCTCCAGGACGTAACAATCAATGATAAGTTTGCGCAGTTCGCGGAAGCCCTTTTTACAGCGGACAGACACGCCAGAGATGAGGTACAGCAGCGCGCACTCATGCAGCAGAAGCTCGCGGAGAAAGAGAAGCAGCAAAAGGAGGATCATCTACGAGCACTGGCACAGAAGGCTCGTGAGGAGAAGGCACGAGGTGGAAGAAGATCGTCACATCGATCACGAAGTCGGTCTGTTGACAGCTATTCTTCTCAGTCCGACAGTGAAGGCGAAGACGCCGCGCGTGAGCGAGAAGATAGGCGGCGTGAGCAAAGACGAGATAATGAGCGCAAGCTACGCCAGTCGCGCATGGGAACCGAGCGCAAAATTCAGATGATGGCCAGAGAGCAAGGTCGTGATATTTCAGAGAAGGTTGCCCTTGGTTTGGCGAAGCCCACACAGACTGGAGAGTCCATGTACGATTCACGCTTATTCAATCAAACCAGTGGTTTTGATACTGGCTTCAATGAAGATCAAGCTTACGACAAGCCACTCTTCGCTGCTCAAGACGCCATCAACAGCATCTATCGGCCGAATGTGCAGCAAGAGGACGACGAGGACGCTGGAGAGACTATGGACAAGATCACGAAGAACAGCAAGTTCGAAGTTCTTGGAAAGGCTAAAGAAGGTTTCAAAGGGGCCGACCTACAAGAGGAGCGCGAGGGACCTGTGCAATTCGAGAAAGATACAGACGATGTGTTTGGCATTGGCGAGATGATCGACGAGGTGACCAAAGGCAGTAAAAAGCGTTACGGAATGCAAGACCAGGACGATTCACGTGGGTTGAAGCGTGCCAGAGTCGAAGACGACTCCAACTGAGCTTACTTAACAAAATGTCGCCCATTACTGGCTGGCTTTATCTAGTGTTCTTAGGCGTTGCATTTTACGGCGTTTCACCATCATCAAGGTTTCGATATCGCTGCCACGGACTCTGCATTCTTTCATAGACACGTCGTAATGCCGATTCACCTCAGTGTTCTCACGCACTCTTCGACATATTAGGTATACTATCACGTGCGCTTTACTAGCTCCGGGTCCACACCTGAAAGTAACGTCATGCAGCTGTCTCTTCTGATCATGGATGTTTGGGGTCCTTGAAGCAAAACCAATAGTGCCACCAAACTGAGGATCACTGTTGTCTCTATTACTTCTCTGGATCCTAAATCATACAAAAGAATAATTGTGCGCCCGTGTGTCCTTGGATCCATCTTACTACTTGCGCTTTGTTCTTCCAAGTCATTACCTCACTCCCAACATTTCACTTCTACCACAATGGGCATCCCAATCAACAACGATTATGCTTCTCCAAAGGCCACTCACGCTACTGACCCTATGCAGTGCAGTCCCCAAACGGCCTCTCATTCGGCTGCCGAGCTCCCACCTGCCGCCCTTGAACTCGCCTCTAGACTGTTCAATCTCGCACGCGCGGGCGACACGGTAACACTAGCATCGTACCTTACTGCAGGTATTCCTTCAAATCTCACAAACCACGAGGGCAACACGTTGCTTATGCTCGCGTCGTACTCGGGCCATGCGGAGACCACGCAGATGCTGCTGGACAAGGGCGCAGATCCTAATGTTGTGAATTCAAAGGGGCAGAGTCCTCTTGCCGGGGCAATGTTCAAAGGGTGGGATGAGGTCGTGAGTGTGTTGGATAGAGGCGGCGCAGAGAGACGGGCTGGGCAGCCGAATGCAGAGGATTGTGCGATAATGTTCAAGAGGGAGAGGTGGATTTCTCAGTGGGGAATTGAAAGACCGGAGCGTGATACTGCTAGTCGAGCTGCTTGAAACAGACATGTCCCGCATAATATCTCTTGCGGCAGACATTGCTCGATACGGCTATGAATGAGAGACAAATATGTATTATGACATGGCGAGGAACGGCGTCGTGGGCTGATCAAGAGCGAAACTACAATAAGAGACTGCTGGAGTCAAGAGGTTTGGTGCTATACTAGATAATATTTGACGAGTGCTCACTGCTTGGGGCCATCGCAACTCAGCATGTGCGATGTAAACAAGCACATATTAAATTTCGCGCCCGGTGCGATATCTGTACTAGATCCGCTTACGTACAGCCCGTATTTAATTACAAGCTGACTCACACAAAGACACCGCCGGTACGTTACGTCGGCCGTATTTCCAAAAAGAAATCTCTAGCCCCCTACTCCGGTGGATCTCTTAAAACTGTCTAAGCCGAAAGCGGACCCGGGGCCTGTCGATTCCCTGCATCGTCGAAACGCTTCTTAATACAGCCTTGAGCAGCCGAGCGTGTGACATTGGCCCGTTTCTGCGTAGCCTTCTCGGTGACGGGTGACGGGTGACGTGCCGAAGAACATGCAAGAGGAGAAGTGTGACGGACATGAGCGCAGAGATATGCTGTGAGACTCACTCAGCATGATCAAGCACAACGTTGTGCGATATGTGCTTGCATAGATATGGCAGTACATCCCGGTGCCGTCCACCGTAGCGCCTATCCATACTCCATATATCAACTGGTGGAGAAAAGGATTCGTCCTGATGTTCCTTCGTACAGCATCACCATATCATCCTTCTGTCCTTTCATTTCCCCTATTGTCTCCGCAGCAACAGCGAGCACAAATGGTCGTCGTGCGCCTGGCAAAGTACGCCGACACCTGAGGCTCTTCCCAATCTCACAATACCTGCCTCGAGGCCGCCGCCCAGTGCCGGGCGCTTACATGCACGAGAAAGTCAGCGTCTCCCGTGTCGAGACGCCCGGTGTGGAGTACTGTGACAGGGTGCTTACCAGGATGATGTCGCTTGGATCTCGTCAACACTTTCGTTTATAGGATCTGCATCTATGCATCTTATCTTCTCTCTCACGGCAATTCTTACAACTGACTTGGCTGATACGATCTCACTCAACTGCTACACGCTAATCGTGTATCTCATCCATTACAGAGCGTTACGTCTCCATTGTTGCATAGAAATTGACAATGAGCGCTGCCGGAATTTAAGAAGAATAATTTGAGCAGATTGAATTCGTGGAGAAGGCGTGCCGTATTCCATGTGCTGATGCACGACATAAGAGACTGGTCTCATTGGCTACCATGTCTTGGCGCTATGCTCCAATCAGATCACGTAATTAACTCAAGGCTACGCCGCGCTTCGCGTATTGCGGAGTGGTACTTGAGCCTCCTTGATCGCGTGGAGAGTGTGGCGGGGGATGGAACAACAATGGACGGACTAGACGGGTGGGGTCAGGGGCTCCTAGAGACGCTGCACACTTTAGCTTGTTGGTACTGTAGGACGATTCTTGCGCTCTGGAGTCTAAACCTTGTGGCATGTCCGTCCCGAATAAATGTACGGCAGTTTGGGATGGAACGACTCAAGCCAACGCTCAGTAGACCAATTAGTCGGCCCGTCGGACAAGGACTATGTTTCTCGATATATGGGAATGCAGACTGACCCAGACATCACCATTCAGAGTCTACCGGACTTATATCCTAACCAATGTCTCCTCGAAGCAATCATTGTGGTGTCGTAACCACTAGGGCTAAAGTCTAGAACTTAGACTGTATTGAGCCTGAAAACCACAGTGGTAAGGTAGCTCCGCGGTGTTTGCGACTTGGTAAAATTAGTGGCCTATAAATGCAATTATCGTCGGTGGTGATGATGTTTGTACCCATTTTCATCGGATCTACATTCCCATAAGCACTGATTTGACTTCAAAGACATGGATGAATCTCTCACAAATCACGACGGTGTTTAGAGTCAGTATGATCTTCAAGACAATGCCACTGATAAATCTGAGTTGTCCGCTCCCTTTTTCTCGCGTCTAGATGTGAGATTAGCTTTCCCGCAGATCCTTCATTAGAAATATCAACCAATGTAGACATCGATAAGGAGAAAAGACAGGTCGTGTATGCGAGGATTGACCACAATGCATTCATCATCTCGTATGGACATTGAATAGCTCTCGAGAGTAACGCTATTAGCTTGCAGAGACATTTTGTCGCAGATTACTCTTCTATCATCATATCGACGCCATAACCGTTCAGTTATTAAGACCCCAATCTGTAATGGATAGACTCGACACTAGTTATTAGGTTGCTAGAAGCTCAAAGAATGACAACATCCATATAGTAAGGCCCAACATTGAGCTTGGTCTCAACAGCACTCCTACATCGTAGGGTGGTCAAAAGCGTTGTAATACACTTTCTTATGACGAAGGCCTCGATAAGACGTTGAGAGGAGGCCGAGGTCAACTTGAAACACATTATTGACGGCAACGTTGAGACTACTGATAGCTCGGAGAATATCTTGTGGAGCCAAAGGTATATGTGCTCCAGATATAGGACGCTATCTTCACGTCGAGTCTTGAACAATGGACTTCCAAGTCATCAATTCGTGCAATAATGTCGGCTATGCTCTATCAGGCTAACTTCTGCACCTCAAGCCCACCATATGAGCCTGGAATGCATCTTCCACGAGCCTTTGCAAGTGCCGCCCCGGCCTGTTGTTCATGACATCGTACCGAACTTTGAGTGAGAACAGCGCGAGCACAGGCATAGCCTGAGGTACCACATCCATAAAGGTCGCTGACAAGGGCAAACCTGGGCGACTTCCATGTGCTTCGTGCGGCACAGTGAAGGACTGTCACACTGGTCGTAAAGTGGGGTAACAATCAAACCATGGTATATCAGTCGCAAAAAGGGAACAAGCTCTTCTTAAATCATACTATATGATCCCATCACAAGATGAAGCATATAATTCCATGAATCGAGCGATAATATTGCAGAACCGCATGTCGCTTGACTCAGGAGCAACGAAACATGCTCTCAGGGGTCGGGATCCATTGAGATGTAGCGCTGCAAGCTTGCCTGGTCTATCACGTAAAAGCGTTTGCCCGGTCCCAAAGTCGTTCCAAAAACTGAAGAAGTCCGGAGAAGGGTTATCACAACATGTGGATGTCGAGCCAGTGTCCAGTGTCTCGCATGCGTGTCAAAGGGGCATCGATTATTCTGCAGAGTTTCGGACGCCCACGTTCTGATTGCGCTATCGCGCCAATCTTTTGAGTCGATGTTGGCTCCCGCTGCCGTAAGAGGACTGAGACGAGAGCATATTGCCCTGTCTACCCTATGCTGTTCTGGGATTTTGGCTTTGCGCCGACAGGGCTTGGTGGGCGTCGGAAACTCTGCTCTCAGTGTGTTCGGGCCCATCCCATTCATCAGCAACAATATGCCTGGATTCCGGGCAGACAGAGAGGGATAGCGGGCCAATCCGGCCGTGTGATAGTGGCTGGTCGCTGTCCGGGGGGGGTTCATAACTTTTAGCTGCTCAGTCGGGCGCAGGCCCCGGGTCTTGACTTGAAGTAGCGTGTTGGCGCTTTTCTCACATCTGAATTTCACCCCATGATTGTCCTCAATTTTTGTGTTGACAATGGTTTCGTTGAAGATGGCGCATTGAGGCCACAAGATGCCAGCGACGCGAAGTGAACTTGCGGCCGGAAGTCAAAACAGCGCTGACAGCACTTGCCCTTGGACACCTGCACCCCCCCGCAAGGGCCCGCATCCCTGCACTTTGTGTCCGAATCGAAGACGATGGACACCGGCAGCGAAGAATCACAGCTGAACAGACGCGCCCGTTCTTCAACAAACCCTCCCACTTCACGCTCTCATCGCACGCGCCCATCCATCGATGCTACACGTCTTGCTCGCCAGCAGCAGACTTGCACAAAGCCAGACCTTTCACGTTTGCCCTCCGACTCCAGCGCTTCTGACCGCTGTTCCAACTCGCGCGATTCGCAACAACAACAAACAGTGACCTCACCGCGTGCGACCGCCAGCTTCACAAGAGCGCGTGGCCTCAGCATCTCCTCTCCTTTTCAAACTGCTTCTCCGACCTCGTGTACACTATCTGCCAACGAATACTTCTCTCCGCAACCATCCTCTTCCGCTAGTGAAGCTCGTTCGCCAGCTTTTCGAAGACCGCCAGCTTCCCACAGCAGCCATGGTTTAGAGACCTCGCGTGGCCCGCCCATTGCCCTGATATCTAGGGGATCCTACTCTGCTGATATCGCGCGACATATCGAAGGCAAAGGTCAAGGCCGCTCAGACTTTGGGCTCGCCCAGGCGCAGCTCCTGCAGCTAGGACTCATAAGTCCGGGTGGAACTGTGAGGAAGAACAAAGTAGAAGGAAGAGCCTCTGCAGTCAGCAGTCGAAGCAGCTCGCTTGATAGACGAGATTCTTCTGTGGAGGATCAAAACAGGAAGCAGAAGATGGAAAAAGACGACCCTGTCAGTAGCCCCTTGGACGGCTCGGAACAAGAGGTTTCGCGTGACACTCACGAAAGCCGAAGATGTGAGACTGAGACTGGGAATGACACCAACCGGAGCTCGACTGGCGAGGATCTCTTCTTGAACATCGCGGAAGACACTCCGCAGGCGGCAGAGGACGAAAAAGTGACCAGACGCAGAGTGAGTAGTGCACTCGATGATCGAACACTAATTCCAACTCGCTGGACAATTGCTTACTGGTTGTAGTCACGCATAGCCCGAGCGTCTCAAAGGCAATCCCTGCCCACGAACACTTACTCCAGCTCCACAGTACGGCCTAGCTCGAAAGGTAATGTTACAGTGCGAGCACCTTCACAGACTCATCAACGTCGCGCCTCTCAGATAGCTCCACCAAGTATTAACACTCGCTTACCAGTGAGAGATCAATCACCAATGTCAGTCAGCTCAACTGAGCACAGGGTCCGCGGTATACCTCAACCTTCCCCTAGTCCGTTCTCTGCACGACCCCGCGAACAAGAGGTACAAGGTTTGCCGCATTACAGTAAGAGACGTCTATCCAACACCGAATCGAGTTTTACCCCACCGAACCGACTTCAGACTTACAGACGGTCGAATCTGCAATATACATCTTCGCACCACGACAATGCCGTACAGGATGAGGCAGTGGTTCACAGAGCGAATTCCCGCACATTCAGCCAGGCAGAAGGCACTGAATCTGTCGATTCTGGCCCCGCCCCATCCACTGTCTGGGATGAACTTGATGAGATGAAGCTTAGAATCAAAGAGTTAGAGGCCAACAGACACCCACAATCAGCTCCTGGACCTGCGATGTCGAGTGTGTCTAATGATAGACCGAGAACAGCGACAACGACAGTCACAACCATATCTTCCTCGCCCAAGCATCGACGGAAGGCAAACTCTCCTTCAGAACAGGCCAATGACCTCGCCTCCACGTTGAATGACGCTTTGGCTCGGTGTAGGGACTACCTATCCCCGGTTGTGTATCGCTCCCTTGAAACAACTGCTACCGAAGCACTAGAGCTAGCAGCAATTACCGGAAGCTCTGGTCCTCAAGGTGCAGCTTTTCCACTCGCGCACATGCTGAATGGACCTGGCTCATCTGATCGACAAACTCGGCGCAAGGCATACAACGTTTGTCAAGCCCTCACAGAGCTCTGCGTAAACCTTTGTGAAGGAACAGTTGCCCCGGCAAGCCCTTTCAGGCAGCTCAACGGAGAATCTCGACGTAGTAGCATGCAATTCATCGCCGAGCCCACCCACACACCTACCTTTGTCCACGCTCGTAGCGGTTCAGTCGAACCTGAGGCCGTTGCTCGCAGCCCAAGCCGCGCTCTTTCACGTGTCGAAGCTCGTCGAACATTCGGCCCACTAGATCGTTCTTCTCGTCAGGTTAGCGAAGAACCAGGAACCCCATCCCTCTCGCGCTTCGGTCGTGGAGGCTCCATCCTCTCCTCTCGTCACAATTCTATTGGCCCTTATGATGATGATGAGGAAGACAAGACCATTCGCGTCCCGAGCCGTGCAATGACCGAATACGCACATCTTAGGCCACAACCTTCTACCGCGCCACGTAGCCACCGCCACTCGCGAGAATACACAAGCCAGGAGCCTCTCCCCCAACCCCACTTCCAGTCCAGCCCGTTAACACATACCCCGCCTGTCCGCCGCGGATTCGGCACGGAAACGTCCAGTCAGCAGTCTTACCTATCGAATGCGACCTCCGTCCTTCGCGATAATGGTGCCAGCAGGTACTATGACCGTAGGTCTAACGTACCCTCGGCTACTCTGTATGAACCTGAGGAGCGCTCAGTGTACAAGGCTGATCACGGCCGCCGTTTGACGCAGCCTAGCGGAGGACGCTACGAGACGAACACTCAAAAGGTTGAATCGCCTCTAAACAGAGCCGGCAGTTTGAATTCACGTCGCATGGCTGCGAGCCAGAGGAGGTTTGGAACTCGAGATTCGAGCAGTGTGAACAGCAGCGTGGATTGAAGTATTGATAAAAAGCTTGGAATGCAATTGACATGAAAATACAGCGTGCCTTGGATGATACGAACAAGATGACAGCGGACGGACGAGCCAAAAGACTATCAAGTAATGCCGAGCGATGAACATTGGTCCCTGTTCCCCCTTTATATTTGTATGTGCGCTTGGATCCCACGATTGATGGGTCACACATCCGTTCCCAATGCAACACGGGCATCTACATGGATGGTTTGCATCTTAACGAAATGATAGACAGCACCTGCACGACTCTCTTCCATTTTTATGGGACAAGGGGAATGAATATATGTGGTCTCGACCGAAGCACAAATGGTGATACGATACGTAGGCCCGCATATAGGCTTTCCCTCTTCTGAGACTATCGCTCCTGTGGAGCATACTAGAGTCCCTGGAGGCGCTTTGCTTCTTGTATATACACTTGAGGAAAACGGCAGTTGGTTATTAGTTGTATGTAGAAACGAGGAATGTATGACATTCTCGAATTCGAAGCTTCACTTCATTATGTCGACTGCGTCTACTCATTTAGCTAATCCCCTGCGCCAAGTATTCCCGGAACTTCTGCCCTAGCAGCTTCGTCACTGCCTCTGCATTTGGCGCTTCGGGGAAGTCGTCTCGCACCTTGATAGACTCCCGGATTTTCTGCTTCTCTGCCTTCTTATCTGCTCCCTCTGGACCACGCTTTGACGAGTTCCTCACGTCCTTGTCTTTCCCCCGACGCACAGGACCGTTCGGTTGCACAGGCGTTATAAGGGTATTGTCTAGTAGGGACTGCCACTTTGCGAGATACATGCCCGGGCCGGACTGAGGTTCGTCCGAGCGGTCTATGAGCGCTGTCATGCGGTCGTGCGATAATCGATGAAGATTCCCGAGATATTCGGCGTGTGCGTCGGTAATGGTTCTCACGGTATTCTGCTCCTCTTCAGTAAGTTGAGCTGTGAACTGCTGCAGGATACCAGTGATTGCACCTGCGCTACTGGCGTCTTGATTGCTCCGAGGCGTTTCATCAGTGGCAAGCTTGAGTTCGGGTTCCCTGAACTGCTTGACGGCATTGTGTGACCATTCGCGAAACCATTCAGTAATCTCTGTTCCATTCTTAGCAATTTGGTAGAGGAAGCGGTGGAGGGCTGATTGATGCTTTTTGCATAGGTCGACGTAGTCTTGTACGCTAGGTGGTCGGTCGCTATGTTCGCCATTTGTTTTGGATTTCGAGAGCTTTATTAGATCATTAAGGAAGCATTCCAGGTCCCATAGGCCGCTGCTGAGATCGACTGCGTTGTGAAGTGCTCGTATCACAGGATCGTACGCCGCGACTGCATCGCGGATCGGCTGTGTAAGAATATCAGGGCTGTGACGGCATAATATAGCGATCAGCTCTTCTCGATCTCGGACCTCCAGAAGTTTCTGTAGATACTCTAATGCCAAGGAGTGCTGGAGCTCGGTAGGCACTTGTGGTAAGTTCGCCTCATCGAAGATGACCATGGCAATACTTTTAGCCTCGGTGAGACTTCTGTCTTGTAATCTTTCATGATCTCGCCTTTCCATCCTCAAATATACTCTAAGCGCATCGATTTGATCTTTTGTGAGCCCATCCTTTGTCTTTTCAATGTTCAACATTTGCTTCTGAAAGTCGTTGATGTCCCATTTGAGGACTTGGGATATGATCTGCTGAACAAGGTTCATCCCATCATCGGGATTATTACTCAGACCTATCCAGTTGGTGACACTTGTGACGGAAAGCTTCGCAAGTACCACTCTGACCATCGCATTGATCATGGAGGCAGCATTGCCAACCTTCAAAGTCTGTCGAATGAGTGTATATGGGATGAGTCGATGTGCGTTCTCCATAATCTTAAGGAGATACAGGCCATCGGGAGAGGAGATCAGGATATGATGTACGAAGGAGGCAAAGCTAGGAAGCAAATCAGCATTAGGCAAGAGAGAAAGCACATGCTACGTACTTTACCAACATAAACTCATGAGCAGCTTGAACGATGGATGAGTGATCCTCTAGCTTGTCAGTCAAAGCACATCTGGCAAAGACCTCATCGACCATGTCAGCATACACAAGCCGTTGTGTAAAGTCTTCCCATCCGGCCAAGACGTCTTCAGCCTTTGAAATGTCGTACTGATGATCAGCGTCTCGTAGGTTCTTACGCGCAAAGCCTCCAATGACACCTCTGGCCGGATATTCTAAGACCGCTGATATGGCTGTCGCGACAGTCTTCCTTGCTCCTAGGGTGCCTCTTTCATAACTCTCAGAAAGTTCTGCGCCACCAAGCTTCTCTAGCAATGTCGAGCACTGTTCTTGCCAAAACTTGGGTGCAACATTTCTTAGGCCTGGGAGATTGGTCGCAAAACGTGTAAAAAGGATCTGTAACAGCGGTGACTTTGCAGGCACGTTGCTAGCCTTGATGAACGGTTTGCCGTATTGGTGAATTGCGTCTGGGGACTTGAAGTTCTCAATTTCAGCATAGGTTTCATGGTGCGTAAGAATATCGAAGAGGGCGTGCGCCTGGGCAGGCGTCAGGTCTGTAGTGGACATTTTGTGTCTGCATTGTGAGAAGGAAGAGAGCGTAGTAGCTCCACAAGGTGTGAGATAGATGAGTCCAAGGAAGATGTGTATTCTTTCATGACGTTGGGACGTCACCAACGCGTGGGATGAGCCCCGGCGCTAGTCAATTATGGTTAGCTCGAGTTCCTTGGACAACACCACACCAAACCGGGTACACTTGGCAGTTGACATTGACATCCGAAAGCTACAAAGATCTATTTGCGATCCCTAAAGTGGAATTCCGAGCATGATCAAGTTTCAGCAGTCCTTCGTCCTATTTTCCTAGTCCATGAATCCTTTTCAGAACATTTTGTGATCCCTTGGGCTTCGCAGTCGCAGCTGCACCTTAGAACGTTCGCTTCAAACTGTAGATCTGACATGCTTTACCAAGGATCGGTATTGTGTCTTGTTTTGATTTGATCCACTGGTGTCTTAGAAGCACTGGTATCCTAGAAGCCAAAAGAAGTTTCTGGGGAGCCACAACCCAGCCCCAGTCCTAATCCCTTTCCTTTGCTGCCGTCCCTATCATTCCTCAATCGGTCCCCTACATCTTTTACCCTTCTCTCAAGCTCAGGCATGCTCCTAACATACTCCCACACATCCCCATCGAGCTTCAGCTTCCCTTCCTCTGTTCGGTAGGCTACATTCTGTACCATATGGCTCACGATCTTCTCGTCGCCACCTGGTACTTTTGGATCGATGCCATTCATGAAGATCCAGACCGCCTCGATGTCGTCCTTGGAAAATGTCTCTTTGGACAGAAAGTCCATGATGGTCGCTTGGAATTTCTTCTCGCAGAATGGCATCTGTAGCACTCGGATCGCATGGTAGCAAATGATTGTGTTGCGCGGTGAAGTAGGGGGTTGCATCGGTTCATCATCGATGATAGAAGCACTAGACACCATATAATCGACGAGGTACTCTAGAGCTGCCGCCTGAATGTATGGTATCGTGACTGCAGGTATGTCCTCCTCTGCAGAGATGTCGGCGAACGACGATGGCTGGCTGTTATATGTAGTGTAGGCTTCGGCAATCCGAGCGCGAACAAACGGCGAATAAGAAGAAATGAGGGACGACGGTATGTGGATTGTGATGTCGGTATAAGCGATTCGAACAAGTACGAGTGGAGACTCAAGCAACTCTTGACGAGCGTTGATGTCAAGATCACGAAGGACTGAGAGCGAATTGGCGTTTGTCGTGGTCGAAATGAAGCTCGATTGCATAGACGGTGGGCTGCTATCTGTCTGGAAGGAGACTTCGGAGCGCATGGCAGGAGATTTAAGCCATGAAGACGAATCGCAATTCGAATATGGTGACATGAGGCTTAACTGTAACACTTCAACAGATGTGAGCGTGGAAACTTCTTTTTGATGCTTATATCAGTTTGACCTAAGGTAGCAGTGCATATTTGCTTTGGATGCTGAAGTGGGCTGACTCGGTGAAGTTTGTGTGCTTTACGGATGACACATGCAAGCTAGAATCAAAAAGGAATGTCTTTGTTTACTGTCTACTAGGGTATGCGGAAATGTGAAACAGTCAGCAAGCTAGACTCGCATGAGCATAGCGCTCTTTCGCGCTGCAGTGAATGATTCAGCTATGAGTGTGTGTCAAACTGTTCATCCTACCTATGTGAATTCATGTTTGTCATAAAGCACGAGCAGACAGCGTACATGTCCACAGGTGTTTTAGGCCGATGGTCCCACTAGTACTTGAACACACTTTACAGTAAGTACACAAGTGGTGTTAAGGAGATGTTGCAATGTGCCCAAAGGCCATTGTCGTCAGAACGTCATGAGCTCTCATACATTGTTATTATCATTCTATCAAACTTTCCATTATCAATTCTACCGGTCCTCTGTGTAACAAAAGTGTCCCTGGCTCAGATTCTTTCATCCTGCTAATGTTTGGCAGCAGTAAGTACATAATAGCCAAGTAGCTTTCGGGTTTATCGAGGAGTCGATGGTGGGGTTGAGCGCTCGAAATCTCACTCAGTCCATCTCCAAGAGAACCTCCTCGACGATCACTGCTCGTCCAGTCTCATGTTATTCAATAGATTCTACTATATCACCTTGCAAATCGAGAATCGCTCAAGAACAATTGAAAGTAACAAGGCCAACAGGTTCGTGGTACAGTCTTATCCAGGTACTGTAGTGGCAATTCCCATAGGCCACAAACTGATTGCCGTGGCATCCTCCGAAATAGCCGTGGGCATACTTACGAACGTCTTCATGAAGCAATTTTCTGCGAACCTCTTTCGCGGATCTCTGTCAGCAGTCTCATTACTTATACGACCATCCTCCATCTTGCGACCCATGCTGCTCCTTGACACGTGGAGTTAGGTATGTAATACTCGAGATTCGCACACCTGAGGGGTAAGTATCAGTTTGCTACGAGCTAGCTTGAGCAATAACTCACGCTTCAAGATACATCTCGAAAGTCTCTGCTAATAGCCCCATAGCATCAGAGTTCGGCGAGTCCTTATTGTAGAATGCGTTGAAGTATGCACCACCGATCGCGCTGTATCGGAAGTCTGCAGTAGATGGTATTGATACACCTGTCTTCGCAGCTGCCTGCCAGAAGATATCACTAGTTGGCGAGAGTGAAAGGATCGAGGACATAACACCAGTCGGAGTGGTGGTGATTGGGTTATCAGTAGGAGTAGGCTCAAACTTGGGACATGAGCTTTTTGCATTGCGCACTGTAAGGCTGCCACCTAGCCCTGCTGCGACTCCAGCTATGAGGATAGTGACCATGAGAGCGATAGGCCACCGGAGTCTTGAGTTACGCTGCTTTGGATGTATAGGAGGTTGGACAACGTTATGGGAGGAGTGATCGTACGGCTGGTTATTTGCAAGCTCCAGCCCAGGCTGGTCTTTGATGAGACCATCGTGCTCGGGTTTGACTTCCAGACCCGGGCCTGGCTGGACTTCTAGTCCTGATGCGAATTCTGCTTCTCCTGCTGTGACAGTTGGCGGTCAAATTACCCATCAGGCGAAAAGCATGTACTCACATTCATCTCCTCAGTCTTAGCAATCGAATTTTTGCAATCGACGGATCGCTGATGAAGACTACGAGGATGTATGGTTGTAACTTCTGTCCAGTAAGCCCACCCCTTCAGAAGTCTCCAGGTCCGGAGTACACGGCTTCTTAGGTCGAACCTATCTCATCAGGTCTGGAGCTGTTGTCAGCTCTGAGGAACTAGGACTCACCCAGTGGTAATACATGTCATTCATTGATATTTCCCCATGCGATCAAGGATATGTATTCAAATACAACATGATACATTCACCATACCAAATTCATTGTACATGAAATTCCGCTATGCAACCCATAAATGCCACATGAGTCTCAGTTGTTCTATCACGGGCACTCAGAGAGTTTGGCCAAACAAAGCCGAAAGGATATGAAAGATCGCGACGAAGCACGCTTGTACACTAATGTGCCTGTCTGAGAAGGAACGTCATGGCCTGCTTATTGTTGCCATGGCAATGGCAATCCTGCGTGAACTTACGCTGAGCTACATTTGGATCTCACCTAAAGCTCTTATACTAGCACTCATTCGATATTACTATGTTGAGCAAATCACAACCTTCACAAAACAAACTCTAGCGAAGCTTGTTCTCCGACTGTCTTTCCCATCGAGCACCTGCACATCATTTTGTCCATTCATGCACTTATGATGTCCTCAGGCAGTATTCGAATTGATACACCTGCTAGTTTGCGTAAGCTTCAAAATAGAGTTAGAGTGGTTCCATCAAACGAACAATAGCATTGAGATATTGTCTTACATGTCTTCGAATGCCACACCACTGTTGCATATTTACTCACAACTATCTGTTCTGGGGCAATTTCAGGAGAGCTTCCCAGCGCTGCTCCTGACTACTCTACTAGTCATGTGTGATGACTGTAGAATGATATCGAAAGGATTTTACGAGCACGAGAGAATACCCAAGTCTAGAGCGACATCTCCATGCTTCCAAGTGCTTCGATAAGCATTTTTCCAAGCATAGGAAGGGAGTCTGTATCCAATAGCTCGAGCCCAGAAACTACCAGCTTAGGCTATACGTAGATGGGATTTGACATGCTTATCTTCAGCTGCCAGACAGAGATCTAAACATAACACTCGCATTATTGAACCTAATGTGCTAACTCCGTTAGGGTATAGATTGCAATTCTGGCTAAAGTATTGAGATGTTGAGACTAATGTGCAGCTGATGACTAGATACTTTACGATTTCAATTATGGACATAAAGCCGTGTTTAAAAGAAGGAGAAGACCTCCATTGAGAGAATACGACGGGATTTTTAGCCATGATAGCTCGAGAAAAATGGCATGGTGCAGCTACTGCGTCCACTGAATGACCTTGTAGCCAGGCTCAAAAGCTAGCTTTGTTGGATCGAATCGTTCGTGAGTGAAAGTGTCACCAACTTCATAATTAATTTCAATCCTCATTGAGGGCATGGAGGTGTCGCAATAGCAAGAGAACGAAGAGGTCTAGACTTATTCTAAAGCTAATGTCAATACCGTGCAAGACGTTGCAGCACATAAAGAATACGTGGTATGATCGACCACTTCAGATTTGTTGGTTACTTTCATATACACTAATCAACCATACTTTTCAATATCTGTAATTTTTTGGGAGCATCGTGCATTGAGTTGTTTATACACTATACTCAGTGCCACGAAATTGTGGTATTGGCATCCAACGGAATTTCCGCCGTAATGGTTAGTACGTTCCTGCCCGCGTCGAATGTATAACAACCAGATCCACCACTCGACTGGAGATTGTACTCGCCCTTCTTGCTGACAGTAACGACTGCCGGCGCGGACTCGACGCCCAGAACAGTGAACTTGGCGATCTTGTTGCCCTCTTCTTGATAACCGAATCCGCCGGTGATGTGCAATTCATTGCTGTTGTATGAGAATTTGAGGTACGTCCAACCATGCTCCTGCTCAATGGAGACACCGTCGTCCAGGTATAGCGAGCCAGATGCATTCCCGTCCGAGCCAGGGGCAATGACGACGTCGAAAGGCTTAGTACGTACTTCTGTGGTAGTCATGGCGCTTTCACTGCGGAAGGGGATGATGGAACCACCCTTGATGTGAAGTGGGATGTGATCGAAGGCTACATCGGTCAGATTGACCCACTCACCCTGGCCGTCAACCTTCTCATATGTGTAGAAATCATATAGAGTATCTTTGGGTATGTAGATCGAGACGCTGGTCGAGTTCTCTTCCGTGACTGGACTGACAAGAATGCTGGGGCCGTAGAAAAACTGTAAAGCGTTACCAAAGGTCTCAGAATCCGTTGGGTACTTGAAGAAAAGAGGGTTTAGAGAGGGTGTTCCGTCAAGAGTTTGCTCGTACAAGGCAGTGTAGAAGTAGTCCAACAAGCGGTAGCGGATATCAATGGCTTTCTTCGCGGCAGCAGTGACGGATGGCCAGATGTAGAATTCCTGTGGCAGGGCGCTGTCCTGGTTGTGGTTGCGGTAAAAAGGATTGAAAGCTCCCAACATTGCCCAACGAGCACAAAGCGTCTCAGTCGTGTTTTGACCAAAGCCACAGACATCAGAGCCTACCATGGGGACCTGGTATATGGCACTAAAGTCAAGCATACCCTGGATCTGGTTCCGATAATGATCCCATATTGAGAGATTATCTCCTAGCCACTTGCCCGTCTTACGACCGGCACCAGCAAAAGTGCTTCGCGTTATAACCAAGGGTCGCAGCTTAGGACGACGGTCGATCATAGCTCCTCGCGATGCTTCAGACATCATTGTTCCATACAGATTGTGAACATCAAGATCAGCCAGCCCATGATAATGGTGAAGGTCTGTCCGAATTGTTTGATTACTATTACCACCAATATCCTGGAAGGTGTTTGCATTATTGATACGATATGGAGGTGCGAGCAGATTGCGCCCTTCCACGCCAACTGGAGTAGTCAATTCTGCACTGAATGATTGACCTGGAATCTCGGACGCTTGGCGCTTGTTGTTTGGACCGGAGTTAGGACTTGCAGGAGGCGCAAGATTCGGATCGTTGTAAGGTAAGCTGTCTGGCGGATAGTCCTGAGCGCCGGGTTGGAATTCGGCCGGAAAACCGGGGATCTCGCGAGGCTGAGATCTCAGGAAAGGTCTCTGAGGCGGGAAACGGTTGTTCTCGCTATACCCAACTGGATCTAAGCAAGGGAATGGGCAGAAGTTGGCAGCTTCGTTCATGTCAATCCAGAGTCCGTCGATATCGATCCCATCTCCAGGGTCGAAGAACTGAGCAAATTCATTGCTCCAAAAGGCTTGCGTGTTTGGGTGGAACCAATCAGGGAATACAGTAGGACCAGGCCATACAACACCAGTGAAAATCGTACCATTGTCATACTTCATGAAGACATCTTGGTCGATGCCACGACTGAGGGTAGAATAGTTGCCAAAGTCATTGTAGGCCACAGCAGGATCTACCATGACAATGTAGTGCTGATCATGCTCGTGGAGGTAGTCAACAATGTCTCGAACACGAGCAATTTCGAAGCGGGTCGGATCAACAGTGAAGATCCAACGCTCGTACATATAGTCGATGTCTATCAAGGTTAGCAATGTTTTTTTCCTCCAGTGCAGTATTAGGACGCCAGTCTAGCGATACGTTCACCATTTTGCAGTTAATATTGAAGTATCGCTGAACTGATGATCGTCGCTGCATTCACTTTATGATGAAACGTACCAGTCCATTGTGTTTCCAGCGGGATACCTGCACTACTATAATTCGCGATAGTCTCTGCAACAGCATAAAAGTCACGGTAGCCGTAGCGACAGTTGTGAAAGCCAAGACTCCAATACGAGTTCATGGCTGGGAGACCTACGAGCTCTGCGTATTGCTTCGACACGTCCAATGGAGTGTCTCCAGCCAAGAAGTAGAGATCGATAACACCACCAAGGGTGTTATACTCAAGGTATTGACCCTCTGCTTGAGTATTGTTGATCTTGATATCCATGCCAGCGCTGGACAGCAGAAAGACACCATGAGATCCACTCTCACGATGATCAAAATAGATTGGGTGGTTCCCGTAAAGATTCGATCCTTCTGGAATGCCAAAGGCATCTCTCGACCACATAGTACGAGTGTAATTTGTGGTGTTAAGACGGAAACTGTCAGAATGCTCGCCAAGTCCGTACAAATTAGGGTCTTCTGGCAAAGCCGTTCTCAAACGTAGGTACTGATCTTCAAACACCAAAGGTGCTGCCGACGAGTCGAAAAGGGCCTCTCCCGTGGACTTTCTCTTCACAGTGAAAGTAAAAGGAGACTCTCCATAGCTGAACTCGAGATCTGACTCGTCCACAGTCGAGTTTTGAGAAACTGGTCGCGGCAATACAGATTCCGGAACACGATAAATTTCATGTGAAGCGTCCTCAATCAGGACATGTAGCCGTTTGTCTGCAATTGGTCAATACATTTCTACCTATAATGGCGTTGTCGCATGATATACCTGTCTCATACGTAACAGTAAGTAGCAAGGAATCAATATCAGTGCCGTACACATTGCAGGCGTCTCCAGAAAGAGAGAGCTCGGCAGTCAATGAATTGGGACTTGACAGGACATTTGAGGCAGTGTAACCTGGACAACTTTCCAACGACTGTCTGCGCTCTAACTTTGTAGCACCCGCATACGGAGCGGCAGCAACTGAAGCTGTGAGACACACAATCAGCAAAGCTAACTGAGCCATCTTAGGTCGAGCGATTGAGGAGAGCTGTGGAAGGTCTGCTGGGAGGACATGACGGGGAAGTATATACCCAGACAATTCCGGCGAGACGACCCACTTAGGAGTGAAGGTTACACTGGACTATTAGTTATATACATGGACATCAAAGCAGTCAATAGGTTGAAGCAAGCAGTTGCGGCGCCGATGCTTACTGCGAGGACTGTGCGGCATTCGATCACCAGCTGTTTTGCCTGGGGGCCCTAGCAGAAAACCGGAGAGGCGTCTTCTTGGCACTGCGGGGAAGCGCGGAGAGGTTCCAGCGAGAGTTGAACCGCAGGTAATAATGATACTGGTGTTGTAAGTGGGTTCCTCTAGCATCGCCAGATATTCTGTACGAGCGCATGACATCGATGGCGTTACTACCAAGCCTACCGCAAGTCGAAAGAAATGGTCAAGTCGCTAGTGTAGCTTGACCTGTCAGAACGTGAGCAACTTGGGTGCTGTAATAGTAGCGCTACCACGATTCATAGTACATTGAGATTGATACGGCCGCGGATGCTCGTCAGTCTTAGCATAATGTGCATAGTGTACGTCGCCACTTGATATATATATCAAATTTTCGCCTGATTGTAGTTGATTCTCCCGCTTCATGGTGTGTCTTGAAATAGTAACCCGTTTTTTGTCCCAGGCAAGACCGTTAGACATGAATGAGGGTAACGCAGTTGAGTGGCTCTCTATGCGTACACAGGATGGCTGTCTTCCGACAGAGTGTCGAACGTATGTCTATGCCAACCATGATACCTTTGGCTGTCTTTTCTCCTCGAAAGTATGTCCAGGGTGTCCCGGAGACGAAGCGTCCTCGCACGGCGTCTTTGGCTGTCAATCGAGTCAAGATAAGAGCCGAGTTGCCATGGACCATCCAGACAGACAGACATCCGCACCTTGGCGGCTAGCATTGCTGTGGCAATCTTCAGCGGGGACGATTGAGCAATGAGTGAACGGCTCTGCATGCAAGTTTGATGGAACTGGTAGCAAGTCAGCAAATAATTGTTGAATAATAAGATTTCGACGCATACCCTTGGCTGAAGGACCGATCGTTCCCGTGCACGGACTTCAGGCTAAGCTCTATGGGGTATGGTGTTTGTTGACACTCGCACTCGTCGATTTACCTAACTTTTGACAGCACAGCTGCTCCACCTCTTCTGACGGAAACGAACTGGCACTGAACTCGGTGATTCTCCAACTTGACCCTCATTACCTCATCGTGTCCGCAGTTTTCTTTTGTTCTTTCTCTTCCTCTGCCCGTTTGCCGTTCCGCTAGCAAGGCAAAACAGATTCAGACATCTACGCGAACCCTACTCTGCTCTACCCTTCATCGCCCTTGTTTTGTCAACAGCCCGACAGGATCCACCACGATGCCTAGGACTCGCCGCTCCGCTCGGCTTGGGAAGGTGCGCCAAATTCTTCTTACCATGCACCCGGGCAATGATTCTCCTCATGCTATCGACTGTCTAGAGTCTTATCGATTGCCATTAGCACTCATGTATCAAACGAACTAACATTCCCTGGGTAGGAACTCAAACCCCCTTCGCCTGCACCTGTTGTTGGCGAACGCATCGCTTCGACCAGTGATATGTCGCTTGCAAGCCTTCCTGAGACGGGCGAACGACAGAACACCCCAGATGTCGTCGTCCCCAAATCCCTTCAGACCTCCCTGGTAGCAACACCAAAGAAGTCCATGTTCTCCTTCGGCAATCTCACCGGTATCACTCAGCGTACACCCCGCAACAAAACACCTATCAAACCCAGCGAGAAAGAGATGCACCCGCAGCTTCACCACCAGACCACCACCAAGCCACTCGAAGAAGCTCGTTGGCTGGGCTTTCTCAGCAAGGGCGCGCATACAGAGCCGTCCAAGGGCGTGAATAAACTAATTTATACCCAAGCAACCCCTACAAAGATACCCACAACCGCTCAAAAAAGCGTGCTTAGTACCCCAGAGTTTAAGTTTCGTGTGACTCGGCCATCTTTCGAGCTGAGCCCCGAAGCTCGCCAGCTGATGGAAGAGACACGCGAAGAAGCTGCCATGATCAAGGCCCAAATGATGGCCGCCAAACATGCAGGTGCATCTATCGCTGATATCAACGGAGTTGGAGGTCGAAAGTACGCCCAGGCGAAAGGTAAAGCAGGTCGCTTCAGCGACGTGCACATGGAACAGTTCAAGAGGATGGACTCAATTGCCAACCATCCATCATCGTTTAGAGCAGACCCCAACCGCTTCAAGCAAGCAGAGGTGCGGAAGTCTCTTAAGCGCTCGCCATCGAAGGCCCAGCTTGATGACGAAGACGCTCCGCCAGCAGTGAGACCTTCACCCTCGATGTCAAGACTCCCGGCGCATGCCAGCTCAGGTGCTCGTCCGAGATCTACTGTCAAGCTAGTCTCTGAAACAGTTGAGGATATTCCTGCAGTCATCTTCTCTAACAAACGGAACAAACACAGCGCTGAGCAGGATGTTTCTTCCATGCGACCAGCTGATAAGTCTGCCACACCCAAAACTATGATTCCCAAGCTTCCAGCAAGCATCTCGAGACTTCCTTCAGTCTGCACTCCAACCAGATCGTCTCTTGCTCGGGCCCAGAGCGTAAGAGTTGCCAAGACGCCCCAGTCCAACATTCCCTCACTTCTTCGCACGCCATCAACTCGCACTCCACTGAGACGTAATATCAGCCCTTCGCGAGCCAAAAGTACAATCAGAGAAGGTGTTCAGCAGATCAGTGACTCTCTAAGGCAGAAAGGTGGTGTTCGCGGTATTTTGCGAAGCCCTCAGCGGCATTTCTCGAATGATCCGCTTAAGATAGCAGCAGGCACTCATGTTGCAACTCCGGATCGCGTCAAATACGGTTCCAATATAGACAAGTCACTTCCAGCTGTACCATTTACTGCACCAGTCAGCAAGACTAGACGTGTTGAGTTCACAGCGAGCACCGTAGCCAGGGCCGAACGTGATGCCCCGAAGACTCCAACGCCGGTCGCAAACACGGACGATGTCGAGCCACCGATCGAGTACCCTTCTCTCGAGATCGATTATCCTTCTCTTACCGCTTCTACCAGCTCTCCATCCCCTGCACCCTCTCGCCGCCGCAAGACTTTGAACGAGCTATCGATTCCTGGTAGTTTCACTTTCAGATCTGAGAGGCAAGTTTCTTTCGGTCCGGTGACTTCAGGCATCAAATCGATCCGTAAGACTCAAGGTAGCAATGTTTGTGAAGGTGTTCAGAATATTGGTAAGAAGCGCAAGCTTGATGATGTAGAGGAAAGCCTAGAGAGCGACAAAGAAAACAAGCCATCGGCCGAGAATGAAGACGACATTGAAGAGGGTCGCAATCGCAAAAGAGCTAGAAAGTCGGTCGACCAAACATCTACTGCTCCATCGAAGGTAAATACGCCCGCGAAAACCTCAGCCAGGCCATTGCGACGTACCGATACAAAGCGAACTAGCGGACTTACTTCGTCTCGCCTCAACTTTCTTGCAACGCCTAGAAAGCGCAAGACTTGATCAAGCAGTACTATTGAACGACTTTATTCATCATCTGTCCAGGTATCTACGAGACTGGGCGTGAATAACCGCGTCTGGTAGCTGAATCCGACATTTCCGATAGACGACCTGTCTCCTTTGTTTAACGCTCAACCCGCGGCTCTTGGCTAAGAAATGAGCACTTGTCGTGCATCAAATTTCCTTTACGGTATTGGGTTCACGTTAGTGATGTTTGAGGTGACACGAAACCTTTTCGCAAAGACTTTTGGTCTTATGTCTCTCCTATGTTTTTCTCATATGTTCCATACACTGATGCATGGTCGGTCCCGCTGGCGTTGTGCGCGAAAAGTGTAGGGGGCTTAGTAATCACAACCGCTAATACTTATGGCGGGATGCATCGTGGGCGCAATACGGTTGATGACCTGGATTGAGACGCAGTAGCGTTTGTTATGGCGATAGGATGATATGAATCAATGAAACTGGGACTTTATGGTCGTTATTTTCTGGTTAAACCGTGATCTTTAGCCACTTTGAAGCCCTAAATGTACTTTGGCAGAGAGAGTAGAGGTGGCTAAAGCGTTGCTTTCAGTACACTGTGCTTACCGATACGCAAGGCTCTGAGTCGGGCCTTTTACTTCGGTATGGGCACCTAAGCTTAAGTTTAACATCCACCGGTCGTGGGAAACCACGATTCGTACGGTCGTCGCACCACTTTTCTACTTGAGATTCCTTCTTCTCCTGCCGACAAATCGTTACGACAAGGTATCTTCACTCTGGCGTCTTCACATTTTCTCAACGTCATCTCTGACATCTTCGGCCGCCGGCTCAAGAATACTACTCCCTACCAGCCTGCAACATCCTTTAAAGACGAGTTGGTGGGGCGCAAGTGGGACTTGCTACTTCATTACACGGACAAGCAGTACATCGTGGATCGATTACGAGGTTTTTCCTCACGGTTAGTCGACGACGATTCGCTCGTCTACTCGACTGCTGGCTTTATCTTGTTCGTTGCAGCCGTCCTCCTCTTGTTTTTCGGCCGTCAACGTTCTCGTCTGCCAGCACTGCAATCTCCACCCTCCTTTACAACCTGTCCTGAGGCTAAGAAGCAGAAGAATAAGGAGATGTCATCCTGGAGCTCTCGGTTTGGCCAGATGGCTGGCAAATTCTCTCCGTTTGGGCGCAACGCAAATTCCGGTAATAACCAGGTCACCGACTCTGACTTCAGCTATATAACATCGGAAGATCTCGCTCGTCACGCTATATCGAACAATCAATCCCAACATGCCGCCTCCCCTGGTGCGAACGACGACACAATCATTTTACGAAATAAAAAGTTGAGCTATCCTATCCACTTCCCCAGCGGTAGCCTCTCTAGTGGCGAAATCACAATCGGAGTGCTCCGCATCGCCGCAGCCCAAAAGCTCGAGATCCGCGACGCAAGACGTATAAAACTCCTTTACAAAGGCAAGAACCTCAAAGATGACAAGGCGCTTGCTCGTGACGAAGGTCTACACTCGGATCACGCCTCTGAAGTACTCGTCACCGTCAGCGAAGCATCAGACAGCTATCTCGACACTCGTGACGCCACGGATGATCGCAGTGTCCTCAGTGCAAGCTCCGACGACGAATCCGCTGATGACAGTGCTACCCCCTCCAATACTGCAAGTAAGAAGAGGAAGACGCGCAGCAAGCGTAAGAAGCGTGGCGGCGCAAGTGGGCGCAAATCTCCGACCTCATCTTCGACTCAGGCATCCGCAAGATACACAAATAACACCCCCCGCCCTGCTGAGTATCTACCTATACCTTCAACTGCAAACCTGCGACCCTCCTCTGCGCCACCCATCTCCGCGCCACAGCCCTCGCTGTCAAATCCGCCAATGACTCAGCTAGATGCGCTAGAGAGCCATTTTCGAATTACATTACAACCACAATGTGAAGAGTTTCTGCGTAGCACACCGGGCGAAGGAGTGGAGATGGCGAAGTGGACGATGAAGCAGAAGGGCTTGGCGGAGACCATATTGGTGCAGGTTATGCTAAAGCTGGATGCGGTGGAAACCGACGGCAATCATGATGTGAGGATGAGGAGGAAAGAGCTCGTGCGCGAGGTACAAGGTTGGTTGGATCGGTTAGATCAGTACGCAGGAACTTCGAAATGAGATAATGCTAGGACGAGGAAGTGAGAAATATGGGAGTGAAGATGGGACCAATGGGGGAAGGAGACGATGGATGATCTTGCGATATATAGTGCATTACATGAGTTTGACTTTGGACATTGGGTTACATCCTGGGCATGCTTCTATGAACATACTGAGAAGTATCTTGAGAAGGTCAAGGCCGCTACAGCGCAGTATATAAACAGGGGACAATAGATCTGAAAGGCTTCTCCACCTCTACTCCTTCATCAGAACAATCCTACGAGCATTTCATCTTTGCCGTCGGAAATGCGGAGACAGGGTCTAACTAGATAAGGTAGGTTATGATTACAATACGTCATTCAGCCACCACCCTGTCTTAACCAATGTCATGAAACTATTCTGCCGAATGACCTTAGTCTATTAGTATAGTTTTTATGCGAGACTGAGTGACGGATTGAAGCATAGCGAAGCTCACTTGATCTGTTATTATGTAGATGTTGATATGCATCAGGTCTGGAGATTGGCAGGAATTTGAGACATGATTGAGAACGATTATGTACAAGACCCTCTTGCGAAATCGTTGGTGGCTCTTTACTCAAACCAAAAGATATAGAGTATTCTATCAAGTCCCAGAGCGAGACAAACGAACTTTCGTAGCGCTCATGTTTCATCATCAGTCGCTATTTACCTTGATTCCTCAGGCAGCAGCAAACTTCGCATATCAGCTTCCGTAGCCCGGGCCGATTGTGGTTTTCAAAACTAGCGGTATGTGGGGGCCAATCAAGCTCTGCCAACTTCGGCCGAATCGACTTGTTGGCATCTGGTGCTGGGTTATGGTGTTCACTCTCGCCCCACGACAACGGGTAACGGGAGATGAATTGGGCAACCGACCTGGGCTGTGGAGAGCGCTAAACTTTATTAAGATGAAATGGGTCTCCACGAGTCCTATTCCGACGGATCTCGGCGCCTCTCGCTCCCTTCCGACCCCACGACAAGACTTGTAATCATAATAACGGGAACTGTGACTAGACTGCGCCTTGAATCGTTCATTTAGGGGCCAGGCAATTCAGCCTATAATTGGCTTTCACGATGGAGGAACCAGCGACGTAAAAGTTCTATATATGGGACACACCTGCTTGTTCCCCTTCCTCGCACCTACGCGAGCATTCAAATAACATCGCGACCCGGGTAGTCGTCACACATGACTATAATGATGTCTTTCGTCACATTGTGCACCGCCGTGTGGGCATTCTCTGTCGCAAAAACAAGCCTTGGCTTTGAATTACAGTCATGTCGGACATCTCAAGTCAACGCTTTTCGGTCTGAAGACTGACATCTTATAGACAACCCTGATGCGGCGACAAATTGGTTCTACGCCATTAGCCAGGCTCACGCTATCACCTCGCAGATGACGACCGAGGAGTTGAATAATGTGACGTATGGTGTTGATAGCGCTTGTTCTGGCATGATCGGCAGTGCAAGCCGTGTTGGCTTCGAAGGACTATGCTATAATGACATTGGCAAGACAGATCTAGTCAACAGCTACCCAGAAGGCATCTCCGTTGCTGCGAGTTGGAATCTCGAACTGGCCTATGAGCGTGGTCAGCAGATGGGACTCGAGCATCGTAAGAAGGGTGTCAAAATACTATTGACGCCTGTCGTTGGTCCTGCGGGTCGAGTCGCTTTGGGAGGCAGAAACATGGAAGGCTTAGGTGCGGACCCGTTTCTAGCTGGGAAGCTTTCGGCTGCTTCCATCATTGGCATTCAGGAAAACGTCATTTCTTCAGTCAAGCATTTTGTTGGGAATGAACAGGAGACATATAGGAACCCATCTGGTGGAAATAATGTCTCTGTTTCGTCCGAGATCAACGATAAGGATATGCACGAGCTGTACCTCTGGGCATTTCAAGATTCTGTTGCCGCTGGTGTCGGATGTATCATGTGTTCATATCAAAGGGTGAATGGCACGTATGCTTGCGAGAATGAGAACCTCCTGAACGGCCTCTTGAAAGACGAATTGCAGTTTCCTGGGTTTGTGCTGAGCGATTGGGGTGCTCAGCATTCTGGTGTGCCGTCCGCGCTGTCTGGACTCGACGTGGCCATGCCCAATTCAGAGTATGTAAACTCGCGTTGTAGATTGAGATTCACTATTTGCGCACCAGCTGACTTTGATATCGCAGCAATTATTGGGCCAAAGGAGCACTCGCGACTGGCGTACAAAATGGATCCATTCCTTCAGGAAGACTACAAGACATGGCTACCCGCCAACTCGCTGCAACGTATTACGTTTTTGGAGACCAAGTATCATCACCGCCCAACGGCTACGGCCTCGTCAAGGATTATACAGTTGATCATGAACTCGTAGACGCCCGAGATCCATCGAAGAAACAAAGCCGTCTGCAGCAAGCAATCGAAAGCCACGTACTTGTCAAGAATACGAACTATGCTCTTCCACTCCGCTCACCTAAGATACTCTCTCTTTTTGGCTACGATGGCACCGTTCAACCCACAAGTAACCCAGGATCTGGTCTTCTTGGCCTTCTCTGGTCTCTCTATGCTCAAGGTGTGAATGCAACTGCTGACGACTTCATCTCGATTATCTCTGGCACGCCGATAGAAATCCCACAGATTGCTTCGAACGGTACCTACTTCTCAGCCACCGGATCCGGCTCCAGCATCGGGTCTTATATCTCTGACCCCTATTCTGCCATCTCCCAGCGTGCATACGAGGACAACATATATGTATTACACGACTTTCAATCCTTCACCCCCGATGTTAGTGCTGCAAGTTCTGCGTGCTTAGTATTCCTGAACGATTTCAGCACAGAATCATCAGATCGCGCTGGTCTGGCTGACCCTAGATCTGACTCGCTTGTCACGCACGTTGCGGATCGCTGTGCGAACACTATCGTGGTCATCCACAATCCCTTCATCCGCATCCTCGACAGTTTTTACGACCATCCCAACGTTACAGCAATCCTACTCGCGCATCTACCAGGCCAGGATTCCGGTCGCGCTCTTACGCAGGTTTTGTTTGGCGACCAAAGCCCCTCCGGCAAGCTTCCATACACAATCGCGAAAAATGCATCTGATTATGGCCCACTCTTGAATGCGAGTTACGTTCCCATGGGCAACCCTCAAGTCAACCTTTCAGACCCAAGCGGCTTCGACTATCGCTACTTCCAAGAGAAAAGCATAGAGCCACGCGTGCCATTCGGTTTCGGATTGTCATATACAACATTCTCGTACAGCTCCGCACATATCACAAGCAACGACTTCTCTTCTGCCCCCGCTTCGCCACCTAATCCAACAGACACCATACCAGGGGGGACAAAGAGCCTGTTTGACAGACTCGTTAGTGTGGCGGTCGAGGTTTCTAATACTGGGATTATCTACGCAGCCGAGGTAGCACAGTTGTACGTGCAGTTTCCAGGCGAAAGCATCCACGTGCTACGAGGGTTCCAGAAACAGGTCATCAACTCTGGCGAGACGAGAACATTCGCAATGGAGTTGACGAGGCGTGACTTGAGTCGATGGGATGTGGTGAGCCAGCAATGGGTGCTACCGAGCGGAACTACCAAGATCATGGTTGGGAGTAGCTCCGTGGACATCGTAAGCACAGTTGAGCTCGTAAGACAGTGAAGTTACATGCGTAGAACTGATGTACAGAGAATGGTCTGTTTAACATACAATTTGGACATAAGCCTTCGCTATCCATGTAATTTGGGGTTACTACTGTCTACTTGAAGCGCCATCCCCGTCCTCGCCGACTTGAGAGCATCATGTAGAAGCGCACGAAGCCTCTCCATCTACTCGTTGAACTCAGACGTGTTATTGTGATACACCACATTACTTTTATGTCTGCGGTCTTCCATGTCAAAAAACTCTATATGAAGGTTCTATCATCAAATAAAAGGTTCTATACTAATACATTTAAGAAACAAAGGTCAGACGAACGCTGTGACTGGTAATATGACCGGATAGCCCCTTCATTATGCTCCCTGGCGCTCTTTCAATCACAACAACGTTGCTCCGAATAGTGATGATACTAATACCATTAAAAGCGGAGTCTTGGGTTTTTTCATCTCCCTAAAGGCCATGAACTACTCTAAAAGCTACACCTTAACGCGATCGATGCGCTAGTGTTCAACATACTTTTTGAGGGCCAGGTATTCTTCGAGCATAACTCCTTATATCTCCAGTAGCCTTTCAAGGGGGGAGGCCCCAATGGTACCTCTATCAAGCTCCGTTGATCTTAACAAGTTTACATTTGGATAGATAGATCTTACGATAGGTTACCTTTGATCTCTTATTACAATCTGTTTCAGACCCAAACAATTCTTGGCATACCCTATTCGAGATTTCGACGAATTCTAACAGAAAAATTGACCAACGACTAATGTTTCGTTTGCGTCTCAGATGAGGATTTAGTTCTCTTCATTTATGTAATCAAGAAATGGCATCTGGTGGTTGACTAAATGCTTCGTCTATGTCGATTATAGAATGAATGTAGAGTGTAAGAAGAGCTTAATGTGCATTAGCAAAAACTACAAAGACCGGAGAAGCCAGTTTCAGAGGAGCACTAAGACCCGTAGTTTGTTATCAGTGGGCGCAGTCTTTCCTCAGCCTCTTATCTGTTCTACATCTTAGCTTCACTTGCTCATCTGTCAGATACTCTTCGGCTCTGACCAAGATCTGCCACACCATGCAATCCCTTACTTCAGTCCTCATTTCCCTTTCCCCAAGGCTTTGCTAGTCTCACATTTCCCCATGTCACCGATGCCACTACGCTCTGTCCTTGCGCCTCTTTCCCAATTCCTCCTTCAAGGGCTCCGTAACCTACATATCCCCCACACTATCAGTGGGACTTTCGATGGCGGTATAGAGACCTACGGTCGCGGTATTAGTAGCACTTGACAAGCTGAAGGTGGTGATAATTATGCAGTGTTTATCCTCGAGGACGGTTCGACCTTTGAAGAAAGATAAGCTAGTTAAAGATAGGGATAGAATTATATCCCGTAGAACTAGACCTCTTATATACGATACTACTATACCGTGAAGAACCGCTAGTATAGAAACTCTTATACCTTAGTAAGTTTAATAAAGAGGTAGTACCTCTATAGAAAAGCTGACTTTCTAAGATTTTTAGATATATATATTCTCTTCTTTCTAAGTTAGCTTACTAAACTTTTATTTTCTAGATATATTTTTATAATACTCTAACTATGATTTATAAGTAGTATTCAAGATAAGATAATATTATAAAGCTACTAGGGTGGCCTGCGGCCGGCAGACTGCGTGCAGTCTTGAATTTAAGGCACTAAGGCACGCCGGGAAATCCACGGCGAAGTTAAATTTTTGAACCTGCCACCAAACGCGACACCAGAGGCTTGTAAACCTATCTCGTCTATGAGTATAGCCCTGCAGAGGGTAAAAAGTATATGAAAATACTCGTCGCAGGCAGGGCTATAAAACTAGGGACCAGATTTTTGAATCAGGCCCTGGTTAATTTAATATGTGGCAAAAGGTGGATTTTCGTCGTGGTTTTGGTGAGGGCGCTAGCGGGCGCTAGACAAAACATTGCATCTTTTTATGATTCCTTTGGAATAATATTAAGCTAAAGAAGACTAAAAAGGTAAGGTTTAGATCGTAGGTAAGTAATTAGTAATTATCTTACTACTCTATTACGCTTATGGCTAATTGGGGCTAGCTCTATATAACTAGAATTAACTCCTTCGCTTATCACTACACGTGACTTAATTGCCTGAGGCTTGCACATGTTGTCAAACCAACCAGAGAACGCTAATTTTATCGACAACAAAAGATCGCAATCGCAACCCAATACTGTATTGCTACCACTCTGAACCAGTTTTACCCGTATCTCATAATTCGTCGCTTACCACGTACGCAGCTATAATATCATGAGCATTCATTCCCATTCTCGTCAGCACACTACGCCTCCAGAAAGCTTCACCCCCCCTTTGACCCCTCCTCCGACAGATGAGAAGGGCCTAAGTTTGGTCTCGCGTATCGTAGAGGACATTAAGAATCGGCAGGACGGACGCAACTTGACGACGTCGCCGTGGGACGTCTATTCGTTAGACCCCAGAGGGTACCAGGAACTGCAGCACGAACTTGAAAGAGACGAGTCTCTCCGTGGGTTTGCACAACATAAACTCCGGTATGAAGAAGCCTGATGGTGCCTTCTGTCCCATTCTCTGCTAACTCTATGCACAGGTACGACTATTTCCCTTCTACCAGTCGACTTGTCATTCGAATGCCAACCAATCTGCACAAAATATTCATCATAAGGATCGTGGAGGAGATACAAGTTCAATTGGAGTCTTTTCAAGACACGTCCGCAGAGTTTGCAAAAGAGATAATGTCTGGAGGATCGGCATCAATCAAATTTACAGACGAAGAGTATGGCAAGCACGATCCTGATGCGCAATTTCGCCACTCGAAGGCCCAATTTCCAGGAGTTGTGATCGAGGTGTCGTATTCGCAGAAGAGAAAGGACCTCGAGCGCCTGGCGGACGATTATATTCTTGGATCTGATAGCGATATTCGGGTAGTTGTGGGCTTAGATATCGAATGTAAAACCGGCAAGAAGGCAACGTTATCTGTTTGGCGGCCGAACATTATCACGAATGAAACTCAGGAGAAAGAACTAGTGGCCCAATCAGTCGTCGCGAATCAGGTTTGCAAATACCAATCAGATCTGCGGTTATGCTAACATGTTAGAGGTGTTCCGCGATACCAATGGCAACCCAAGCCCATCTCGTGCAGGAGGCCTTCGACTACGCCTTCGGGACTTCGCCACTGAAGCCCTGGCAGGGGCTGACGTCCAGCTACGTGATCCGATTATTCTCCCTGTCAACAAATTATGCTCGCTTCTTGAGCAGGCGGAGGATGCAGTCTCCATCGTTGGGCAGCAGACTGGCGTCATCACAACATACAAGCCGTGGATAAGGAAGCGGCGCAGGGAATCTTCACCACTAGAGTAGCTCACTCTGAGAGATGAGAAACGCTTTCGCGCAGACGAGAGTAAAGCGATCGATCAAACAACGAGGGACGATTCTTCATACAAGACTTGTTCAACATCTGAGGGAGAAGCCAGTTGATTGGTGCTTGAGAGACAGAGTAGCCTTGTTGGTCTCTCTTGCGACTATTGCTATCTGTACGTGTCTTGGATTTTTTGATTCTCTCAGAAGAGAACGAACTTACGTCTATCACACATCCACTCCACATGTGATCTTGCAGGATGTACGTTGGAAGTAGCTCGTCAAGGAGAAGGGTCATAATCAAACGCTGGGAACGAGCCGGAAAAGACACCTGAAGGGATGTTCGCATTCTATTGGTGAATGCGATACGTGTCCAATTTCGGTATTGGAAGAAGAGATCGCGTCGCAGTCAGCTCGAGGGCCGGTACAACCTAGTGCTGGCCGCCGGAGAAATGACAGGAGCCACAGAGAAATGAGATGGGTACATGACAAAATTCGATAGTCACCGAGGTAGCGAACGATCACGTGCCTGTTAGATGGCATGCACTATTAGGATCCCGGGTGCTGCTGCTGTACAGGCCTAGATAGGACAGAGGAATTGGTGCATCGTCGTTTTGTAGAATTGGTATTCTTGTTCTACAAGGCACGATGCAAGCCATTGAAGCTCCTGCGAACAAAGGACTAGAGTAATACTCTACTGTCGCATTGTTATCGGCAACAATATCATCCCTCCAATCCCAGCGCATGAGCTCTAGTTTGTTGTTGCATATTGAAAGTTTTTGAGAAGACCGTAATTCCCATGCAATCGCGCCAGAATCATGATAACGAGCTTCGTCCCCATAGCCCTACCGAGCACATCTCCCGAGTCTCCCCGACATCTAGTAGCCCAACTCAGCCAACTTCTTGGCCGTTGTCGAGTCGATGTTCGCACTCGACTTAGCTTGCAGTTGCTGCTTCCTCAGCGCCTTCTTCTTTTGGTGGTAAGCCTCACCCTTGACCTTTCTCCTCTCCTCAAGTCTTGCATATAATTAGCGTGGCAATCTTAGAACGTGTTCTTTGTTTTACTGACCTAGCAACGACATCCTGGTATTTCCAGCCGAACTCGTGACCAAGACGTCCAACGGTGCAGTATTTACGACCGGGCTTCAGTCTAAGAACACGTAGAGCCTGGGGGACAACCATGCGCTTCTTGCGGTCATATGGTGGTGGGACACCCTCGAACGTCTTGAGACGATCCATAGCGGCAGCACCGCGAGCGGTCTTGTGAGGGATCATACCGCGGACAGTTCGCCAAAAGATTTTAGACGGTGCGCGGAAATGGAAAGGACCTGATCATCATCATTATGAAAACCGGTGGTAGGAAGATTCGACGATACATACCACCGCGGGTTGGGTTGTAACGAGTCTGCTTGCGTAGGAAGGCGGAGTACTTTACTGCGAGAACGTCAGCCAAATCCTGTGTGCCCCAGTGCTTTTCTCGAAATTGTGTGCGTCCGTTGCCTTTCCTGGGACCTCCAATCTACCCATGTCGCACCGCCTATAGGTTTGCCCAAGGTCATCATCCCCATGTTGACATTATCGCGTGTCTATCAATTGCCCATATGCCTCTTTCTCTTGGACGCACAACGGACTGATGAAGATCGGTGAACGTACACTTGGCGCGGAAGAACTCTCCAGAGATGTTAAGAGCCTCGCACCTCACTACAACAATCTTCTGACCATTCAGAAGCTGCTTCGCGACGGTGCTGGCCAGACGACCGAGCAGGTGTCCTTTGCCATCAATGACGATCTGAAGGCGACGGTGTTAGCGAAGATCCATTGGCTCAGATGGCGAAAGTATCACTGTGCGATACGGAAGTACGTACCACCGGCTCGAATGTCGACATCTTGAATCCTGTGGGCGTTAGTGGGTTCGCTGAAGATGTCGTTGATGATGGTGAGGATGTGCGTGGTGTGAGTTTGCGATTTCGAAGTGTGGAAGTCTCGCGCACGGGACTTGCCGATTCGCTAATTAGCGAGCGCACATACGCTAACCGTTCCAGTCACTTCAAGGACAGTTCCTATTAGCAGCAACACTTTAGATGTAGTACGCTTTGAAAGACAATCTACCACGGGAAGAACATTTGCCCTGAGCATGATAGTGGACGGAGCAGGCTATCATGGGTTGGCTGGAGTTGCTTTACGATATTATTCGTTCTTGTAAAGCCCATCCCGTCATCCCCTGCCACTAGGCCACTGTCCTCAGGGTCTTATTGAAAATGACACTCCTTGTATGTTTGGTATCAGCCCTCAGTGCCGCTTTGGCGTTGTCATCATCTTCAGTCTTGGTCCATTCAGTGGCTGGGGTGAGTGCACTTGACTGCGAGACTGAACCGGGATTGCGAGAGGCATTTTCTAATTTTGCTTGCCGAGACAACAAAAATGAACAATCCCGCTAAGTCTTTGCATCAGTCCTTAGCCCCTGTCTATTTCGTTGTCGTCTCGCTTGGCGATAACCTCTAACCAAACCAAAGTGTAGGTATATAGCCTTACGACCATCATAGTACCTCATCGTAAGTATTCAGACGCACTGCTCTGACACGGAGCCAAGCTAGTATGCTGACCCCTCCGAAAGTTAAGGCTGCAAAAGAGGTAGACCTCCTGAGGAAGAGATAACCAATTTCTCACTTCATTTGAACCGATACTTCCGTCGTTGGCTGACCAGAAGAGGCTGTATTGAATCACTTCCGTTATTGATCCAAATTGGAGTCTGTCTAACAGACGAGACATTGTCTGCGGACAATTGTTGACAGACGTCCACTGTGATAAGGCCACCGTGATATCGTTGAGAGTCCAGCATACTCTGTCGTTCCCTGGAGACCGTCCAATATACTCCTGGTATGCCCACAATGTTCTTATTACAATACGAACAAGCAGGGATCCTCATTATCCCAGATCTCGTCCCATGCGACGCTTGTATCCACAACTGGTGATCCCCTCGCCCAATATCTCTCTAAGAACTCACTGGCATCTATCATACTGTGAAACCCGAGAATCACACTCATATCGTGTAGCCGATTTCGAATCATCGTCTTACTCGCTTTGTCCTTCCCACTAATCTCAAGCCCGGCAATGACCATGGGCCAGAAACAGTACAGATAAAAAGGAATATTCGTATTACGCGTCGCAAACAACATGTCAATATTCATGAGTAGTTTGCGCAAGTGTTCGATGCGAAACTGCTGGATTGTCATGACCGAGTCTGGAAGTACGATAGTGTTCGGGCCAAAGATAGGGAGAAGAAGTGAGCGCAGCAGGAATAGGATAACTGCAGACAGGTACACATGGCCTAAGCACAGCCACATTTTCGCGTCGCGCTCTTTCGTGCCTACGGCTCGCTCGACACTTTCTTTTGGTAGTGGCCAGGAGAGCAGTCGTGTGTTCCACTCTGTCTGCTTCATCTTCGGCGCGAGATCCTGGATGATGACCGCAGCATCAGCCCATTGCTTCGGATCGAAGGCATTGAGCTCAATGAAGAGCTTTCTCGCTTCGAGTTGAATCACGGCGAGCTCTGGAAGAGATGCTGTATAGCGGCGAGCGCGCAGGTCGTTCGTCCGCATGATGGCCGTCAGAAGGTGATGCGAGCACGGCATGACAGTCCAGACGCCGTCGTTGTAAAGAGAAGGGACGTATGAGAGATACTGTTTTTGTTCGGATGCGAGAGGCTCTTTGTGTATGTTCGAGGTCGTGAGACGCATGGTTTCAATTAGGATAAGGTATGTCATGAGGTTACGCACGGCATACTCTTCAGATCGCAAAAATATTTTCATGCCACCATGTAGATCGACGATGGCTCGGGCGCCTTGGAAGTGTGCTTTCCATTTTTTGCCGACGGAGCAGCGCTGAACCTGGACATGGTGAGTCTTGATCGAACGTGAACGTAGGGGCTAGTACAAAGCTGACCTCTGAGATCATCAAGATGAATACACAGATTAATGTTATCATCTCTTTCTGGGTCTTCGGTTCACTCAATCTCTGATTTAATTGAGTCACGGCCGAAAATGTATGCTTGCTTATATCATTCTCCAGCGACCTCACGTGCTCCGTCCACTCAAATCGCGTCCGACTCTGTGTCTCCCTTATGAACCGGTGTCTCGCAACGACTAGAAAGAACATATCCAATAGTATTGGCGGTGTGAAGTGCCAAAAGCAAGCCTTGATTCGGAACGGATTGCATTCGCTCACAATAGGTGACATGGTTCCGCATAAGAATCGGTTGTAGTACTCCATACAACGAACCAAATTCGCCAACTTTGGAGGGAAATACTGACTCCCAAATTCCTGTACTGTACCTTCTGCTTTCTGTCTTCGCTCTGCTGCATCCGCCCAGATACCCTTTGATCCAGCCGGAAATTTCTCTTGGAGCGTTAACGTCCTCTCCAGGTGATGAGCATGTTGATATGTCAGTCCTTTTTCTGCAGAAACAAGTGACTCGCCAGAAGTCTGGTGGGCGTCGACTTTCCGCCGTTTCTTCCTTGCATTTGGCCCCTTGATCCAAACTAAGGGTTTCGTGTCGCCGTATCCAGGACACTCAATACCCTTTACTTGACATTTCAGACAGGCGGGCTTTTCGGAGTCGCAGCGCACGCGACGGCGCCGACAGGACCAGCATTGCGGCGCCAGGGATGACATCCGATCTCTTTTCTAGCCCCGAAAGTCTCATCTACGTCACTTTGAGATACAAAGGTCCAGGATTGAGCAGCAAATTGCAATGCGTCGTATCCTCGCACTTCGCCGCTTATTCATGCGCGCCACGTAGTTTAGAAGTTTCCAGGTGGCGAGGGTGTCACAAAGCCTGTGACTTGGCATCACGAAGGCAGTGCAGATCCCACCATATTAGATGTCGACGTCGCTAGATCGATGATCAACTCTGGGGTCCGAAAGAGGAGATGAAACTAGTTTGGAGGTGCGAGGCCGAAGTGGGGATGGATCCATGAAAGCAGTTAGGGGTTGTAAACCTGAGTCTCTGAGAACCTCACTCCATTTTCCTAACCAGAGCTCTTTCTACTTTTACGTCTATACCAAGGTATATAACAGTACTAAGAGTAGATTTGATAAATTTTAGATGCATCTTCATTCTTCTATAAGTTTATGTTATTATTATAAAGTCTCTTTAGAGAGATAGAGAAGAATTTCTAAAAATTTCTTTGAAGTTCTTAGAAGATGGCCCGTGCCAAAGATACGATCCGGATAGCATTCTGGAAAAACCTTCTCTCTTCCTCTTCCCTAAGGATCAGACCCTCTTATTATAGACTGAATTTAAGGGTCTAGAAAGGTATATAGGATGGATCAACCTATTATACCCTATAAGTCTATATAGGTATTATATTGTATAGACTATCATATAGAGGTAGATTTTTTCTGATCCCAAATTTTGGCTCTTCACGTCCGACGAAGTACAGATGAGGCTGGTCATCAAGGTGAGCATGTTTGCAATTTCCTAACTTCGTAGGGAACGCTAAGCCTCGAATTCGATCACCTCGTGGGATGTCACAGACAACCACCTAATGAACCGGTGGCCTTTCAAACGCTCATCATTAGAGCACAAGCGCGCTGCTTTCACAGTGATTAGAAACGTAAACAGCGTAAGGTAATACCGGAAGAACTATAATGTAATGATGTTTAAACTTAATGGAGTTCCAATCTGAATCGGAACTCACAAACCTTCGAGTTGAGAGGACGTATTGATTGTGTATCTTATCGAGATTAAGTCGTTGTATCAGCTACATTTAGAACCTACAGAAAACAACACCAGAGTGTATAGAGATACTACGAACCTAACGTAATCGCCTTCATCAACGCTCTGAAGCTGGCATCCTATTCAACTGCAGATGAGAGAGCTCTAATGACACTGACTGCGAACGTTCCTCCACCCACTCGTCATACTCTCCCAGTCTTGGCATAGACATACGTACCATTTGAAATGGTGACATAGTCCTGAAAGCACCACGGTAAGAAGCCTAACAGCGCGACAAATAGTGCTGTATTAGGCATAGAGTAGCAGACTAGGATCCATGTACCCAGCGGAGACATAGTAGTCATCAGGACCATGAGTACCTACTTAGGTAGTATTACCATAGCGGCCTACGTGATTCACGAGAAAGCAAGAATATATACGGCGGAAGTAGCTAGATTGGGCATCACATTAAAGATTTATTAACCTGCTTATGTGCTATCTCCACGTACCTTACGCCTTCAACAACTATGGCAATAGAATTACTTATCATATTCCATATTCTTATCAACTTCATGGTATGCTATTTTAGCAGCCATGTAACTCCGGGAGAGAAGTATAAAGCCATAAGTCTAAGCACCCAATGCCGTCAACATGAACGATATATTGTCCGATGGTATCATGCACTCCTTCGCATGCGGTCCTCGTTTTAGGAAGATATCGCGTAGCTTCCCGGAACCGCAGCGATGGGCCTATTAGCGGAAAAAGTCCAAGGAGATACTTCTGATTAGCCCACCGAGACCAACCCGCTGGGTATATGAATAACCTTAGAATGATACCACCAATGCTACTACTAAGGACTACGATACTAAGTGCAAGGGTCTGGCAAAATAGACGCTTTAGCGTAAGCCATAAGGGCTGAACAGTCAATCATAGTATACAATCCTTGCGAGAGCAGGAAGTGATAGATATTCGTTAAAGTAGAAGGCCATGGTAGTACCTATAGAACGAAAATCACCACCAATAGTAAGAACGGGAGGACTCTATGAATGTCGAACGCAAGTCCGAAGAAGACGGTCTAAGAATATAGAATTAGAGACATATAATAAGCACGAGTCAAGTCAATAAGGAAAAACTATGTAGCGTATGAACCTCTGTTAGAATGCGACCCATGAGACTTCGCCGATAAAGTAGTCTCGAAGCTGATGTGTTTTATCGTACTATTGGATACCTTTCCAGTGTGCGAGAGGGATATCAATTGGATTATAAAGGGCAGCCATGTGGTTATGCTGGATGAAGCTGATAGACACGTTTCGAAGCCTCCTTGGCGTGGAAGTAAGTCATTTTCATGTGTAGAGTTTCATAAGCGCCATCCGAGTTCGCGTTGGCTGGCTCGGCTTCTGATTTTGTGGAGGCATGCGATGAAGGCGATGGCTTATGCCGCTATAGGGTGTAAGAAGAAGAAGAAGAAGAAGAAGAAGAAGAAGAAGAAGAAGAAGAAGAAGAAGAAGAAGAAGAAGAAGAAGAAGAAGAAGAAGAAGAAGAAGAAGAAGAAGAAGCAGTTGAAATGGGGGGAGGAGCTATGAGATTCATTATTACCTTATCAGATTTGTGTTTTCGATCTTGGAATGACCTGGGGCCACTTGTTAGTGTCTTGGCATAAATTATAGATCCAAACCTCGGCAGTCGGCGCGACGAGGCATCAGTCATAATATACGGATTCCCCTAATGATGGCGGGCAAAAAGATTTCGCTTATCAGTGCCGTTCACCTAGACCTGCTAAATGTCTATGGTACAGTCATTACCTGATTTCCAACTCCTAAATTACGACAACGATCAGAATGTTCCTCTTCTCACCGTGAGGCTCACAGCCTCTTGGACCCACTGTGGTCCTCTTCTTCCAGACGAATACAATGACCTTCCCTACTCTTTCCATGCTTGGGCGAAAGCAAGCGTTTGCGGTGACCTCGCAAACCCTCTGACCCGACTCCTCCGTTACATCAATACCTTTTTTTCGGACGCCGGCATTGAGACCTACTGGCTCACAATACGCGCAACAAGAGGCTCCCATGACTATGATATTCCGCGATGGCATACAGATGACGAGTTCTTCCGATTTCCAGGCAACACTCAAGAGTATCCCAGGTCAGAGGCACAGTGGAAACTGGCCGCAACTCTGCTGGGCCCTGGCACCCTGTTTGTAGAGGACAGCTCTGTGGCTAGATCGGTCCAGCGAGAGACCAGAGCTCTTTGTGAACAGGAAGCCGTACCTCATTCATGTACGTCGATTCGCTGCCTAGGATGTGCAGATGTGGCAGAATCAACGCGGAAAAGGCTTGCAAAGGCATTGGCAAGTAATAGTATCGTACAGGCTCCGGCCCGGGGGTGTATTTTCTTTAGAGTTGGGCCAAATCAAGGCGCTGTACATTCAGAGCCTGCTAGTCATAGTGATAGAATATTCGTGAACTGTATACCCGGTACAAAGAAGGAGCTGACGCTGGTGATGAAGCAGTGGGGAATGGAGTATCCACGATCTTGGAGCATCGGTGTACCACTGCAGTTTGATAGTGGAACGAGCTCATGAAATAAACAAATTACCAGGGAGGGCTTGTTATTCGCTGGCTCACACCGAATCTTCATCTGCTATGCCAACTCAAATGAAACCTTTAAAAGGTCCTGCCAAGACGAACTCTAGGGATACCAACTTACCTACTAGGCACAACCTTGGAATGCATCTACCTCGCCTCAGTTTTAAACCTGCGCGGTCCTCCAGAAATCGGACAGAAGGCCAAGGGCTGGCAACAGGCTCTAATACCGGAGACTCTCAACTCTCAGACTGTCCTGCGCCTTCAACAGCTGTTCGAGCACGATTTCCTTCCGAGAACACGACCATCAGTGCAGGCGCTGCAATCTTCCACATCGCATCAAAACGCGTCGTTCTTTGCTACCACACACGGGATAAATACTATTTCCTCCCGAAGGGCCGCAAAAACTCTGGAGAGTCGCTGGAGCGCACAGCTGTACGAGAAGCATGGGAAGAGAGTGGATATCGAGCGCGTTTGATCGGAGGTGCTTGGCCTCATAAGCAGACACATGCTGATGACTGCACGGATGATGACCAAGATTTTGGGATCATCAAGCAAGACGGACATGACATCGTGGTCAAGTGGTCACTAGATGCTGTCTGGACGGAATTGATACCTCTGCACCCGAGTCGGCCGCAGGCCCAGTATATTTTGTTCTGGTACATCGCCGAAACACTTCCACCAAACTTACAACATGAGCTTGATACGCAAAGTTCCGACAAGAAAGTTTATAAGCATGCAAAGCCTATGTCACATTCCTTGACGATCGAAGAGCGCATCGCGATGGAACCTGAAAAGTACAACCCTCCTCGAATGGAGCATACAGGTGTAGACTCGGAAGAAGCTTGGTATACCGCAGTTCTTGTAGATATCCAAAAGGCACAGGAGCTTTTACTCGACGAAACTTCCGTCGACGTTGTCAAGAAAGGCTGGAGAGGCATCTGTGAGCGTAGAGAAATGGAAGACAAGTCTGGAATGTCACACGTTCTGTCAAACGTTCAGCAATGAGGTTATGTAGAAGGACATCCACACCTCTAGCGATATATACATGCAGGATGCGAACACGTCAGCTATATCTCGAGATATGTGCGCGCAGCAGTAGCAGCTAAGTTTGAGAAGCAAATAAGACGACTAGGACTCCAAGACGAATGATCGACAGGAAGCAGATACTTTACAAATCGAGCCAATATTACTGTCAAGAGAGTCCAAGGCGCAGTTCACACACCGTAGTTCACGTGTAACATAGCTGCTATCCTTCTCGTCTCTAAATTGCTACACTAGTAGTATTCTTCGTAAAGCACACTTCGCCTGTACATGCCCTGGCTGCACACAAAATGCTGGACGACCTTCGGAGCATTGGCTATTACGAATACGAACAAGCTGAAGGAAGATCGGAAGTAAGCTCATAGCTCCTGCGATACCGCATCTGTAAACCTTACGCTTTCGGCACAATGAGGCCCAAACTTGTAAGGATCGTCCAGATGAGAATGAATTAGCCCATGTGATGATTGGAGAACTTTACAGATCCATAGAAGATCGTATAGGTCTACCAGGAGTCGGAAACACTCCCAGTAGCCCGCTATCTACAGTAAGGATTTTCTACTCAGGAGTTCTGTCAACGCTCGAGCATGCTTGGTCGGGTGCTACACTCGCAGATACTAGATGCGGGTACGAGAGATATAGCTAGTTTGTGCGAGCAGGACAACGAAGAAGAATGACTACGAAGTCTGATGTAGGCGTGCATGTTGCGAGCGACGAAGCCTTCGTTCTTGTTAATGGTTACCAGCTTCTTATACTTATCAGGATCAAAAAGATAGTCAATTGAGTTCAAGCGATATCTGGCATCCTACTAAGGGTGATCATCGAGATACGAGGAATCCCACTCGATATCATGCTAGGGATGCGGTTACCCCGGGCTGATACCCTTTGTAGTGAATGTTGTAGAGAAGTATACTGCTTGTCTGCGTCGACAAACCTTTGCTTACTAGTCCCAGTGTCAAGAGATTGCCTTCAGTATCGACTCATTTTTCATGATTTCGCGAAATGCTTCGGGTATGGATCCTAACGAAGTAGATTTTTTTCGATAGATCTCATAGTGTTCATCTAAATTCATGCGACAACAACACGCAAATCCTAGGTTGGCAGTCGTTGTTCAAGAGCGGAGCAGGTTGACTTTGCGCAGCCCCCGTATAGCAGTCTCCTGGGTTCTATCTATCCTTTTACACTCGCTGTCTTTGACCGCAAGTCTAGGATTGAGACGTTCCACCTTAGCAGCAAGTTATGTTCACAAATATAGTCATAAGTCCAGTTGCAGCATGCTCATATACCCATGGGATGTTAGTTCTCACTGAAACTTTCATTTACCTCGACCCGGTGAAGCCTTCGCAATTCTTTCCTCGTCTATATCTCCGCTACCGATTGGACCTCATGGGAGTCTCTTTGTACTGCTACTTAAAGATAGTATCCTCTATCACGGGGGAAGTGCCCTGTCCAACACCATTCTAGACAAAGAGTTTGCGGCAAAAGAACACCTAGCTCTATGGTAATTTATTCTGGTGGATTCCAGTGGACAAAAGAGCATGTGTGCGCAAAAACCATCCCGAGGACTCTGAAGAGCGACTTATGGGGATGAGGAAGTGCGTGAAAGATCTGGTGGTTTTTGGGCTTGACACAGGCTACGAAGATTCTCGTTGTTGATCGGACACATAGATCTCTCAGCTATGCGATAATATCCCAGGCAGTCTAGGCTGAGCCTAATTGACTTGACTCTGGTTCATACATTTTGTTGCTTTACTTGATCTTTTTCTCGTTTATGCAATGGCCGCGCTGAGCGTATCTGTTATCAAAACTCCGCATTCCTGAATGAGCAGGCTTCATATAATGATGACATGACTTTGAACGAATATCCCGGTCAATAACACATCTGGTTAGTCCATCAGCTTCCATCCAACCTCCTACAATGAGCATCATACGTCCATAGTATCAAACAGGAGCTAGACCTCAAACAACATTGCAATATATTGGACCTAAGTATGATATAAATTCATGACTACAACAGCTTTTTGAGATGTTCCTGCTGCCAATAATGCTAGGGCATCAACCGCCAGATTCGTAACCTCCTGGGTCTGCTATTCATTCACCAGCTCATGATACACCAGCGACTGGCCAAAACTTCTCCTCTCTTTACTATGTTTTGCTGGCATTTGCTGTTTTTTCGTGCATGTTTCGCCGGGGTAGATTACCAGACGAGCTTTTAGGGTTTGGTTACCTACTGCAGGTTATGGCGAGTGAGTGCTACTACTTTATTACTCCGCTGACCGATCTAATATGAGCCAAGATAACGCGTTGAGGCTGATCCAAGGCAGTCGGAGAAGGGTATGTTTGTGTACCCGTCCCACGCACTTCGGAGTTGTAACCTCCGAAGTGCTCCCGACTTGAACGTACATATACACTTTAACGGTATAATATATATATAAAATGAAGATAGCAACATCTATATAGCTAATACTATATATTTATTACTTATTAACTTCTTTCTAGTTATCTAGGAGTTAAGTACTCGTGTTCTAGTTATATTCCTTAGTAGTAGATACTTCTATAGCCTATTTTTAAGTCTCTCTAGCCGCCCTCTATATATCTCTCCTAATAGTACTCGTACACTTCTTTATAATAGTAACCCTAGAGTCTCTTACGTTAAAAGGACTATATTTACTAATACTCTTCTTTATAGAAGGGTTATATCTAGTATAATTAATAGCTACTTATTAATTATTATATAATTTATTTAAATAATAGAGTTTATACTTAATAGAGAGTACGTATATTAATTTAAATAGTTTACTCTATAGTTTCTAATTAGCTTTAGTAAACCTACTCTTCTACTATAGTTTATCTATTTTCTAGAGTAACTAGTAATAAGATTTAGGTAAGTATAGTATTAATAGAGTTACTAATAGGTTTATAGATACCTTAATATCTATTTTAGTATATATCTAATCTAATATAATATTAGGATTAAAAGGAATTAACCTAGTCTTCTTAAAGGCGTTTCTAATTATACCTAGCTTAAATATAGTACTAAACTCTCTATAAGTAGATTCTATAGAGGAATTTAACCTTATTAAAGTCTAAGTAGCCTTCGTATATTATAAGAATAGAGTTATTAGATAGTAGTATAGTTAGATAGAATAATAGAGTATATTCTATTATAGAATAAATTACTACTAAATGTTAGGCACGTGAGGAGCACGTGGCCTGCTAGTTGATTATACATGTGTGTAGCAGTCGTATATAAGTAGTGTGCTCCACCCTTGAAGTAGTAGCTTTAAGATTCGGTCCTTTTGGTGTAGTTGGTTAGTGCGTGGAGCCCGCCTCCTTATACTAAACCCTTTTAGTAGGAATCTAAGAGTATATATATAAAGGGATACTAATCTATCTAGTACGTAACTATTTACCGCCCTTTACGCTACCTTCTAACCCTATTAGCTAAGATATATATAGATTAGATTATATCTAAAGCTAAGTTCTAATAATTATCCCCTTCCTTTAGAAAGCTACCCTTAGTAATCTAGATTATTATCTATCTCTATATCTCTATTCTAAGTCTTATAAGACCTTAGTCTTTCTCTATACTTTATCTTAGATATTTACTAATATTTACTAATCTAAGATTTATATAAGTATTTTCCTAATAAACTAGATTTTATCTATCTTAAATTCTTATATAGATAAGATTATCTAATTAGGCCTAGCGTATTACGTAATATAATTAGATAAGTCTAGATACTATCTATATTAAAATCTTTTCTTAGAAATATTCCTTTCTTTAAAAAACTTCTTAACTCTTTATAGAGTTTTTTAGATTATTAGATATATTACCCGATCCTTATAGATATAGATTTATATAGATTTACTATAATTTAGTATAATTTATATAATTTACTAATTTTAATACTATATTTAGCTAGTAATAATAATAATCTATAATAATCTATATAAATTAGTAATAATTATAATATAATTTCCTAAAATCTCGATACTCTAAAGTAATTAGTATAGAAATAGACGCCTTTAAATAATCCCTATCTTATATATATTACTAATATATTAAAAGCTATTAATCTACCCTAACCTAGGCTAGGCTCTAATAATCTAGCTATATATTATTATAGTTATCGCTTTCTATTATATATTACTTATAGCGGTACTAAATCTATAATATATAGTACTTATATAACTAAGAAGCGTTATTACTTATAGATATTTAAATAAGTTTAAAGAACTTTATATAGATTTACTTATATTAGTATAGATTACTACTAGGCCTCTAGTAACCTCTACTAATAAGAAGTATAGTACTACTAATTGTAATGTCTTAGAGAAGGCTTTCTATAAGCTATATATCTAAGGTAAGGGTTACGCCTAGGAGTATAATTCTAATATCATCTATAAGGATTTATTAGAATCTACTATAGCTATTATTACTGTGATTACTAGGTAATATCGTTTTTCTTAAATTATTATAGATTCTTACTAATATATATTAATCTCTATAATAGTACTAAAATCTCTACTACTTTAGACTTCTTTCTATATACTAGCGATATTAAAATTTCTAGAAAAGGTTCTAGTAAAAAGGCTAAGGTTCTTTTCTTATGTGTACTAAAGAGCTATAAATTTAGGGAAGATAGCTCTAATCTAGAAGTTTCTATACTAAAGGTATATAGTTCTATACTAATTATTAAATCTTTTTACTAATTTATATAATTCCTAGCGTGCCTACACCGGTCCGTCTCTCTCTATCCTAGGTTCTACTACTCTATAGATTTCTATAGAGGAGTTTATAGCTATAAGGCGCGCTATATAGAATTTATAGTATCGGAACGAAAGACTAGAGACTTATATTATAAAGCTCTATACTATACTAAATAAGAACTAGTGGAAGGAATTAGATATAATTATTGTGGTAATTAGTACTTCTACTTCTACTCTGACTTAATTAGTTTAGATCTATACTAATTAGTACTAATATATTTCTTTTATCTAGCGTTTTTAGTTTTTAGTTTTAATTTTAAAGTAATCTTACTTCTTCTAGATAGATTAGTATAAGTTTATATAGATCTATATAGATCTTTATATTTTCTTTTAGCTTTCTTAATTTTATCTTTCTTTAATAATAACTTCTTTAATCTCTTTAGTAATCTATATTAATCTATACTAATTAGTACTAATTTTCGATATCTATTTCTCTTAGTAAATTATTTTTTTAAGTC